GCAGCGCTTTGGCTCTGAGCCACGGGTGGGGATCCTTTTTCCTTGCACATGGCCTATGCTTCACTTGCTTGCAGTCTCAAAACAGCAAATCCTCCCCTTCCACAGCCTCCCTCTGCTCCTAAGCAAACAATTGCTGCTGTCCAGTCATCCTTTTCTTCCACTACAAACCAGGAGTCCTTCTTCAATTATTCAAACTGGATGCCCATTTTGCTGGATCAAATTCTCTTGCTGATACACAGAGCTTCCTCTTGCTGTATTGAACAGTATTTAGACTCAACACGAAACACTCCCTTTCTCAAGCATAGTTTTCAAAGATCTCAGTCACACATGAGACTTTTACCTTTACTCTCTCCCTTCTCCTTTCATTGAAAACTGGTATTCTGAATAGGATCCAGTGACAGCAAGCTTACTTAATGTAACAAATTCAAGACTGTTTTAGCCCATTCTGTGGCCTCAGTCATAAAATATCTCTCTCTTCTTGGGAAATATCTCTAGGTCACCCACACAATTTCTGTCTTCCTTAATTCTTGAACAGAGGGTCCCTAGAGCAATTCAAGAAGAGCTCTGACACCTGCCCTACATCAGTCCTTCCCATCTTGCAGATATAGAAAATGGCTTACTACACAGCTATTTGAACAAATTTGTCAACCTTTGTCTTGCAAAGGCATTTGATCTGCCTTATTAAGATTCTTTGAGAGAGACTACATTTCTGTGTTTATGGCTGCAGTCAGCACAGTATCCTCAGAGTAAAATCAGTATTCAGTATGTGAGTGGTGTGTGGTTTGGCACCGTGTTACAAAGACATCACCTACCTCTCATATTTGAACAAACCTACACAGATTCCCGGATTACGTGATGGGTGTAAAACAGACAAACCCTGCACCCTCAGGTAAACAAAAGACTTCTGTGGCCAAGTTTTTAAACAAACATATAGGAATGTGAATTGGCAATTAGACCTGGTCCCTCCCCCAAAATCTTGTCACTTAAAGGAGACATAAATGTAAGCCTCATAAGCAATGGCTTGTTGCAGCCTTTGTATTTCTCCAAACAGTAGCTCCTACAGAATGGATATGATGGCACAAATTCTTCAGAAGTAGTCATAGATTCAGAAAATACAGTAAACTTGTGAGCTAAACAGGCAAGAATTCACAAACAATTTTAAATAGCTGCCAATTTTTCTGAGCTTACATGTTCATTTTCATTACACTGAATCCTGTCCCCTGCCCTTTACCCAAAGCTCTGTGGTAGTGTAAATGCCCTGCAAAGAAAAGAAAGAGGACTGCACTTATGAGATAGGATGTACCCTAGAAGGAAAAGAAACCCATGTTAAAAAACAGAGAAGCACCAAATAAAACAACAGGAACTATCTTTCTCCCCCACACCCAAAAACATGTGGGAAATCATTACAAAAAAAATGTTGCCTTATGCATTACTTGTGAAAAACATGTTCTTCCAGAGCTAGTGATTTATTTTTGTAGAGTGCACCAACTGTTATTCAGCCTCTTCACTACTCCCTTGTTTCTCTTTCCCCCTATTATAAAAGGGATTTAGATTTTTAAAAAAATGTATTCATCTGTGTACTGCACATCAAATTGACTGAATGACCCAAATAACTTGCAAAAATAGATTTGATGTCCAGCAGAGCAAGCAAGAGGTCAGGAACCCACAATCAACTCTCCCCCTGAGCTACTATTCATGTAGTGAGCATCTTTTCTGTGCATTGCTTTCCTCATATTCTTAACAAAGTGTTTATTACCTTAACTACCACAAAATTTTACAGATGGAAGATATTATAAATGTACTTTTTAATCCATTCATTAAATGATTTGATGCTTTAGATAATATACATTCTTAGAGGAGAAGCAATACCTAACACTTGTAGGCAATTGATGAGGGTCATTTTTGAGGCAGTCTTTTAACACGAGAATAAAAGAACATTACCTTTCATGGTTGACAGATAATGTGTGGACAGACAAGGAATGACCAAGATCAACTGTTAGAACAAGGCTTCACTAAACATATTTGCTTTTTTAATAATCATGCATGTTTCCCTACTTTGGATAATAATTTGTGATTATTTAAGGCATTCAATATCACCCAACATTTCTGTACTCAGTGATGAGATGTGGTTTGACACACCGTAAGAACCAGCTGTCAATTACAAGAAGTTTGCCATTTCAAAACTTTAAAGCTCATTTCACCTCTGATATGCTGCAGCTTTCCTTTTTTTTTCCTTTATTTTTCTTTTCTGTATTGTTGGCAAGTGGTGCTACTGATAAACACTGTAGAGAAGATCAAAATTGTAGGGTCCATAGATACTGAAAGGAGTATAAAACTCTTCAGCAAGCCATCTGTGTAAGCTAAGCACTTTACACCCAAGTAACCAACCCCACCACTTCTGATGGTGATCACCTCCTTCTTTCCCCTGCAATACATAAACCCTCTCCTTCCCTCAGCCTCTCCCAAGAGCCTGTCACGAGAGACATGCAAAAATTCCAGACTCATGTCTTAGTTCATGAACTATATAGAATTACTCAGACTTGATGCTCACACTGTGAGCCTCACACAGGATGTGTATTTTCAGACCAAAAAATCCTAATTTGTTGAATCTCTCAAAAACTCTTGAAAGTTTTACTGAATTAATGTCAAAAAAGGAAAAGAAAATCTCTATTGCAAAGACTGAAGGTCCTTTATTAAGTACTAGAAATCTAGGGAGTACATGAAAAATTGTCCACCCAAGAACATAGACTGACTTAAAATTATATTAGTCACTCACTTGTTCTTTGTTAGAGGATTAGTAGTGTTTTTTAGGAATTCATACCTCCATCAATACCCACAATGAACAATTCTGAGAGGATCATCTAATTGTTTTTCCATTCTTCTGATTAGCATATTCCCTGATGCTTTATTTAATCAAATGCAGCACTTGAGAATGAATAATTGGTTTGTGGGATTGATTTTCACTATGGGGGGAAAAATAAAATCAAAGCACTCCACTGGTTTTGCTTAATTTTTATAATCCCTCAGTGAAATGAAGACTATCAACCTCTTTCAAGCAACAGAAAGATGAGGTAGGGACCAAAGTGAAACAAATCCAGTGATTTCAAGTGCCTTGTCTACCCTTTTTTTTCCCTCTCCAGACTACTTAACATTATATAACAGCTTGCATGTTCAAGGCAGTTCACACTCGCTTCAGTCACAGGCAGGGGAAACTTTACAAATGAAACATCCATCTCCTAAAGCTTGACACCCAGCAATGTGGGAATAAACAATTAACAGCTGCTTCTTATCAGCTGGGATTAGGATGGCATACCATAACATCCCGTAGGAAGCCTGTGGCAGGGACAGAAGGCACTTCTGGGGCTGCATTCAACCCTGCAAATTATGCTCATTCTAGCAATGGCTTTCTCTTCTTCTTCAGTGTCCGTGATTAATATAATTAATTAATGCTCTTTACTTCAAAGCACCATGTTAAACAAAGTAAAGTATCCTTGAAATGCTCTGCCTCATTTTCCCTAAACAAATTCTAAAGAAAAAAAAGGAATACAGGTCATGTTCACTGGTTTGATTAAAGAAGTTTTGTAACTTCTCAAACACAAAATCAACTCAGTCTGTCCCTCGGGATTCTGACAGGCTCAAGGTATTTCATGTTATGTACACATACATACATATAGTCCACTACAATCTGCCTCTCCTAATAAAATTCTCTGCATTCAAAGATGAAGTCCGTAAGCTCCAAAGGAAATTGGATTTATCAGTTCTTGTGAGTGTTGTTAAAAACAAAAAATGCAGATTTCACCCCCTAGTCTCAACTACACTTTCCAATTTTCTCATCAAAACATCTGCAAGCTTTCCCTATCCAAATTATTGTAGGACACAAAATGACAAAAGACTACTACGACTATATAGCTCAGTCCTTCAAACTCCCCCTGCCCCCCAGCCCCTAACTGCCCTGCATTCAGGAAGTTCCTGCTGTGCCTGCCCCTAATGTAAGAAAACCAGACTCACCCCTGTTTTTGTCAAGCATATTTATACAGTGTCTTTAAAAAAAATGGGAAAAAAATGTAATAGCTGGAATGGACTGAATAATTCAAAAAATTGTGGTTACATTTATGAAAAACTTTCCAAAAACTAGAATTTTGTGTTTTGGAAGACAAATTTTCCACGTCACTTGTCTGCTAACCTTATTAACTGCAATAACAAACTCTTTGAAATGCATCTTTTCCCATAGCATGTGACAAAATGCCTTCTAATAAACTATTTTTCTGTTTTTTCCCCTCCTCCTTTTTTGTAAGTTCACATTTCTTTCTGTTCACAGCCTACAAACTCAAGTAGCTGCAAATGAGGCAAGCAGGCATTTTCTCTAATAATAATCTACTTTTTGAGCCTGGATAGTTTACAGAGGCAAAAGATTAGAGCACACTAAAATCCTAAAACCTTTCAAAAAATCATCAGATTTTTCTTGCACCCTTCAGGGGAATATTCTTTCATGCATCTGAAAAAAATCTCAAAAAAACAGAGATGCTCTGGGAAAAAGTGTGCCAGTGCTACTCTGAAAAGCTCAGTTAAGTAAAACACAGAAGTCCAAATGAACAATTCCTGTGCCAGGGCATATGAAGGAGTGTATTTACCTTTTCCATTGCTGAACCTTCATGACTTCTTACTGCAGGGTTTCTCAGGAAACACTGATAATCCATGCCAGAGATTTTCTTTCCTCCCCACTTTCAGCACTTCTCAGGTACAGATTTTCCTATCACTACAGCTTGATCTAATATGATATATAACTCTTCATCAAGATATAATTTGCTTAAACCTCTTCCCTATCTCCAGCCACATTTTCCTTCAATGCTGAGAACTGCCAACTGCTTATTCCTGGAAAAGACAAAGTGGCTGCTGAAAACAAGGCAGTGCAGAACACCGAAGCTGCCATATGCACGGTACTCTCCACTGCCCAAAACCCACGCTGCTGCTGTCTAGACTTTGTGCCCATCATTCCTTACCTTTGTGGTTAAAAATGCCCTCCATCTCCATACTGCTGCGAGAGTGGGCGATGCAGAGGGACCCGCAGGGGACCAGGCCTTCCGCAGCTGGGGAGCGATCTGTGGTTCGCACCAGACACCAGTCGGGCTTGTCATGGGGCCTCTCCAGGACCTCCACTGTCTGCCCACGGCGGATTGTCAGCTCGTTGCTGTTGCAGGCGGTGAAGTCGTGGATCACCACAGTCAGCTCGCACCCACCAGACAACTGCGAGGGGACAAAACAAGGAGAAGCCAGATGAATGCTCGTTATCAAACCGTCCGTCACGCACCGGTACCTATTTAGGGCTCCTGGCAGGATTTGTATTTTGGATGAGGTAGCAGGCTTCTAGGACTTTCCACATCAAGAAGAGAGCATTTCAAAATCAGGCTGTTCTGGCGTTTTAGAACAGATTTCTAACTCTGCTTGTCTCTGCCTATTGTTCAAAGCACACTGGTTGTGACAGTGCTGGGCGGAGGATTTAAGCAGCTTTTCTTGCTAGACTGCTCCGTATCCCAAAAGCTGAAGTAGCAGCTGCTTCTGAATATATTTTATGCGTTATAATTAGCAAAAAAAAAAAAAAAAAAAGAAGATGAGATATTACTAAATACAGTTACCCATGTTATCTTTCAAATTCAAGAGAGAAAGAGGTAGTTTTCAAATGCACTTGCTGCCTTTTTGCCACCCTACTCAGAGTTTACACACTCAGGTCACAAAATCTTACAACAATCTTATAACATCATACACAATTGTAAAAGTCAGCATAAAGTTCTTCACAAAACATTCCCAAATACTCAACTGTTTAACAGAAAATTCACACAGGCTTACAACTTTCATGTTTTTGTTGGTTTCCCCAAATAAAACTGCATAAACTTGAATTAAAATCATGCAAGCTTAGGGTTTTCCTCTCCCTCTTCAAAACACTTAATTAGAATAACTTTGCCTAAGCTTTAGTTTCCTCTCTTTGATTGTTTCATCTGCTTTGATGTGAAATGAAAATTATTATCAGAACTTTGCAAAGTTCCCAAGATTGCTCAGTGCCAAAGCACCCATCCAACTTAAGCAAGCAGTCCTAGAATTCCTTCTTCCTTACAGCAACAGCATTCCAGGCTACTTCAGTTTTTCTTGTGTGAGCATTTCTATAGCTCTGGCTGCTTCAGTGCAACATTCATACCAGATCTCAGCTGGTATTCAACTTCTGTAAATTCAGTAATTTTGAACCAAGCCAGTGAACTCCTTCAGCTTAGTGAGGTAATCTTGCAATGCTCTACACTGACAAAGGAGGACCAATACCCTGTGAGAGTTCCAGCTGCATCACATCTACAAGCAAGTGCCACACCAACACACTGCACAGATCCTGCCACATTGCTTTTGACTGTTTCATGGCTGCCAGCTACATCTCATGAGCTTCAGAAATAGGAGATAAGAGACTGCATTGTTTCTTATTTATTAGTGTTTGTTACAAGCCTGGAATGGAAACCGTACTGGAGAAACTTTTCTAGGAAAATGCTATTTGTTATCAAGCAAGAATTTCAGAGTAAATGACAAAACCAGCAAAATCCCAGTAAGAATCAAAGGACAATTCCAACCTTCTCTTCCTCAAGTCTGCAACAAGTGACAGAACATAACTCCTAGCAGATGGGCTGCAGTAACTCCAGAGCTTTCCCATGGTATCTGCCTGCTAATCTCACTGGCTAGCATTGCTTGTGTGTGCTTGCAAAGGAGAAGAAGTTTTCTTGAGGGAATGATGGGGCCAAGAAGGGCAGAAAACCTCCATACATCTAGTGTTTAAGGAAGATAAATCAGGTTGTACCCGTTTAGATACAGGCTAAAAATTGCTTCTACGCTGTCTCTTCGGACAGCCCCAATACACAAATTACAGGGGGGGGTTACACCTTCAAAACATGTAACCTCCTCCCTCATTAAAATGTTTCCTGTTCCCTTACACTCCCTTTTTTAGTTCATGCAAAGCTATGCAAAGGGGAAAAAGTAAAGAGCTTTCTCTTGTTTTCTGGTATTGATTTATGTTACAGCCTTTGTCAGACCAACTCAGAAAGAATTGAAACCATCTGTATGCCTGATGGGAACTAACAAAAAGCTGATGAAGTATGACTTCACAAGGTGTCCAGGGCAGACCAAATTTTTCTCAGGAGTCCATATCCCATCCAGTGCAAGCACAGTAACAAGCTGACACTTTCCAGAAACTGCATCTCATCCTTATATTTCCTCCTAAATACCTCCAGGAACATAGCTTTGGTGCTCTGTTTGCTCTCCTGAGCCTTCACTTCCAACAAATAGAGATTAAGGTGTTTTTTTTGTGACTGGTGCAATGGCCACATATTTTGGTAATATAGTTGTTCTTTCTTTTCTTTCCCCTAACAAAACAAAAAAGTAGCATCTCAGATTTTATGTTTTCTGAGTATTTTATAATATTAATAATAAATATTAATATAACATTAGGCTAAAGAAAAAAGGAAATGAAGGTTGTCAGTGGCCATGTCAGATGGCCAAAGTACACAGAATTCCTAGTTTTTCAGATAATGTCATAATCAGATATCCTAGCTGGCCAGTATTCCACTGAAATTCAATACTCATTCACACTTCAGTATAGTATGTAAGACACTTCTTGCCCAGGGCTGTTAGTCCACACCATCCTCAAACATCACCTATGCTGTTACATGCAACTTCGTGCAGAACTTTTCCACCACTGCTAGGACACCAAAAACCATGATTTCTGTACCAGATCACTTTGGAGAGCTGAGCAAAAAAAAAGCATTTACCAATTTTCCCTTCCTTTGGGTTAACTCCCCTTCTTTCTGTCCACTACAGTAGTGGTTAGGAAACACTTCTTTCCTCTTTGTTTCATTGCTCAGTTTCTCTCCATAGCACACTTTCTGAAAGCAGTTTCATCTTTCACACTGATTAAATGCAGTTGGACAGCAGGGAGTGTCTGTGATTAAGAGTATTGCTCAACAGCTGTTGTTGGACAGCTTTGGCAAGGCTCTCCAGGCTAGCTGCAGGGAAGAGTGAGAGGCACAGCACAAACTGGGAGACTGACTTGCACTGAAGGGAAAAGAGTTGCAAACCATCAAAATCCAAATTTAGGCTGAACAAAGGCTTTATATACTTTATCCATCCTCCTCAAGAAAGCTTTTAAGTAAACTGAATTAATCATGCATGATAAAAATAAATGATGCTATGTCTGAAACATGGAAACTGGAGAGACAGACGAGATGAGACACAAAAGCCAGACAGAAACAGAACTGCAGATTACAAAAAGGCACAAGGTTTAATTAAACAGCTTATCATGGGACATAGTGCCTTGCAGTTGCTGAAATTAATGTTAACCATCTATGTTCACCTCTCTGGGGCCTTTTAGTCACTGTTGCTTGTAGAGAGAAAGAAAAAACCAAACGACACAAACACAGTGAACACTGACTGAGTACATTCTTAGCATAGGTTTGCTGAAGTCAGAGACACCACACTAAGTCCATCTGCCACCACTACCTGCAAACACCATGACTGTCCAGATATTCAAGAGCCTTTACATCAGGCCATATAACATTCTCTGAGGACTGCAAATGAAATTTAATTTTCCATACTAATTTTACATTAAGATGAAAGGAAAGCAAAGAAGCTAACAAGATTTCTCAATTATTTCAAGCATAAAAGTCTTTAATCCCTGTTTAAAATGGAAACAAGTGCGCTTTGGCAGAAAATAAATGGGACAGTACAAAAGTTCTGCCTCAAAGAGCGATTTGGTTTGACCAGGTGGCTGTGCAGACTTGGATTCTGACTCTGAAAAGAGGTGTGTACTCAGAGCCATTCGGAGGCCTTTTTTTTTTTTTTTTTTTTTTTTTTTTTTTTTTTTTTTTTTTGGTCTTTTTTTTTCCTACTGATTGGTGCCTTTTCTCTTCTGGAGACTCAACTGGCAGAGCTAAATACTTGGTTGTCTCCTGCTGCTTCAATCCTTTTTCTGTCTTTCAAAGAACTACACACAAGCTTAAAGAAGCATGAAAATGAAATACAACTTCACATAGACAGTAATACAAAGTGTTACCAGCTGGGCACAAAAGACAATTTCTTAAAAATAAAATATTGCTCTACTGACCACTCACAGCAGCTAGCATGATTCCTACTATTTAGGATAGCAATCTCTGACAGCTCTTCTTCTGAAAGCCTCTCATGTTCTTAGATACTAGTTTGGATTATTTTATGTTTCTACCAGATCACTGAATAGAAGCATGAAAAAACCTATCAGACCTCCACTGTTTCCTTCAGCTTCCCTATTTAATTTCCTGTGTGCTGGATCAAGTTCAAAAGACAATGTTAAAAATGAGACAAGGCTGATGCAAGGCCAAATGAGTGGTCCAAGAATCTCTTTTATCCGTTAGCCACCTAAAATGCTGGCTACACATCTACAGAATGTGAATGGAAGGAATGCTGTGAAAGGTGAAGGGCAAAATATTTACTGAGAAGGGTACAATGAGAGCACTCATGCAGAAAACTGAGATGCTTTGATGGAGTAGAAATCTCTCTCTCAGAAATTCTGTATTTCATGCTGGATTCCATTATACCTTCCAATGCTTCAGGATGGGTCAGTGCTATTGATGTAAATATTTAGCCTGTCTTGCAATATGAAGATACATCCCATGATAATAAAAAAAGGCCAAAAAGGGATCTTAAATTACCTAGTCCACTTTATTCTCTTCCTCTAGAGTGTGATTGACCACATCTGTATGAATCCTAAACATTTATCCAAACTGTTCTCACAGAACTCCAGTTACGGAGATTCCCCAGCCTTCACAATTACTCTGCTCTAGGTTTTCACATTTTCATACCCATAAAAAGTATTATTGCAATCTTTTTTAAAAATAAGTAATTTGATTTCATCCCATCCACTTAAAATATAGGTAAAAGCCTGTTTAGTAACTCTGTGCAGTAGCCTTTTTCCCCACTAGAAGACCTGAAGTTCTTCCTCCTGCCTTTGTTTTCCCTTTAGACTTGTTAGCCCCAATTCTTTACCTTGCCCTGTAAGTTAGGTTTAGTAGACTTCTAATCAATCTTTTTCTTCTTTCCCTCAGAGTTCTTCCAATGGACCACTGATTTTCCAAAATTCTGTACTCAAAACTGGATGCAGTACCTAATGTAAGCCTTATGAGTTCAGAGTAAAGAATGAGGACTTAGTGTCCTCAACAACCCATTTCTACAAGCCAATATATTGCAGCTTTCTTTGCCCTCCCAGATGCGTCACACAGCTAAATAATAAACATCTTGTGAACCTCTGTAGCTTCTCAATCATCCTCTCAAAAACTGCTTCAGATTCTCGCTGTTTTCATTTGTTAACTATTTGTACCTATTCATATAAGCTCAAATGTGTTCCTATTAAATTGCACAGAATTTTGCCAGTTAATTTTTCCTATTGCCAAGATTATTCTGAATTCTAATTCTGCCTTCCAGCACTGTTTTCAGATGACATGAGGCTGGGAAGGATGTCAATGTCAGCTTTATAAACATATGGTCTATTGCATCATCCCAGTCATCACTGAAAAGCAGCATTACAACAGTGGAGCCAAAAATCAAAAGTTAAAATTCTAGCCTAAAAAGCGAGGGTGGAGAAGAAAAACGCTAATCATGAAGTTATTCTCTGTTGTTATGGCAATTACAATTATGTCAGAAAACAGGATGCAAGGAAAGAAGTTCATCTGGACAACATTCAAGCACGTACTACCAAGGTTAAGGATTTTCAGGCTCTTTCAAAGTGTATCTCTGAGGAGGTGAGAAAGAATATTGACATTTGGATAAAGGACTTCATTCTTGATATACTCCCTGTATAACAGTTTAGCACTTCTAACCAAAACATTTATTTTACAAGAATGAACTGTCTGAACATATAATTGGAGGAAGTAAAAGAATGGTTTTACTTGGCTGTTGATTAATATAATGTGTTTGATATTTTTTGTCTTTTTTCAACTCAATAACATATACATGTGAACAGAAAAATGTTCAGGAAGAGCTTAATAAGTAATATAGCACTAAACACTTCTACTACTTAATTATTACTGGTTTTAATTGCTTGATATTTTTAATGTTTCTTGGTTTGGAATCCCATCTCAGTTAGCTACATGCTCCAAATTTGACCAAGGAGTTCCACTGCTTCATCTGGCTAACCACATCAACAGCACCTGAAATATATACAACTGTTTTAACTCCATTTCTGTGAGACATTCACACATACTTCAAGCTTCTAGGCTAATAAAGCAGAGTTGATTTTAAACCCCAAATCGACTGCAGCTAATAAATTTTCAACATCCAAAGTGAGAGATTACCTCAGACTCGGCAATGGCGTCAAGACACGCTGCAGATTTCACTAGTCACTTTCCTGTTACTGTTCCTTAATAATTTTTATTTTGTATTTTTAAACAGATTCAAGATTTTCTCAATGTATTCAGCAAACCAAACCATACAATAGAAACATCAAACAAAGCTACACTGCTAATTCACACACTTTTCAGAAGTGCATAATAGTAAATTCCTTCCTTGGACATACAACACACAGCACAAGTAACTTCCAGAGAGTCATCAACTTGTTTTTCTTGGCAAAGGAAAGTCTAATAAAAATTTTATGCACAAATGCAAGCTCTCAAAATACTTTAAATACAACAGTACAGTCACTAATCACACCTAAAACCTGTCAGTAAAATACTGAAAAGTGTTCTCCATTTCTTTTTCCTTCCATTCTTCCTCCTTTTAACTCCTGTTGAACAGGTTGTTGGTAAGACTCCTCCTCATGTCAGACTGGAAAACAATCCTGAGGGCATTCTGCTTGGCCACCTTTCTCAGCAATTCTCACACCATGCATGAAATATTCCTGTGAGGGGCACCAGGAGACAACTGTGCTATGCACCCTAGTGCACAAACAGAAGGGTGTTGGCTCTGCACGGCAGAGATGGACTGCATCACCTTCAGCCTGCATGCACTCAGCCTGGTGCCTCAGCCAACAACCAGGGAAATCACAGAGAGCATGTCTTGCTTCTGAGTGTCACAGGTTACCTAAACTCTTAAGAACTGTTTGCTAGCATACAAAACTCAATGTTTTTAAATCCCTAAATAATGAAGTTAGAATGCTAAGAATAAGACAGCAAAACAAAAGTCATCAAAAGAGTTCTTCCTCTAACCAACTGTTCTTCTCACAGGTATCTTTAGAAGAAGCCACTACCAAAACTATAGACCAACCTCAGTACATATGCAAAAAGTCCAAACATAGGCTGTTCTTGAAAAATTCAAGAGCAACCTAAGCATCTAATATTTCCCTCCTCCTGTCTGCTTCTCTATATGGAAAAATCAAACCATACAGTTTGAACAACATGAGAAAATAGAGAAAACTCACTGAGTTTAGTAATGTTGGGAATGGTCAAAATACTATTCTGAGAACCTATTCATTTAGCTACCCTGAAGAATACTGGTTATTTATCTGCATAGTGTGAATGGCTCGTCAGAACAATTTTACACAAGGAAGTAATAGATCAGAAATCCCTAAACAAATTTTAAAGTATTTTGCTAGGCATCTTCAGTGTTTTAATTCATTCTTCTGTTTGATAAACTTTTATTATCCATCTCTACCTCCCTCCAGGGTCCTAACACTTCTCACTTGCCAAAAATTTTGCTTCAATTCCAAGTAACAAACACATTTCAGAAAAAATTTTATTCTTTTGACAATTATCTAACTTCCATCCAGGGGAAACTCTGGCTGTGTATCCTTATGGTATAACCCAGCCAGAATCTACAGGCAGAGATGGAGGAAAGGAAACACCAGCACTAGTATGAAATGACAGTTTGATGGGTGGTGGGTTACTTCTGGACAATTCCACCAGCTTTCGTGCAGAGAGTGAACACCTACTCCCTAACCCATAAGCATTGGGAGAGTACTTTTCCTTTACAACAGTAACTCTGTGGCAATCACCTGCCTGAAGCCAACATGAAAAGCAGATGGTATGCTTTCAGGAAAGCTGAGATGAACATCAAGAAAAATTCTGTGCATCACTATCAAATTTTATGGAAAATAAAACTTTCATGTTAAACTGGGTCAAATCTTTGAGCAAACTCCAGAACAGAGGGGACCAAAATGGTTTCAAATTGGCACAAACAATCTCTTCATGACCTATTAAACAATCACTCCTGCTCTCTCACCGTATCAAGGTATTTTCTCTATTGCAGACAGCTATTTTTAAGAGACTGAGTATTTCCATGCCTCTTCTCTGACGGTACTAAGGACTAATCTTGGGTGCTAATTCACACTAAGGGACAAATCACCCGCTCTCAGCACAGAGCAATGCCTGGGAAACTTACCTTATCACTGTCTAGCGTGTTCTGGGAGGTTCGTGAGGCAATTGAAATAGTATCAGGCTGGCTGCTGCCATCTCCCTGACTGTCCAGGTCCTCGCCATCTCTGCAAAGAATTCAGTTCTCATTACAAGAGTGGTACTGTGTTTGTAACATGCTAGTTAAGGAAGTGAGACACTCCCAGTGTGGCAACAGACATCAAATTCACTGATGCAAGAATCAAACACTCAGTACTTAATATTCTGTTCTCAACTGTAAGAGAAGAGATTAATTTGCAAGGTATACATCATGTAGAAGGCAACAACCAGTGAGCCAGAAATATGGCAACAAACTTGCCCAGTCACTTAGCCAAAGCTAGCAAGCAGGACACTTGGTGACACATTTCAAGCTTCATAAAAGGAAAATGAAGGACCTGAGTAACACATGCAGAACTGCGAAAATCTAAAATGTACAGCTATTCTGTACTGTAGTTTGAAATCCCTTCTGTAATGGCTCATTTACACAAGCCAGGGACTGTTCAGAGCAGAAATCTCAACAAATTCAGCACTGTAGGAAACTGTAAATTAATGATAAGATAGAAGTGGACAAAATGACTCTTGCTTTTGTCCAATTCACTTAAAAGCATACAAAATTCAACACTACAGGGGAAAGAGCACTGTTGTATACTTAGAGATCTCTGATTATTTGAAATACTACTTACCTTCTTCCTTTCTGTTTTGTTGTTGGTGCAGTTTTGGGAATGTGGATGGGCTCTTTCAATGCTCCTTTCAGATGAATAGTCCTTTCTTGTATCACTTCCCGGATGTGTTTGATCCAGTCCTGTTTATTCTCTATACTGGATGCCTTTGATATGCAAAAGAAACAAAACCCCCACAAAGGACCATTATGGCTGAGTAGATCCACACATGCAGTCAGCTAATAAACACAAAGAGGAACGCATAAAGAATGACTTTGTGAAAAATTTCTGAAAACTTGAACAGAGAAAAGGAAATTCTAGCTGACTGTCTTAATTTTGAATTGCCAACACTACTTTACACCTCTCAACATTATTAATATTGGTAATTTAAAAACCATTTTAACCTTAATTCAAAGTTTACTTTTTTAACTTGATGACTAAAGCCCTGTACGCATCTCATGAGAATTAGATGAATTCCAGTAATAACACCTTGAATGCTGGTATTTTAAACTCACCCTACATTTTAGGTCAATTCTAACTTGAAAGAATAATAACCTACTATTACTGGCAAAAGAAGTTAACTTTTACTGCAACACATTTCGTGTATTACTCTTCCCACATTTTGATACATATCTCGAGGCACAAAGCTGATTTAGGGATTGTATTCTAATTACTGCCTGCAACATATCTATTTTTTTTTAAACTCCAGAAATGACTTGATATCCACCTGCCTGACTTGTAATCTGATTGCTTAGCCCAATTTAACCCTGCACCTAAAATGCTACTAAATATAAATATTATTGAAGATCTGAAGAAATTATTATACATAGTTTCCTTAATTATATACTACTTCTCTTAATTGCTGTCTCCTGAAATAACTGGCTTCAAATATATTATAAATATTTAATATATTATAAATATATAATAACCAGGAATTCCAAAGGGATGAAGAAAATTGTAGGAACAGATGGACAGGTAGGAAAAAGAATTTTGTTTTCTTTTACAAACAAAAACATTTAGGAAAAGAAGCTAAACATGAACTTTTAAAAAATCTTTTATTTAGTTTTTCATGGAATTTACTTCTAATATTAATGAGGTAAGGAAGTGCTTGTTTCCAGCCTTCAAAACCGAAGAAACAAACACAGTCCACAAAACTGTGGAAGAGCTTGATGTATCATAGAAGTTTTTTAAATATCCTATGCACTAAATAAAGTACAGAACAGAAACACCTTAAAGCGATCTTATGTAGACAACCCTTAATTAAAACCTTTTATTCTGCTCTGCTCTGCCCTGGGAGGATCATTTCAGGCTGCAAAGCATTGTCTGTGAAATTATGGGAACATTAAAAACTGAAAGAAAATCTAGTATGCATTAATGTTACATTTAATTTCCTTGCATTCCTTGAATGCTGCCAGAAAGCTAATGTAAGCTTTTGTTAGCCTGTAATTCACAAGGAAGAGTGTGACATGTGAATTGAAGAGGCCATTTTTAAGTGACATTATTGAGTATTCACTGTGAATATATGTGAAATCACAAACAAGTTTAATAGTAGGTGCATTAATCTATAAATGAGAACATGAACTTTGTTTCAGCTCAACAGAGCTCCTCAAAACATGCCAGATTACCCATTAGCTGCTTATGGTATTATAAAACAGGTTCTTCAGTAGAAGGAGTCCCAGGTTACATACCATAATCACAGAAAACACTGATTTAGCCATTCTTCTAGCTAGGCAAACAGCTCTACTGACACCTGTAACTTGCCCAGACACAAAATTTATAGGCATTACATGCACTTTCTTCCAAAGGCAAGTAGTTTCAGAAAAACTTGTAGCCCACAAAAAGACATAAAAATCTTTTGCAATGTTTGTTTTCTGCATAAAAATACGGGTCATGAAAAACAGCATTGCCAACAAGCAGTGATGACTTGAGTGTGAAAGGTAACACTGATGCCATCATTTCTTTGTGACACCAGTTCCCTGCCCGCTAATTGCTGAAGTCTTCAAGCTTATAGAAGTCCATGGGATCAAACCTCTCCCTATTATGATTTGTGAAAGCAGGTTTGTATAATTCTTCAGTAGGCTGCAAAGACTCCCCTCTGCTCTCTGGCCACATGAGTTAGATATATATACACCACCACCTCTGCAAACCCAAAGAAAATTATTTGTCAGCAGCTGTCCCTCTCAAAGCAGGAAATCACTCCTTGCTTTCCCAACAAATAACAACAACAACAACTACAAGACTTGCTATAGAGACTAAAAACAAATCTGCTAAAATTACCTTGAGAACAATTTTGTTGTCTGAAGTTGGTGTCCTTCCAACCCACAGAGCAAACTTGCAGGGGTCTCCTTCTACATGTTCTGTGACACCCAATTCAGAAGTCTGGAATGAAGAAAAAATTGTTAGGACCACACAGCATTTTTTCTCAGAAGCCAATGAAGGCATGCTAATAATCTACAAAATTGAGCACTACTATTTAAAGAGATTTTCAGAAGCTTAAGGCTAGCTCACATGATAGAGAGAATCCTTTATTCTGGTGGGCAGTGTGAGGTCTCTTCAAAAAAGGAAGAACTACAAGCTTAACAGTCTTTTCTATAAAGTGACAATAAACAATAACACTCACAATCTGAATACTGAATTGCTTATTTTAGTTTTTGGACTTGACAGTAAAAGCCTTATAACTCTAAAGAAGATGCTCGGCAAAAAGTAAGTTTTGGCTTCTCTCCCTGTTAATTTCCATTGGAGAACACTCATTATTTACTGATTTTTATGCTCTCTCAGATAAGATATGCTTAAGAATTCTCTTGATATCTTCTAAAACTCTGGTCTCTTTTCAGTCAAATGAGACTTTCCTAGTGTGTTTCCTTCCCTCTGAAACAGATGAAATAATTCAGAAATGCAGTTTCCCTGGAGAATTTTGTGAGACAACTATATGAACAATCAGTCTTTGGGAATGTTCTAATGTCAGACCTTAATAGCTAATTATCATCCAAAATGTTTTCACTTTCTAACTGGAACATCTCACTCATGTGAACTGGCTTCCACTTTAAACAATTCATACAGGCTCTGTTCCAAAAAAATTTACAAACTAAGAAATAGAGCTCAAACTAAAAGAGCCCTCACTCCCCAACAGCTGCTAAGTATTCTCACATGATTAGAAGCTGTATTTTTCCATCATACATCATCATTAGCACATACACACCACAACAAATGGGATGCTGGATACCCAATACCTGAGTAAAAGTATTTTTTTTCTTGTCTCACTTGGATACCAACTTGGCTTTTTTTTTTTTGGGTGAAAGCTGTTTAGTTATTTTTTTCTTCTAAAGTAATCCCATCCCAACATCTACCCTTCCACACACAACTGTCTTTGCCCAATAGGCAGTTTAGCAACTTGGCTCTCTGCAAAGGATGCTGAGTCTGCACGTGGCTCTCCAGGACAGGCTCACAGAACAGAAATCATTATGGGTTGCTGGACTGAGGTGAGGAAACTCCCAAACATCCAGTTACTGGTGACTGGGAGAGTGTTCTGTCAAAGTAACACCCGCTTGCCTTTTTCCCCACAGCCCTCCTAAAGCATTTGCTCTTGGACACTTAATCTCTTGCCAAAGGAGTTCATTAACACATTCTGCTTATATATATATAGATGTGTGTGCTTATATATATATAGATGTGTGTGTGTATATATATATATATGTATATGTATGTATGTATGTATATGTATATATCGTGCCATTGAGTATCCTTTGCTGGGGAAACCCTGATGGTCATCATGCCCAAAGCAAAGAGAAGGACCTCATTTTTATAAAGCCACCTTCCAGAAGTCACAGGATAGCATACAAAAAGGATCTCTAGCTCAAATCAACATGCATGCTTTCAACACATGCCTTTTCTAAAGATCAAATTATAAGAGCTGCTATAATAGTAAGCTGCACTACAGGATATTTTGCCAGATAGAATATGACAACAAAAAGAATCCTTATATTTTAAAAAATGAGGTACAACGAGAGTCTTCAAGATTTCAAGCAGCTGCTCTAAGACCCAAGGCTACTACTAAATTCCTGTTGGAGGAACTGATATGACAATTTAACAGGACTGATTTTCCAGTTTTGTCGCCTCTCCCACATAATCCCTTGGCAGCTATTATTCTCCAATACACCAGCATTTTTTTTTTTATTTTGGGTTCTTAAGAGCAGCAAAGAAAGGTGTGATCAACAAACAGATGCAGCTGTGTTACCTGCTAGCTATTTAGTATCAGGAAGGAAAGCAAGTGTCGGAAATGGAGTGACAGAATATGCAAAAAAATGGAAAAATATGGAAAAAAAGAGGTTGTTTTGTTTTGTTTTTTTTTTCACCAACCTGTTTTACCAGTTTAGACACAGAAGTGGGAAGTGGGAATGAATGAGGGAAAAAGAACAGAAGCACAGAGAAAAGACTCAGTATTTATACCATCTAGACTTAGTTATATATTCCAATAGGATCGATACAAGAATACTGTTTCCTAGAGTGTAGTTCTGAAACAGGAAGTAATTTCAACTACTTGCTCTGAATTATTTGGTATAAATGCTAATCTTGCCTTCAACAGATGCAGAGCAAGCCATGGGAGACTGTCTTGCCACTTGGCTACCTAAATTTATGGAGTGTGAATACTGCTCTCACCCAAGTCATCCAAGAGGATAGGAAGGTAAGGATATGAATTCCAGAGTCACATTTTGTAAAGCGTGCATGCTAGAGATAAAGAAAACAAGAGTGGAGGTTTTGGGGTTGGTTGGGTTTTTTTTGTTTGGTTGGGTTTTTGTTTGTTTGTTTGTTTTTAAAGATGGGAAGAAAAACATTTCCACCTTTACATCCTTTCAGTAGACCATAAGTACTACAATTCTATATGCAGAACTTTATCGTAAGACTACTGGTCTCAGCAAACATTCTGGAATGAACTTTTCCAAAACAAACTTCTTGCCTTCTCCAGTCAGTAGGTGTAGAATATCCACTAAAACAAATCCTTAACACAACAGTGAACAAGAAAGTTGAAGGCAGCTTATCAACTCCTTCCATCCTTCTGCTTTATGCAAATAAGTGCTAAAGAATTTGCAATCAACACACAATTAAGACAAAACCAGTCTAGCCCAATATTCATTTTCATTTGACCTGACACACCAAGACTGACATGTACCCTTCAGCAGCTGCTTTGAGTCTATCCTTTCTCCTCAAAAGCAAGACAAAGCACCAAACTCTAAAGGTTCAGTCTATACATTCCAAGGCTGTTCTTGCAGTGCTCTCTAACAGTTGTTCAAGTTTTTCAGACACACTTAAATCACCTGAGCTTAGATGAAGCCTTATCTAGACAGTTTTGTAAATATGATCAGTTGTTCTTCCATACTTACAAACAGTTTGCTCTTGTAAATGTACTTGCTCCTTCCGCTCGAGTCCTTCACTTCTTTACTGAAAACCAAGGACATCTCAAAAAGGAAAAGGTGCCTCTCTCTTCCCTTTCGAATCAGAGTTTTTGGGTCCCACACTTGGAAGGATTCTTGAAGGATGAGCTCTCCCTGAGATTCTATATTTTCATCAAAGCCTAAAAACAGAGTGAAAGGGAAGATTCACCATGAAAAGTTGGTAATACAAGTAACATAAAAAGCACAGCTTCTGTTCATTAAAGTATATGATTTTTTTCTCCCTGACACAATTTCCAAAAGATGAGATTCCAAGAAAACAATACTAGAAACAAGACTTGATTTTAACACTGCAATACACTAAATGTAGCTGCAGCTCAAATGCACTTCTAAATTTAGACACCCAACTGTTAAGAACTTAATCAACTCTTCTGGCAGTATTTTACCAACAAATGACAAATCGGTCTTTGTCAACTTCTGGTAACCTCTTCTGTGATGAAAATTATTTCTCTTATGAGCTTTCTGCCACTGTACAAAGTAAGCAACTTGCAAAGACACAGAGCACATAAGGTTCTTCTGAGAGACGCAAGCTCCCAAATGCCACCTTTTCTGGAGGTACACCTTCTCTACCATTTGGGCAATGAGCACAGAAATGTGCTCCAACTGGGGATGGAGAAACATGGCAGCTTGGAGCTGTTGGAATACAATCAGCCTGCCATTGGTCACGCCAGAATTGATCCACAGTAAAGTAATTACCAGCTGGATCACTTGTATTGAGACATAATGAAAAAAAGATGAAGACTGAAAATGCCAACAATTTTACTTCCATTATGATGGTACCATGCTCGCCCAGTTTAATACACAGCTTTAGAGTTGGAGGATAACAAAAATTGTCTACCATATTCTTCTGAGTGGTATCAAAATGTATTTTAAATAGATACTGCTTGCCAGTTCTCATATCCTGAACAGGGAAAGAGTATGGAGAGGATCAGAGGCAAGTTCCGCCAGGATGTTCATTCAAATTCCTCCGGAGACATAAAGAGGAAATGTGCTCACTCACTGTATTTGTCCAACATGGGATGACTCAACAATGCACGCACTATTTGTTGTAAAACCAACTTATGTAAAAGATTAGGATATTCTCCAGAGTCACATTCCCAATGTCAGCCTTTATACCAAGACCACCTCCTGGACAAGCATTTGGAAGTGATCCTGTAAACTGACCAACATCCTTACTGCTTAAAATCAAGAAACAGAGGTGATTTGGGGCATTTATACGATCAAGGATCACATGTCAAACCAAGGCAAATTTTACAGTACCTACTACAATATTGGAAGTTCCACAACAAGCTGCATGCTACTACCAGAAGGCAGAGAGGAAGAAAAGGCATATTGACTAGAAGCACTTAAAAGTATTTATTCAGCAACTGTAGGCTAAGAGGGCCCTGCTTTTTCCTCAAAAAATTTAAACACGCAAGGAAAACATTTTTATCACTAAATGTATGATTGCACCATTATAAATGATAATTTGCCAATTGCAAAACAGATTTTGGCATGAAGTTGTTCTAAGCACATAGATGCATTACATCCAACCTCCACTGTCTGCCATGAACATGATTATGCTGGCTTAAGCTTGGGCTAAATTGGCTTATGTTGACATTTTACTGCCAGAAGATAAATTTCAACCAGAAGTCTGTTATGGAACAGGCAGCAAACAGATGTGAAAAAGACAAACTTCTTGAAGACAATTATTTGATACATAAATCATCAAAATCACCAGTAATACAGTTATGAGCCCCATACAAAGAAGCTAAGGTTGGAAAACACAGCCAAAGCCAGCATATCTGACCAGTCACCTATTGCATTTTGGGTGAGTAGTGGACTACTTCATTAGCCTACACGTTTTTCACATCTGTAGTGGCACAACTATAGATCAAGGTGAAAGAACACTTCAAGAATTACTAAAACTCTAGCAGCTGAGTGTAACAATTTATTTTCCTAAATACATTTTCATCTCATATAGCCCCGCCAAAATGGTATGAAAAATACAAACCCCGAGAAAAGAACATGTTCACAAAACAAAGTTAATCTGCAGCACAAAATGAATTGGAAAGGCAGCTTGAATCCTACCTTCCAGCATGCTGAGGTGCATGGCATCATTGGCTCGCTTTGGCACACTAAGCATCACCTCCAGGCCATCCTTAATCTCACCTTTACCTTCTTCACAGCACGTGAGCAGCTCCTGCAAAAGACAAGCCGACAAAATTACTCTCTATAATTTGTTTTTACACTAATATGACAGACAAACCAAGAGTTTTTACACCAATATAACAAATCAAAAATCATTTTTGACACATAAAACATTTTTGAACTTCTTACTCTGCCAATGACATGACTGTGTACTTTGTTTCTATCATAATCATCAGATCTTCAAGGAGCAGCCCAAGCTATCAGCTAACCACTTCTAATTTAAACAGGTTTATCTGCTTAATAAGAAATCTTTAAAAGTTATGTTAAGAACAAAATTTTTTTGATAAGCACAGACAGAGTTTTCAGATGCTGTGCTACATCAAGGCCCAGAACAATGCAGATGCCAAGTCATGAAGATGGGGGAAAGCAGGGCAGCACAAAAGGACCCTTCCCACCTCCCATGTCAGTCATCGCTCCACTGCACCAAAAACCTGCTCTGTACAACTGCTGATAAAGAGAATTTATATTGTTTTAAGTATTCCATGAATGACTATGCTGTGCTCACACAGTTAAAAGCAACCTACAGACAAAACCTTTCAGTACAAACTAGCATTAACTAATGGACAGAAGTTAGAGAATTTTACATGCTGAAGTGTTGTAGCAGAATTTAGGGCATACAGTTCTCTGTCCATTCAACATCCCATAGATTTAATGTAACAGTGTCTGAGCTGATATTCAAATTTCCTGGCAGCTTTCAAGCATTTGAACAGTATCAAGATAAAATGTAGGTTACGTAACCAAAAGGGCATATTATGTTCCTTCTGTTATGCAAAAAGCCCACTTAATTAATTCCCTCAGGTTACATTCCTTTTCCCCTTTTTAAAGAGAAAGCCATGTGACTTCTATTATGATCATTACAATATTTTTATTCGACTGCCAGTACCACCATTACAGCAAAACACTACATGATCCCACCTAAATTTTGCATGACAACTCCACAGAACAGTGAGAGAACTAAGTATCTCTCAGAGACACAGAAGAGGAGCAGCTTCAATACCCTTTGGAAAAACAAGTGAAACTTTCAGAACTGTAAAATGTTTCATTTATCATTCAAGTTTTAGGCTCTTAATCCTAAATCCTACTGTGCTATACATCTCTCTCCTATTACAGAAAAAAAAAGAAAAAAAAAAAGGAAAGACAACCCAGAAACCCAGCAACCACCAGACAAATCCATTTTACTACACAGCAAAGACATCTGGCTCTGCAAACACTGGTGAAACCAATGTATCCCACCACTTCCATAAAGTTGCAGGTTAAAGCATATTAATATTAAAAATAATAATAATTGTTGGAATAAATTCCTCAGAATTTCTGAAACAGCACAGCCCAGAGTATTTCTGTAATAATAACTTGACTAAGTTGCAACTCCTTTCAAGTGGAAAACAGACACTAAACTTCAGTCAAAAATGACAGATTTGTTTCCACCCAATGTGACCTGAAATAGCCTCTAATGTTTTTTCAGAAATGTCAAAAGCAATCACACATGGCTGCTCTCAAGTAAAAAGTGGAGACACAGATCAGTTACAGCGCTTTTGGAGGCTGCTACAACAAAACAAGCATTGCCACCTAACAGCCACCCAGCACAGTCCAAGAACACTGCTGCTCACTCCAGAAGACATCTGTCCACTAAGTGAAAGTTCAACTATAGGGATCCAAAAGCTGTGCTTATTTTGCAGCTACTATTTACTTGACATTTCCAGGCAACATAACAATAAAAACTCTTTGTGCAACAGCTCTACAGGTACAGTCGCTATGTGTAAATATTTACCGATACACAGACATTTAAATGCCTTATAGATATTTTGTATTACAGTTTGATATATAAATATCTATTTTACAGTATTTAATACTATCAGCATAGCTAATGCCTTGCCAAAATTTGTTGTAGAAACCATTATAAAAATGGTTTTATAGCCATATAGCCATGAATTACTTTTTTACCCTGGAAATGCAAATTATATTTTCTAAGTAAACATCAGTAGACACGTAATCTTTTTTTGGTTTACAGAGATCTGGACAAAAAGCTGCTTGTTTATGCCTTCTTTCATTTTCAGCTGAAATTTTGCAGCAGTATTTGTGGCTGCCCAGGATGCTGGAGTCTTAGAGACTAGAGTAGAACAACCCTCCTGATTTTAGCAAGAGCTTTGCCTTCTTCTACCAGCAGAATCAGATGAAGAACTCTGAATTAATACTGACCTTTAAAAGAAGCTGGTATTTTGTTATCCTTTGGACAGGTTTGATAAGGTAAGAGGAGATAGAGTTGGCCAGTCCATGTCGTTGTTGTATCTCCTACATGGAAAAAGCAAACATCTGAGGACTGTGAGCACCAACACTCAGATATAAACTGTTTTGTGGGATATGAAATAATATACATTAACTACAAACTCTATTTTAGCAGAAAAAAACCCAAAAACAAACAAACAAAAAAAACCAGGATAACCAGACATTCCAGGCACAATGAATCATTATGCTGTGCATCTCACTTGGTACAAACAGACGATTACCTCCGAGAGTGGTAAATGTGAAACATTTCAACAAACCTAAATACAAAGAGCAATGATTAGGGACACAGAATATGTGGTCACACCTTTTTTAAGAAAACATTAAGATCTGTACTTCTTTTGCTGCTTGCAAGAGAGGAAAAACCCTTCACATTTCTATGTTGCTGGGAAGAGGCAGGAGTACCAGGAAGGCTGAGGTAGAGGTTTCTCAGCATCCCCTGCTATTTCAGTGCCAACAGCCACAGACGGCCTCATCCCCCACCAGAGGGAGCACCGAGTAACAGTTTCTGAGGTTACCAAGCACTTGAAAAGAAAACAGCCACTTACAAATAGAAAAAGGAATGACATCCACGAAGCTAAAGGTGGAAAACAGAATTACCTGATAGCTAAATGGGATGATTACAGATTTCGGGTACTGACTGGGGCTGAGCTCCACTGATAGTGTCTGCCATTTATCACAGCACTGGATCTATTTTAACCGAGCAATTTCAAACAGCAAATTATGCCCCACAGCTATGTGCCATCAAACCATGGTTACAGTATCAGAAATTCCCAAAATGGGATATACACGATATTTTCACATAGACCAGTGGCTGTCATCAGTAGAAGCGCTCAAGTTCTCTGTGCACAGAATTAAGTCTTCACACTTCTAATATACTTTAGGTGAATTAGGGGATGGAGAGCTCTGGATATAGTGGTAAAACAGATGAATCAAAGGAAGTGGTGACAAAAATTTATTTCTAATAGTTTTATCAGAGCCCTGTGTTATTTTTTTTTAAATGGTATTTACTAAATTTTTCTTGGAATTTTTTTAGTCACATCTACCTGATTTTCTGTAACTCACCTGCTTTTCTTCAAACACTGAAAACTTAACAGAGGCTTCACAGAAAGGCTTTGCCTTACAATGTTTAGAAACCTCATTTCCTCAGTGATTAGACTTTTGACATTAACCTCAAGGGCTTCAGGGATTTCCTCTACTTCCCTCTACTTATACAAACAATTCTAAAAAAAATTGTGGTGTCATTACACTGCTAGTGGCTCAGCTGGGGAAAAAAATGGAAAAAGACAGCACTCTAATTGAATAATTTATTAATACAAGATACTGAAACTTAGTCACCGTGGCCAATATTTCTCCCTAAAACTTCTAACACACCTACATTTTTGCTGCTTTCTTATACAGAATATTACATGTGTAGACCATGCAACCATGGGACTGAATAAGGAGGTTCAGCACTTCTGAATAACAGCAGTGAAATGAATTACCACTACATACAATTACAGTTTAAAAGCACTCCAAAAATTCAACCAACATTTCCATCTCTATTACATACAATGCAAAGTAAGCACATCAAAATGCTAACATTTGCAGGATGTGCTTGTGTGAGCTGAAGATTCATGTCTCGGTTGTTGTTGCCAGAACCTGCTTCCAGTTCTGAACTGCTCTGATATTTGACAGCGACTTTTCACATCTGATTTGACAGCTCTGTAACACCAACTGAGCAATAGAAGTTAGCCACGTGAGATACAGGACTGATTTTCTTGAGCTGAAAGCTTAATAAATTGCAGCGTTATTAACAGGAATTTGCATTTTCTTAACAAATTAGGCACTCAGCAGAACCAAAAATATAAGTCAAACAGCCAAGGTGTTTTAGCTTTTAAGATGGACACGATGTACTCACATCAAAGTATGCTCCCGCATGTTCTAATATCAGCTGAGTGGAATCTGGCTTATTTTTACAGTAGGTAACGTACATCTGGAATTTGTCTGCCTGCAGAACAAAATGCAAATTTACAAAGGTTATCAGAGAGCCTCATTCCTGTCTCAAAATTTTTAGGCATTTATCAGAGAGCTTATCTTCCCTATCAAGAAACTGAGCTGTACAGAATTATACTTCTACTCAAACTGGCAGCATAAAAATACACATCAGGCAAGCAAGACTGAAAACAACAGCAATGTATATAAAAACAGGTTATTTAAAGCTAAGACAAACCAAATCTGCACACAGGTTTAGGCAACTTGCATACACTTCAAGAGCAGCTAAGGACTGGCATCTGACAGGAGTGCCCTAATTATTGTTTTCTCAGTTAAAGATTCACATGTTTTACTTAAATTTGCAGGAAGAGGTACTTTTACAAATCAAAAAGGGATCTGAGAGCAAGAATTTGTCCCATCATGCATCCTATCCCCCTTTCTACTTCTAAACTTCTGACTTCATTACCCAAGTAACGAAGCAATGTCCAACATCTTCTGGTAACTGTTCATATTTTTCCAACTCCTTGAGAAATATGCTGTGGGTAGAAAAGAAACAAGCAGAATAAGGCATATGAAACATGTTCATTACAGCAACTTGTTTGGATCTATTGTCTGTGGACAAAGGCCATTAGAAAACTTTCAGTAATACCAAATGTATGAGCTAAGGAAATAAAGACAATGAACAGATAAAAATATGTAATAAAAGTATTAATATAAAATATAATTCAATAAAAATTCTGATGAGAAGATCAGAAACTGAACCAGTGGACATGCAGTTGATACGTAAGAATACACAAAAAGTTAGTAATTGCAGCTGTTCTCTATCAAGAAGGTTTCCTACTGTTTTCAGTTTCAAGAAAAACCTTAATCTCAATTTAAAAAAAAAACCCCAAACGTTGCTTTTTGGATACTCAAGTTCTCAAGTTAACACAAAGCATAGAAAGAACTGTAAAATCGGGGTATGGGATATGCTAGGTATATTTTATTACTTCAAAGAATCATAACCCAATACAAATGTGGACATAACCAGGAAATAGCAAAGAAAGAAGATTCAGAGCAAGACTTCCGTACACAAATCCCCCTAGGAACCACTCCATTCAGAAGAAATGGAGTGGACAGTCTCTTTTATGCTCTGTACTCCAGTAAATGTAATGATGCTGGAGCATCTCCACAGAAGCTAAGAAGAGCCAAGAAGAGCTGGGAGCCCTACGCTTTCCCACTAACAGCTGCACTTGGATAATCGGGAATAAGGGCTCTGAAAAAATGTCAGAGCCTTAATGTTTGTGCTATGTTTGTGTTTTATTGAGTTCAATGGTTTTCATCTCTTTAGAACAACTGATAAACCTACAACAAAATTTTGGTGTATCCAAAAAAATCTCTTATACACTGAAAGATGCCTGAGACTGAAAAATATAATTTCTAATGGTGTACGTATCTCTCTGCAAAAAGCAACAGCTGAAATAATTTAGCAATGCAAGAGGAAAATATTGCATTTTTTATAATGGGAAAGCATTTATCATTGAAATACACAGTATTTTCACTAGGAAATCCCGCAGGTCATCATTTGGATTTAGCAGTAGTATGGAAATGAGAGATAAGTCACTCACTTATTGTGGAACTCATAAATTTCCTGCATGTTTCCAAAGATAATGTGTTCTTTGTTTACAATACCAGGTGGGATCTCCTCAACTCCACTTGTCATTTCCCATAGATATGTCTGCCCAGAAAAAAAAAAAAAAAAAAAAAAAAAAAAGATGTGTGAAAAGTGATGATAAACTCCCAACAGATGCAGCCAGGTATCTGTAAGTATGCATTCCTGGAGAGAAACTAGGCAAAGATCACACAGCAGCATCATCTCCAATTGTGACAGTGCCTGTTGTGTCACATATACCTTGTGATTTTGACAGTGAAATACAAGATCTAAAACTGACAATTTAACATAGTCCCTGAGACTTCATAATTTAAAATGCATAGTGTTCTTGACAACCTCTAATGCTTCAGGATATTCCTTATCAAGGTCACGTCTGCAGTCTAGAAGTTCATGCTTTGTGCAACAGCTACCACTGAACATTAGTTACTTCAGCATAACAATTACTGGGCACTCTTCCATGGAATCTCACTGAATTTCTATTCAAAAAGTCAGCTAGTAGCAGAACATGTGATACAGATAATAAGAGAATTAGCACAAGCTCTCCCCTATTGCTAGCAAAGCAAATAAAGTAAACCCCTCCTTTTTCCCTCCTCTCTCTAAAACAAAACCCCCACACACGATTATGAATTGGGAAAGGAACAAATACTGAAACTCAGTACCAACAAAAGCAAAACATATAGGGTGAATTCTGAAATGGCAGTTATCAGACATAATTCTAAGTTTCTTCTTAATGGCAGTAAGATTACTTAAGTTGATCCTATGATTCCAAACCAATCATGCTCAGCTGTTAAAAGCAGAAAAAAACCCACAAAGCAACGGATTGAATCCTGCCTTCAAAGATTAGTGAAAAAAGAAAACTCACATCCATGCATTCCCGGAGGTCTCTTACGTAAGCCTTTTCTGTCTGAATTAGCTCAGCCATAATGAACCTTAGGTGACAACAGAAAGAATAATCAAATCTCAGTCTGTTAGATCATTGCGAATGCATAATAACCAGAATACATCGTTCTCCTCATCAGCTTTTGCTTTTCCACTGCAGCAAGAAAAATCTGAGAAGTGAAATGTGAAGAAAGACAGCAGAGGAAGGAAACATACGAGGTAATATCCCTCCATTACTAACCAGGACAAAAAGAAATGGGGAAGGAGATGGAATTTTTTCTCTAACACTTTTCACTGCTACAGTCATTTAACTTTTGTCTTGCTTCCTCCGCTTACACATTTATTCCACATTATTTCTAAGAACAAAAAAACATGTTAAAAGAAGTCTAACAGTTTTGAAAGTTTAAGATTCTGTCATGCTAGAATTATCTACGAGAACAAGCATGTGAATAAATGGCAATAAGAGATACTGAGTACTACCATTCTCTTTTTACCATTTATATGATTTCTAAGCTGCCAGACAAGCCAAGGCAGTTGTTTCATTATCAGGACTGATTTATGCATTCTCATTGATTAAAAAGAAATAAATATATTACTCTTTCCTGCGGGCAGACTTTCGTTTTTCTTCGTTAAGCTCATGAGCAGCATCGCGCAGTTTCACCTCTGACCCAGGGACACTGGCTGGGATTATATCCAGCTGCAAGCTTTTGCTCTTTATTAAAGAAAGGAAGAATTGATTAAGGAAGGAGATAGGAGAAAAAGGTAGCTAAATCAAACGCAAGTAAATCTTGTTTGTCTGTCATCACACTCAAATTTCTCTTACCGATTTATTGGAATCTGAGGAAATACCCAGAGCTTTCTCTAAAGAGGTCCTGTATTTCTCCATGCGCAGGGAAAAGTCTCTGTACCTCTTATCCACTGCTGTGACACATTTTTTAATCTCTGTTGCATGAGCATGCCCTTTTTCACAAAAGCCATCAGCCAGCTGTATCAACAACTTCACCCTCTCTTTGGTTTGCTATGAAAACAGGAAAATATCAAACAGTTACAAGCTCTACCTGTCATGCAGAGGTTCATTTTGCTTAACTGCTACTAAGTGCAATTAGAGAAGGAATTGAAGAAGCTACCTTCTTCCGCTCTCTTCCCAGAACTCCTTTAAACAGTCACCTTTTACTTATTAAAAATAGCACAAGATTAATGTAGGTTTCCTTGGGTTTTATTATTACATGACTAGAAGCAGATTATTTTTCTTTGAAAAATGTGCTTCATATCTAACCCAGAGATTAAATTCTGCTAGGCAAGCCTTTCAGCATGGGTACTTGCATCAATACAAAGGCATTTTGATGCCAAAGAGGGTACTTTGTTCATTACCACTGAAGCACTGGTATTAGACCTGGCCCCCAGTCTCAAGAATCTACCTCCTTTAGACACCACAGAAATGCTGAGATGGAAGTAAGTCTTGTTATATGCTTTACTCTTTAATGCATGAAGACTGAATTCTTTAAATATTTGCTGTATTATGCTTTGTTGGCACAGAGCTGTTTGAGAGAAACTAAGAGAAACAAGCAGTTACCACCAAATCTCTAAATGCTTTTCCCAAATGACAAGCCGCCTAAGATTAAACACTTTATTTCATGTAAATCATAAATCATCCACAATGGATGAGTTTATACATCCACCTCTCTCTCTGTCATGAGTGAAGTGTACTGTCAGGGCCCTTGCTAGCAGGGAGTTAAGAAAAAGAGTCAACAAAAACTTGACTCTTACATTATTGAAAAAATCAAGTTTGTCCTATCTTCATTCATTTTGCTCCCTAATGGTCCCTCATCCAATGCTAATTCTTTTCAGTATGGAATTAGCAAGGGCTAACATATCCTCCCAGCAGGTAGCAAAATGCCAAGGGAGTGACATAAGCAACATCTTTTCACAAAGGGCACCAATGTCATCTGCAGGCTGAAAGAGGAAATAAGGAGGAGTAGTGGTGCTCTGCATACTGGAAGGGATCCAGGAAATCAAAGTCTGAAGCAAAGATCAAACAGAAGAAAATCCAGGTTTGAACATGAAAAGTGATCTCTGTTCTTTCTGTATTTTCTTTTCTCCCTTCCCACATGTCTCTTGGCCACCTCCATCTCCAAGTCTCTTCTGAGGTGATCCTTCAGACAAATGAACACTTGCTTACTTTCCTGGGCTCGATTATTTCTCTATGAAGGTTGGAGAGCCAGAGGGAGAAACGGGTAACAGTTTGAACAGGTCGCAAAACAAAACAGAGACAGACAATGTTACAAATTCAGGTGGTTCAGTCATGCAATGGTTGTCTGTCTTTCACATGTGAAAACTAGAAAGCCTCAGGAGTGACAACTTTACAGCCTCAAGCCTGTAAAGGCCTCCAGAGATGCACAATAACATTCTGCTGCCTGACTCAAAAAGATTTACAGGAGAAGCACAGAATACTTTAATAAAATGAGTTACCTAACAAATAGAGCTTTAATTTTTCTAATGTCTTCTAATTAATGATCAGAATAATAATACAGCTTGTTGCATTTTATATCTAAATGAACTTTCAGTAATCCACAATCATGAAGATATGAAAGTGGAAATCAAAGGCCCTGAAACGTTTGTAGGTATTGAAAACATTTTTAAGCTACCTCACTATGATTTTGTCATGAGAAGTCAACAGCACATAGGGCTCATGGAGCTTTAGTAACAATGAGTATTTGCTCACTATCTTCTGGTTTATTCTATTCTCAGCAGAAATATAGACAGAAAGCCACTGCAAGTAAACAGATCTTGATGGACACATCCTTGGGGGGATTTTTTGATGGGCAAGGGGAATTCAGTTGTTTTATTTTGTTTGAAATTTCACATAATTCAACTTGTATTCAACTTGTTTATAGACAGCCTGGAGAAGGAACAGAATGCACCCTCAGCAAGTTCGTTGATGATATGAAAGTGGGGGACCGGCTGTGCTGCGTCAGTGGGAGCTCGATAGGCTGGGGAGTTGGGCAGAGCAATCTAATGAAGTTCAACAAGGATTAAGGCAGGTGCTGCAACCTGGGGGAAATAACCCCAGTACCAGCACAGGTTGTTGGCTGACCTATTAGGCAACAGCTCTGTGGACAAGGAGCTGGGAGCCTTGGTGGATGAGCATGAGCCTGCAGTGCCCTCGTGGCCAGGAGGGCCAATAGTATCCTGGGATCCATCAGGGAAAGTGTGGCCACAGGTCGAGGGTGGTGACCCTGACACACTACTTGACCCTAATGAGGCCACATCTGGAGTATTGTGTTCAATTCTGGTTTCCACAGTGCAGGAAAGACAAGGAGCTAATGGAGAGGGTCCAGCAGAGCAACACAAAGATGGTTTGGGGTCTGTAGCACCTCTCTAATGAGGACAGACTGAGGGAGCTGGGCCAGTTTAGTCTGGAGAAGAGGGAGAGGGAATCTCACCAAAATATAAAATATCTCACTGTCAGGGGATGTACCAGACTCTTCAGTGATGCCTAGTGACAGAACAAGGACTAATGGCCATGAACTACAACACAAGAAGTTCCATCTCAACATGAGGAAGAACTTATTTACACTGAAGGTGGCAGGGCACTGAACAGGCTGCCCAGGGATGTCATGGAGGCTCCCTCTGTGAAGACATTCAAAATCCACCTGAGCATATCCCAGCATAACCTGCTCTTGGGGACCCTGCCATTGTAGGGCAATTGGACTAACTCATCTCCAGGGGTTCCTTCCAAATCTAAGTATTCTGTGAAAATTTTTAAATTTTATTTTACCTTTGCTGTGATCTGAAACTCTTCATGTTCTTTCAACAACTCTTGAGTGTGCTGGATACTGGAACCAGTGGAAGTATGTGTGGATAAATAAAACTCTCCATTGTCATGAATCCATTCCAGAGCCTAAATAAAGCATTAGTGAAGAAAAATAAGAGAAAGACAATATATTTTTGCCAACAGAAAACATATGTAGTCAGTATTTCACATGCACAGTTTGGCCACAGGTAAATTTTACTCTGTGTCACTTGTGGCCATCATGTAATACCTCTATAATACCAAATAGTTCATAGCTCTGAAATAATTCACATAGACTATGAAGCAATGCTTAGAGAATTAAAAATGACATATGAATCCAAACGCTTCAGCAAAGTCCACTACTGCAAGACTACAGCAGTCCACTATTGAAAGGTTCTAACTAGTTGTGTTCTCAGTTTTGATAGTATATTCCCCAGCTAAGGAAAAAGAAAAAAATCACTTCTTTGGTGCCACACGGGACAGCGATACTTAGAAATATACATGCTCCAACTTGTAAAAATGTATATAAGACTGCCAAGTGTGCAGGCTAAACTTTCCAAGCACGTAAGATTTAACTATCACTTCACTCTTTTGCTGACATGTATTCCAGCCTCACGAAGTGCGGTGGTCTGTGCTCCTAGAAATAAAACCTGCAGCAGAGAAGGAACAGTGCGATGCCTCAGTTAAACCAATTTATGTATGTGCAAGTAGAAAGAAAACAAGAATGAAGAACTGCAAACCAAGACTGTTTCCCTTCCACATCCTGACACTTTATTGGCTCACTATTATGAAAAATGCTGATCTTTGCAATTATCTATGCTTTACCCACATATCTATGCTTTCCCTGCTGCCCTTTTAAGCATAACTCAGTGGTCGTGAGGAATCTCTGGCTCCTGGAAAAAGCAAGAGCTGTCTCCAACTGCTGCATAACAGTGAAAATCTAACTGACATCTGTTCTGCAGCTCTCAATACAGACTTCCTACAGCAGCAGGCAGAGGGATGGGATCTTAGAAACTTCTCGTTTCTGAAAAAGCCAATAGCAGATGTTCAAAGAGTTTTTACACAGCTTGCTTAGAACCACCTTATTACTAAATGTGTAGCTTCTGTCTCTTCAGTAAATACACAGAACACTAGACAAAAATGTAATACTACAAGAGAAAAAGTAGTAGATTGCTGGTGGGTGCTCACTCTTCCCTTGAAAGGATAAACTGAAATTATGAGCATTATCTATCCACACTAGCAAGACCAGGAAAAGATTTATTTTGGTGGACAGTAGATATGTATGTTTCACACACATAACCTTACAATTAATCACAAAAGGCATTGTCTGTATTATAATTTCACCAATGATTTAAGCTCATCAAAGCTGTGATACAATAACGCTGATTCCCTTACTTCCACTTCAAATGCTTTTCCTTCTTGGTGCAAAACCAGAAAAGAGTAGAAAGCCTTCAAAATTCAACACCGAATGTGAATGCCAGGATACCATTTTCTAAGTCACATACTAGTGCAGGTGCAAGCCTGGTAAGATGGACCTGTACTTTTAGAAGTTGCTGATGGAACAACTGTTGGACTTCGGTCAAAAAAGTAACATTGCAACCAACCACCTCTATGACACATGTTGTCATTCTAATGTCAGTCTTTGCAAGTGAAGACTGATATGGACAGGCACAGCATGGCTACCTATTATTAGCAACAACATTTAATACTTCTCTGCCTGTTTTTAGTGGGTTTATTACATAATGCTGGAATGAATGATAAACAAAAAGCTGCCCTTCCCCAAATCACAGAATGGTTTTGACTGGAAGAGAACTTAAAGATCATGTCGTTCCAATCCCCCTACCATGAGAATGAAATGTTGTCTTTTCATAACTGGCTGGCAGCTCTCTAGAGGCACAGTATGACAAAAGTTTGACTTGATCAAGTTTGACTTGATCTTAATTCCTACGGTTTAGATCAGCTTTCATTTCACCAGAAGTATCACTACAAGAACTGGAGGAATCAGTTTAGGGATCAGGTAAGCCCTTAACTCTGAAAGGATTTGAGAATCTAACATTGTTCTCACAAACTGGTATGGTATCTTTTCCATCACAAGGGCATCACGTTCTGAAAGCACAAAGAACAGGTTCTGCCAAATTCCAGAAAGACATCTAAATGAAGACAGCAACACTTCCATTTTTTTGGCTAATCACCGAGGAGTCCCATATATGGTTTGGTTCGCTTTGCTTTTTGATGACTGAACTGGTGATTGATGAAAAATGGGATTTACAATGAAAATGCTGACAGATCTTTATCTCCAGTGTTTGACTGTTGGTTACTAATCTCTGTACAAAAACAAGTAGATCATGTGCTTGTCAGAGCTTTAAATTAAGGTTATTCAAAAGTAGAGTGGGGAGGCGAGGGCAGGGGGGCAGGGAAGGGATGGTGGTGTTGTTTTAAAGAAGTATCAGACTTCAAATTCACTCCAAGATGCATCTTGCATTAATTTCTTTGTGAAAGCATGAAAGACAGACTTGAGAATTCTTTCAAGAGAGCAAACCAGACCAATAGTATTTAAACTTTTGTCTAAATTAGCGGTCAGAAAGAAATAAAAGATTAGGTTTTTGAGCCCTTTAAAGAGGATCCGACTATATTTTACACTATGGGCAGTGTGTCATTTTCCACAGAACAGAAACAGATAGCTTCCTTTCTTTGTCTTACAACCAGTTAAAAAAAAAACCCAAAAAACAAAACCAAAACAACAACTAAAAAACTATCACAGATCAATCTATTTACCACTTCTACCTTGAACCCCCTACATATTTTTAAGGCATGTGTTATGTTTAGTGAAGGAGATTTTTTTTTTGCATGTGTGGTAGTTACTTAATAGTTCTTTTCAGACTGATAAACTCAACAAAATACCAAGAGGTGGATCTATCATGCAGGAAACCATGAAACCAAACACAAAGAATTGAAAAACCAAAGTAATTCAGTTATTATTGTTTAATGAGTTATCCAACTTGTCAGATTTCCAGAACTGCCAATCAACTTAATTAGATATTTTTCCTCCAACATCTGAGAAAAATGCTGCTGCCTGTAATTTCCCCAGACAAATTAGGTGTGTGTGTGTAAAAGTTAACAAGCATAACAATTTGTCAAACACAAGCTTGCAGAAATTAGATTTGCCAGTACCAGATGAAGCTGGCAGAAGCAAAACATCACCTTTAAGTTACAACAGTTACAGACACACTGCCTCACCAAATTTAGTTGTTCTGTATTAAAGGGAAGGCAAAGAATTCATTTGGCTTCTTCTATCCTTCTGATGTTTTAACTATTTGAAATATCGAAGTGAATGACAAATTTGTTACTGTGAGAAGACAGTGTATGTCAAGCCCCGACCACACCAAAGAGGATTTTCATATGAAACCCTCACCTGTTTGGCACTTCTTTCAAACACCACATACTGCTGGCACTGATCAAGACGCCTTTTACGCATGGTCCAATAATGCAGCACACGGTTCTCCCTCTGGAAGAGTTCATTCAAGATATCTGAAGAAATTAAACAGAGCTTATGACAACCAAATTTAAAATATCACAATAAAATCAGGGGAATAAAGTACTTGACATTGTAGAATTTACTGTACACTTACTCCTTCTGTTAGTCCTTGCTTTACTTTTTTCCCTGATATTAATGAAACACAGAGTGTTCCTTTTTCATTACTTAGAGAACTGCTGGTTAAAGAAACTAGAGATGCAATTAAAACTTACTGCTGATGTGTTTTTTTCCTCTCAAATATTTTTCACAAGGGGACTGCCACTGCTTACAGCATGATTTAAAACGTAGGCTGATAAAGATGGCACTTGATGGGGTTTCTTCAGAAAGAATAAGCATGCAAAAGTGATCATAACATGCTTAACATATTATATTTTAGTAAAAATGGGAATTTGTAATATATCAGTCTCCTGTAAAGAATTTTAATGATTTAATACAGATAAACAAATGTACAACCCTAAGTCACCACGAGATCAAATGCAGCATAAGTAAGCTGACTTGTTAAATATGAATGTTCACTGAACCTTGACAGAACTTCCAGGTAATCAAATAATTAACTCCACAGTTTGTTATTCCTGAGTATCAGAAAATTCACATCCAAATCCTACATGACCAACCTTTTAAATTCTTCCTAGCAAAGGCCTTGTGTTTACAATATGCAGAAGACTTTATCTGAATTCTGCTTCTTTAATGCTTATGGTTTTCCACCAAAAAAAGAAATTCTAGCAGTTTCCTGTGAAGCTCACTTTACCCTCTGCTGCTTCCAGAGCAGCAGTCCTACTTGTAGCTTGTAGCTACAGCAAACCTGGAGGGCAAGCTGAGCACAGGGGAATGGGGACACTCCATGTCTCCACCAGGAGATTCTGTTGCAATTGCACAGAGCCAAAAGAGAGGTCCAGCAGAAGAGACCACAAAAAAAGTCTTATTCTTTACACCAACACTACTTGCTTTTCTACTTACACCCAGAGCTGGCTATTTTCCATAACCCATAATGACGAATGAAGGCTATCAGATGCTAGGTGTCTTAAGGTCTCTGCATTCTGCTCTCCCACTGTGCAGGTCCACCGTGCTTTACATCCCAAAAGCTAACAACTCCAAGAAACAGTTTTACAAGAGAAGCTCAAATAACAGGAAGGCGGAGGGGAAATGCATCTTTGTCTACCTCATCAGAGATCTGGGATCAAACACAACCACTTGTCACAGCCTCCCTGAGGATTATGAAACCTGTCAGCATCACTGCCAACATCCTTCTGCATACAAGCACCATATTCCCACTTGCCACAGGGTGCTGAGATCACCCAGAATTTGCTTTTGGTTGGAATGTGGTCAGTGTGGCCAAGGTTTCATTTTTTTCTGGTCAGGCTCCCCTCATATGCCAAGCTATGAGCTGATCTGCTGTGAGCCTCCCCTGCTTTCTCAGTTTAATTTCTGTCTTATGTCACCTCCAAAACACTTGCTCAGAGTATATGCCAGATTTCAGGAGGCAGGGAGGGGGAGTGGGTGGGACACAATTATCATTATACAATGCAACACACCCAACTGGACATACCATATAAAAAGAGACATCTTGATAGTGACGCAAGCAAAGTAGTTCTGACAAAGAGCAAGTGAGGTGAATTTAGCAAATTGGAGCAGCATTTGTTCTGTCAGGACATGATACAGATGGCAAGGCAGTGAGAGATATTTGGCTGGGCACTGTTAGTGTTAGTGCCATTAATTTCTTGGACTGACAAAGAGGAGAAAAAATATTCTATAAACTACTCTAAGGAAGTTATACAACATCAATATTTAAAACTAGGTTTGGAAAAGCATCTTTGTATCTCAAACCACCTGAACTACAGCTCCTGTTGCTGTCATTTACTTTGATTCCAACATTTGTTAGTATTGTTCCCTAAAGTTTCAGCTTCTTCTCCAGGCTCAAAGAGCTCTCAGCTGTCTCTATGCATCCTTCTATCAACCTACCTAAAAATATAAGCACCATTGGGCAAGTTCCTGAACCGTGCTCAGTCACAGCCTGTACAGCAGACAGGTAACACAGATGCACACAGACTCAGCAGCCAAAACAAAGACAAAGATGCTTTCATTTCTGAGCTGACAGGAATTGTCACCAACTCAATCCACCTGCCACAGCACAGTTTTAGGCCACAGTCCCTTCCTGAGAAAATGACTGGGTACCCTTAACTGCATATCACAGAAATTATTTACGCTGGTATGCAGGGACATAAGGACACCTCTCAGTGTTCCTGTTCCCCATGAAGCATATGCTTAGCTAAACTTTGCATAGGTTAAGACATCACTTTTCCAGATAACTTAATCTGCATCTGGGAATAAGGATCAAGTATGCCACTGAAGGAGGTTTTTGAAAAATGTTCAGCAGTTCTGCATGAACTCAAGGGTTACTCAAGTTTTTAAGGCATTAATTTATAAACTATATTCTGATTGCAGTCTGCCAGTCTCAAGCATACACCTGAGTTGTAATGCTCTATTAGAACACATGTAACCTCTCTTTCACTAAAATAAACACTCCATTTTTTTCTCGATTTAGAAAAGAGGTGAAAGGAGATCTCTTTTTTTCTTGACACATATATTTGAACAGGAAGAACAGAGTAAACTTTTTTATCATTTGGTCAGCTACTACCATACCATTGAGACCTAACAGGAAGGAGTCCCCACTAGCTCTATCTTAACTCATGTTTAATTCTCAGAAGCATATACTACATGGTTTATGGAGGGAACAGCTTATTTTTTTCTACTTGGGGATTTTTGTTGGTTTTTTGTTGCTTTTCAAACATGTATCACTCATCCAGTATTTTAAATGTATGCAGAACATGCATAACACTATGGTTCTGATATGTAATTATCACTCTTAAAGACATTAGTAGAGATCTTTCTATTCTTTCATCATATAAGCACATTTACCTTTCTCCGAATGACTGTTCCTATACAGATTTCAACACTGAATTAAAAAAAAAATGTCTAATACTCAGTAAGTGTGGTAGCTACAACTTCCTGCTTTCTTCTGCTCTGTTTTCCTTGTTTCTTACTGAAAGAAGAACTAAGTGACAAATGTCAGCTTCAGTTATTGATACTGCTGGCATTTGTGCTGAGATTTTGTTTTGTACAGTTCTATAAATGTTGGGGACAGAGGAAAAACAACGAGCTGTTTACCCCTTGTAGTTCAAGTGAACCAGTGAAAGTGTCCTTTCCTAATAGAGTCATCAAGTAAATTAGTGCGGAAGTGACCTCTGCAGGCCATCTGTTTCAAGTTCCTCTTCAAAGCACCACTAACTTCAAAGTTTTCCAGGGGCTTGTTCAACTAAGTCTAAAAAATTCTTAGGAGTACAGATCCTACTACCTCTCTGGGCTGGCTACCTGCTCTAATGCATCTTGCTGTAACACTTTCTCCCATGCAGAATTTTCCTTGCTGCAACTTTTTCTCTGGACTTACTGCCATGCTCCTCTTGAGTCTGGCTACATCATATGCATAACTCCCCTCTGGGTAGGAGCAAACAGCATTTAATTAGAAATTAGACTTCTCTGATTTTGAGACTGTAGTGTGGCCAGAGTGTTCAGTCACAGCTTCAAAATGCATAGAGCAGAATATGACTGGCAATTAAATTATTAAAATACAGTATTTACTTCTGAATCTCTCTGATCTCTGTTCTGCTACCACACCCAGCAGTTATGCATACCCTATTAATTTTTGCACTTTTGTCCCTCAAAGCCCTACAGGTCTCTCTCTCTCCGTTCCCTAGAGGGCTTCTTACCCCTTAAAGCTGTACTACATATTATTAATCTTAGCAAAAGCCAAGCCTCACCTAGTAGCTCTTTCCAGCTTCACATCAGCTACTACCTGTCTACACATCCAGTTTAAACATGATGTAAGTTACCCCACACTTCATGAAGTTCCTCAACACTGATTCAAACTATCTGAAGAGCTCAAGGGCATCGTACAAGCAATAACCTCATATCACTCTGGCACTCCCAGGGAACTTGCAGAATGCCTGACACCAACACATTGAATAAGCTTACACTGATCAGTTCCCATTTGGCTTCAGACCGAACATTATCATGTGGAAGTTTACTACCTCATTGACTCAATAAAAGCAACACATTTGGGTCTCAAATAGAAAGAAGATTAGGTGTAAGTAGCAGATAAAAGAACTCCAAGCAACTTCATTTGAGTATAAGAGACTTTGAAGACTGTCAGTGCCTTCAAAGCGTGCAAGCAATTTGTTTCCTGTTAAGCCTGACAGAACTCCTTCCACTTGGGCAGGCTTCACTACCCCATCACAACACATACCACAGCACATGATGATCAATTCTTGTGAGAAGAAAGAGAACAAGAAGTCCCTTACTTTTTACTTGCTGTTCAGGTGCTTTGATGTGTGTCACCATCCCTGGCATGTTGACACTGTTCCTGTGCAGGTATTTCAGGAAGACATCAGCATTCCTCCGAGCCAGTGTGCAGGCCTAGAGAGTCAGAGGTACAACTTTATTAGAAGATGCAAAAATAAACATGCAGAAGAAATTAAAGGTCTTCCTAACTCTCTTTTTGTACATTTGTCACCTTCTTCAGTTTTGGAAAGCATTTCATGTTAAATCTTTTCTACAAGTAAGCCAAGCCAACCCAATTATTAAAATAGATATTCCACCGAATAGCAGTTACACCTTACCTGGCAGAGAAAAAACAAAGCAGATAAACAAATGCAAATAAAATAAATTAATAAAATGTTATTCCTCTTTTCTGAAGAGCCTGAAAAGCAATTATCTGCTCTATGGCTTTCAGCATGACTCAGATCTCACAGAGAAGTTTGTTTAGTGTATGTGCCATGTGCCACCTGAAGCTGCTTACTGTGTAAACAGTGCACATGCTTATGTACCCACCCGCATATTCCGAAACATCCATTAGTACTTTAAACAAAAAGCGAATGTTTTGCTGAAGTGAAACCAAAAGTGCTAAAACAGTAATACCTGCTCTTAAAATATGAAGGCAAGGCCTTGAGAGCTTTCAGTCCTTGCCACTATATTGAAAGCACTCAGCTCAGTTGTCATCTTCATCTTAACAAATATCAAATACTACATATGGGTTGTCTGCTTCATTTTTAACATGCAAATTATAGAACGCTGCTTTAAAAGGTTAGATGAAGGTAGAATGGTTTGATACAGTAACAAAGACACTAAGTCATTTCTCATACCATTTTAAAACAAAGATTAGTAATTCATGCCAGCTGCAGAAGGATCTATTAGGCTGTGTACTTTGAGTTCTGTTAATATGTTTTTGAGTGTTGTAATCCGCGTAATGAGAACAAGAAGGTTTCTAACAAAGTATTATTCTCTTAGTAGTCTTTCATGGTGATGATGGAAAATGCCTTGGATAACAAAGTTAGTTATACTGCTCTGCAAGCACATGCTGCACATTTAATTCAGTATGATCAATAATCTTCTTCAATAGGACATTAGTTGGAACAAAAATCTTTCATTTATCTGAAGACTACTACAGAAAACCAACTACTCCCAGATGCCGGTCTAGCCATTTCCTCCTTCCGTATTCCTCCGTCGTCCCAGTACATCTGAGAGCTGCTCTGATGCACAGGCAGCAATGGCACTGTGTGACTTTCACTTCTCTTCCAAAGCAGCAGCCTTTAAGCATTCTTTAGAGTGACAGTTGCTCAAAGGAGTGACTTCCAATTCCTCTTCAGGCACACTGGGAGATCTGACATCTACTCAAGTTCAACAGGAAATGTATTTCTAAAACTGGCTACTATTTTATGCACTTGGCAGTATTCTCTTAATCACTGTCAGAAGCAGTTAACATGCCACTTCCCACATCTTTGCAGTTGGGGACATACCTGTAATTTGGAACGGGCACTGTTGCTTTCCACAGCCATGTCAGCACTGTAAGAGCTGTATGCCTGCTCTCATGCTTCCCAAGACACAGGAGACTACAAAAAATCCCCAACCTTACCTTCAGAAATGCTTCCTTCTGCTCCAGGTGTTTGCTTATCATGGGAGTAACGTGATCTGTTTCAGAGTTGGGGCCCAGTTTGTCAGCTCCCCCACACCAATCTTCTTCTCGCTTATATTCTTGTTCCAGGCTTTCCAGCACACTGCACACCTTTCAGGAAAAAGGAGGACAATTCAGTAATGCAAAAAATCAAAATTCAGGCCTCAAAAAAAAGAAAACCCATCTACCCCTTATATGTACCCCCTAGCTTCTGACATGTTTTCACTGGGACTTAAGGCAACAAACTCTGGCTGTAGGTTCGGAAGCGCTCAGAGGCTGTCCCTAAAATTGTCCACCTTTCTCTGCCTCTCTGACTGCATAGTTCTGGATGGGCTTAAGTTACAACTACAGAGGAGGCAACCTTGCCAACCTCCCCCAAACATTTCTGTGGACAAGCAGATTAAGCTGATTTTTCTCTGAGTCCCACACAAAAACCAGAACTAGCCATCAAATGAGTAAACATAACCAAACCTCGTCAACCATTTTTTCAAGTAATGCTGTTTTATGCCACACTGAGGAATTAGCCAAGGCAGACCTACTGTATTTCTGTACCTGTTCAGAAGTTTTATAGAAGGCAACAGAGGCATTCACAAGCTTGAGACGATCCTCCATCTTCAGCATCAGCTGTTGCCAGTGCGAAGCAACCTTCTCTGCACACTCCCGGATCATGTCCATATCGTAGTGATTAGCCTGCAGCATTGCCTCTGCCTTTTGCTGAACCTGCAGGGCACTTTGATGTGTTTTCTGGCAAGAGGTGAAAAGTCAGGAGTTCAGTGGAGCACTTCAGGTCATTTACTCGGAGACCTCAGAGGTTCACACTTCCAGTGTGTCAATGACACCTCTATACGTGCACCAACACCCATCAACTAAAAATGACTGTCTGATACTGTGTGACTTCTCCATGTAAATACAAAGGAAATAAATCCCGTAGAGATTTATCATCAAATCAACACTAAATAGCAGTTCTTAACAAACAGTAACTGTCTGGCATTAAGTTACATGTGATGTATCTATGCTGCATTACATCTTGCTGCAATTATGAATTTCAGTTTGATTTTCTTTCCCTTCACAGTGAGAAAAAAGATGACAGAAATCTGTCTTGTTCTGGCAATCTTTACAGCTTTAACTTCAGTCTTTTGCACATCAGTAGTGAGCAAAGAAAGGTGCAGGCGTGCAGACCAATAAAAAAGACACCTGTCTATTGATTGTAAGCAAATATTTTAAACCGTATTTCTCTGTGCAGAGAAACATTTGCCTAAAACCAAGTAATATGAAAATATTAAGGGGTTAAATACTACTAGGTATTATTATATCTGAGTAAAGAATGGCCTAGGAAACACAGATTTTTAAGCTTCCTCATAATTTATTCTTAAACTGAAAAACACCTAGAGGTCTCATAACTTTTATACTTGAGAGTTACCAAAGCTCCTCAAAATGAGGGTGCATATAGTGCAAACTTTAATTAAAAAAAAAAAAAAAAAAAAAAAAAAAAAAAAAGAGAGGGAAGCATAAAATTCTACCAAACAGGAAAAGAACATTAAAGAGTTACTGCAAGGCAGAGTACTTCTGAAAATAAATCATAATATTGCTAATATTATCACTAAGTTACTCAGTAGTCCATGCAAGTAAATAATACTGTACTTCAACCAATCTTAAGAACACTGCCTATGTTTTTTGCAGCAATATGACCAATCAGACAAGTTTAGCTTGAAGGCATGGCAGGGGGATTGACACACCACCACACAGAAGTTTCACTGAAGCCTACTCTCAAACAAAAATGGAAATACTTAAGGATGACCTCAGAATACACAAAACTGCTGCTTCCTGGTTCATTTTTTCTTAATTTTTTACATTTAGAATTACAGGTTATGTTTTATGAAAGGAATAACAAATGAAAACACTATTTTCAGCAAAATTGCTTGAACAGCTAACACTTTATAAAGATGCAAAAAGGCACTAAGATGATGTTCACCTGGAACTGCAGCTTCAAAATAAGTAAGAACAAAAACCACCTTCTCAGTAAGTGTTTTCGTCTCTTTGCCACGAGTTCAACAGCTGTTCCTAAACTGAAAATGCTGTAGCACGACTCCAAGAGCGCTATTTATAGAGAACTGTAAATACAAGGCCATGGTCACTAAAATGGTGCTTTTACCTCTATTGCGTGTTGAAACTGCTCATGCTCCCTCTGTAACTGTTCTGCCTCCTGCAAAGAGCTAGCAGTGATGAGCCCAGCATTTAACATTGACTCTCCATTTCGAATCCAGCCCAAAACCTGCAACAAAAGAGAAGACCATGAAATACACAATCCCACTGCCTACCAGCAATAAAGCACCACTGCAGAGGCAAAAACATTTAAGGTCACATCAGCACTGGAATTAATAACTAAGTAATTTGTTAATTACGTACTACAGTGAATTTGATATTGAGTAAGCACAGTGAGTGACATTCAGTACAATTTCAGCGAGCTAACAACTCACAGCTTGGAGTCAACCCCTATATGTCTGTGGCTTCAGTTCGGATTGTAAAAAAGGTTGTGCTTCTGAATACTGTTTCTGTTACCTGAAAAGCTGGAACAAGTTACAAGTAATAATTGCCTGAAAGCCAGTGTCAGTAATGCAAATTAAAGATATACAGCTTAGTAAAAAGTATGCACAAGAATTTGAACAGTAATGTTGACAAAAATGTGGTCATTGAGTGTCCTTCTAACTGCTTGAAGATTTTAATTTTTCAGAATGTGCCTTCTTTGATGTGTAAAGTGAAACTGAAAGAATCCATGGCTGGCCAGAAGCCTCAGGATGCCACCATATACGTTCCTTATCAACAGCAGGAACATGCAACTTTTTAGACCCTCCCCAAAAAAAAAAGAAAAAGAAAAAAAGGACATTTTCTCCCTCTTTGTATCAGCTTTGTTTTCCCCTCTCCTTTTTCCATCGGGAACATTATCTGATTCCCTCCTTTAGACTCCTCTTATCTCACTGACCACAGTCTCTTCAATCTCTCCCATGTGAAGTCAGTCACCTTATTTTTCTAGAACACTGCTCTTTTATGAGCTCTCTCCAGTTGATAACCATGACTTGGTCAAAATTTTTCAAATGCTGAGTAAAATGGGACATAATTCAGGTTATTCACTGTCATCTGTACAACTCTTCTATGGAACTGCTGCCCAGCCATAATTACTCCTGTATTTATTCAGCTGATTATTCCTTCCAGTACATCATGCTCCGTATTTTTCACTATTCAAACTCATATCCTTCTTAAAGCATAGTTCTCCCATCAAGATAATTTCAACTGTAATCCAGTGTCTTCTGATGAACTCAAACTCCTTTTCCAGCTGCTCCTGCTTTTAACTTCAAATTTAATAGCATAATTGCTAACACGTAGATTATCTGACTAAGAACATGAACTGGTAGTATCCAAATACAGACAAATACATTTTTTTTCATTATTTAAATCTGTTTTCCAATCCACTGAGTCTCTTAAATTTTGTTACTGAGTATGTTTTTTCAGCAAGTTATCATTTTTGGTAACTTAGTCTCATATGACATTCTCATAGTAAGTTAGGGTCAGACAGACTGAGCTACACTATTTTAAAAGCTTTGACACTGCTTTTCCACCCCTCCCAGAAGAGCTGTTGCCTTGTCAGATAAAAAAAGGGGGGTTTAATCAATGGAAAGCTGTGATTAATTGACCTGTGTTAGCCTTTTCTCCTTTGGTCACTGTTCAAGTTTAATGATCTACTTGTTTCAATATTTTCCCTGGGAACTGTGTTAAACTAGCTAACCTATAATCCTCCCTCAGCTAGTCCTTTTCCACTTTTGAGAAGTAGATATTGAATTTCAGTCCTCCAGAATCTCATCCAATCTCCTGATGTTTGGAAACAATTCCAGTTTTCTAAGTATCCCAGAGTGAATTTCTTTAGGCCCAGCTGATTTGAACTTGACCAGTTTTTCTAACTTTTTCCTACTAATTGATTTAGACCTTTAACCACTGCTAATAAATATATTAACTACCAAATCAGTTAGATCTTAACACTAAATAGTCTCATCTAGGGATCAGCACATGACACTATCAAATTATAGCATTAATGCACTAAGTAATCAGGATATTATGAGTGCACTTGCAGACTGGGAACATGGGCAGAACCCAAGAAAATGACCTGTTAAAACACAGTTCCTCACAACCTGAAAGGCACATGTGGGTCTACATCCAAAGCACACTCTAACATACCTGACAGCTTGAAGCAACTGAGCTCTAGCCATCCTGACACAACATCCATTCCCTCAAATCTGCACTACAGCCTTACCCTCTGCCTTACACTATCCAGATTGTGACATTGTTGTATTATTAATGCAGGTTTTGCCACTTCTGTCTGCACAATGAATAGCTAACAAGTTTGGTTTTTTTCCATCCTGATAGCATGCATTTGAATTCTCCTATGTAAATTCTGCAAGTCTGTAGAAAAGAGTAAGTCTACAATGCAGAAGGAAGGGCATGCCAGATGTGTAACTGGGTGCACATTCTGGTCTTCTGGGGAGAAAGCACTGGGTCAGGTGCAGCCTTGCAAGCAAGGGGAAGACGGCTCCAGCTTTGGAATGACCTCTCCTCCTGCAAAGGTGGCACCTGCAGATCACAGCCTGGGGGCACACAAAAGGGACTGTTAAAGAAACTGGGAGTTCCTAAGTTGCTAAGGCACCAGGGGATTTTTAACACTCAGAGAGAAAGCCTGGGTAAGCCTCAGGAGCAGGAAAAGCGGCAGCTTCTGAGGGAAGCAGATGGGTCCAACAGACTGTAGATAGAAACTTGTCCATATACATGGACAAATATGGACTATATTTGTCCATATACATGGACAAATAAATTGTCTGCAAGAAAACAGAGCCAGATGATTTTTTAATTCCTTTTTTATTTTTATTTTGTCTTAGGAAAGTTATTCTAGGTTCCTTCTCTACCTTATAAAGTAATTCTTCCAGGTATGGTGTAACCAAACACACCTTTTTAGGGCTCTTATACATCTAGCCTTCTTCAGAGAATTTTAATGAAGGAGGTTGCTTAGGCAGCACCAATTGAAAGCTTCTCTTGACTTGGCACCCCATTATTTACAGCAGCAACAGCTAGAACAGAACATGCCATTTCTAACACAAAGACTTGTCCTCCTCCTCGGTGCAGGTCAGGGTGCAAGTACACAAGCTGGTGAAACTCAGGAGGAAATATGCCAGCATATTCTGGCATACTTCTGCTCTGACTCAAGGGAAAATATAAGCATTAGGAAATGGAGAGCCTGTTCTCCTTCCAGGGGTGTTGCCTTCAGGGTTTGTTGGCATGTTTATGTTCCCACCACCTCCCTGTCTGAGTGGATCACAACCCCCATCTTTCCCCTCGCAGCCTTCAACAGGCTAGAAAAGCATCAGCAAAGCATCAGCAAAGGTGTGGAAAAGAGACAGAATCCAGGTCACCTGGGACACTTGAAAAGGTCAGACAGGTAGAGCTGTAGGTAAATGCTTGATTTAGGACTAGTTTCTTGGACAGATTTTTCACTGTAACTAAACATGATCACAAGACAACCTGCTTCAGTCTGCTGTCTTCGCCATGTTTTCATATCCATATGGCACTACATGGAGTGCCAGGATACCCTTCCTGAGTAGTATTTTGGGATAGTCAGAGCTCAAGCATCAAGCTAAAAGATTTGCCAGTGAAAACACAAAGCAGCTTAAGTTACTCCTGAGGGCTGAAGTATCGATACACCACTGTAGATATATGGATACATAGTTATATACCCAAGAACATACACCACGATCAGAACAGCAGAAAACACTGCACTGAAAAGGCTTAATGAAACCAACTGAACCATAGTGAAACCAACTGGACTGGGTTTGAAGCTTGGTAGGGATTTTGACCTTAAACACAGTAAAGCATTCACTCTACACAGTGAGTATGTGGGAGTGATTGTAGCAGTAAGTAATCCAACAGCTGTATGTTAGGTGATTAATAAAGAAGGTTTGACTGGCAAACATGCAGCTGGAGTTCTGCATGAGACAGACATTCTCATAAATATTACTCTGCCTCCACCTACTCATATGTCCCTGCCCTGTAAAAAAGTGGTCACATTTTCCTTTCCATGTTGCTTTCCCCACATACAGATGTCTCTTCTATTTCATATTACACATCAAAATGACAAGCAGGTTTTCTTTGCAGGTTTTCTTTAAATCTCTGTTTGTGTCCTGGCTCTTCTGCTTCCTCCTAGTCCTGAGGCTTGATATACAAAACTTCAATGCCACAAAGCAGAACTGGCACAATAGTTAAGGAAGAAGCAATACTAAGTGGTTTTGTCTACTCCCTGTGCTTATTTGATAAAAACTCATTAAGCACAAGGTTTCACTACCTAGTGAAAGCTATGGAACAGAATCCTTGCAAATATTTCTCTTAATTCCTGCAGTGTACCAGTCTAACTGCTTCACATGACTACAAGCTACATATTTTTATGTATTTTATGTAAATATATGTGTGTGTTTACTAACCCATTCCACCCAAACCCACTGACGTACCATAAAGGGATGAGAGTGCCCCAGCTGGCATTATTTATTTTAATTTTTTTCCTTCCTTTGCATATGTGCACTCTCTTCCTTCATCTTTGAGATAAAATGCAACTGAGTACAGAAACTATCCTGATCTGCAACAACTTTATCTCAACCATTACTCACGTGGAAGGAGGAATTTGCAATCTGCACTTACCAAGATGAGTAAGTGCTAAGGCAGATAGAGCACAGCTCAGTAGAGTATGCAAAGCCTTGAAATAGAACATCAAGTATTTGACTGATGCCTGTATTGCACTGACAGCAGACAACTATCAGTTTTGTGTATTCCTTTAATTCAAGACCACACAGAAGCTTTGCAAATCTGCTACTGTAGAGCAACCAACCACTGCCTGAAAATACTTTAGGAACCTTCTATTCACTTCTCCTAGTCCTAGCTGGACCCCTTTCATATTACTTTGCAATGTGTAGTTGTCATTCACTCTCATTATGGGCCACAATAATACAGCAGACTATAGCAAACTTCTGTGATGCTGCCAAATGTGAGCAAGATAAAAAACTCTCAGCTTTTTTAGTGTCTTGATTTTTTTTTTAAACTTTCAGCTACTTCAGTGGCTTATCACTATTTGTAGATGTTTCAAACAACAGACCCAGAAAATATTAGGTCAGTGTCCAGGGACTATGACTGAACATTGTTGTTCATCACCGTACAGATGGTAAAAGCATGGGTTTAACATTAGCTCAAATCACTCTATACTTCAAATACTTGACTTGTATCTACAGAATATCAGAATAACTTGGGCTGGAAAAATTCTCTACAACCATCATATCTGTTAACCTAGCACTGCCAAGTCCACCACTAAAGCATGTGTCTCGTATCATGTGTCTCGGTGTCTCATCTACATGTCTTTTAAATATTTTCAGAGATGGTGCCTCCATCAATCCTGTTCCAGTGCTAAAAAACCCCTTCAGTGAGGAAATGTTTCTTAGTATCTAATCTAAACCTCCTCTAGCACAACTTGAGGACTTCCCTTCTTGTCCTATCACCTGTTACCTGGGTGAAGAATCCAACTCCTACTTTGATACACTCTCCCATCAGGTAGTTGCAGGAGTGATAAGGTCCCCCCTGAGATTCCTTTATTCCAGGCTAAACATCTCTAGCTCTCTCAGCTGCTCGCATAGGATCTGCTCTAGATCCGCGCAGCAAGATCGGTGATGCAAGTTAAAAACATGCACTTCATGTTAACAGAAGATGAAGTTTCTCAGGGGATCAACGTCCTCCCCTGCTCCCAAGGAAAGACTTTTTGCATGGCGGTGTTTTCGGGAGCAGCGCTCTCCGGCAGGGCCGCTGCCGGGGGCGGGGGCCGTACCTGCTTGACCTCTGCCTGCAGGTGGCGCAGCTGCACGCACTGCTCCAGGTGCTTGCGGTGCTGCTCCGCCGCCACGTCCAGCTCCTGCTGCTTCTCGTGCAGGAACTCCAGCAGGTCCTGCACGCGGGTGGCCATGTCCACGTCCCTGTCGCAAAGCAGCTCCACACCTGCAGTCGGGATGGTGGGATAGGAATGACTTGCAAAGCTTCCGAGACAAACTGCCCGCTTCCACTGTTCTGCACTTAATTTCCTACTTCCTTCTCCAAGTTCAACCTAATTCTTGGAGGATTTGCCTACATGAGTATAGGGGTTTGCACTCTTAAGAAGTGCAATATGGGGGTTCTTTTAAAGTCTCATACTTACCCTATGCGATCATATACAGTGAAAAATATCAAATGAAGGGGCATAAGGAACAAAAAAGGAAGATGTTTACTTGAAAGCGGAAAATCTTTGCTTGACTGCATTGATCTGACTACCTATGAAACTAACATTCCCTTATTCACTCTAATTTTACAGACTTCCTGAGTGAAATCCCTTTCTCTAAAACCTGAACACCTTCAAGTGTTACCAATTTATGACACTTATGTGCCAGTATGTTCTTATGAACACCATTGAATGATTTGAGCATAAAGAAATCCACATGTCCCCAGTTTACAGCTGACCAGCATCCCTGTTATTTTCACACATCCCATGAGGAGACAGCTGGATAATTCTTAGAAAGCCACTGCCTGGAATAGCACAAAGGAGCCATCTTACCAGATGCCTGCACTTCATTGACATACTGCAGCAGATCCTGCCCTTGGTGGATGACATCAAAGGTCAAGTTATTCATGGTCAGGGCTTTGTCTGCATGATGCTGGAGCCTCTGTTCTGCTATTGTAAGATCTTCAGTGTCAAAGTCATTCATCTGCTGAGAGAGCTCATCATTCCAAGACTCAAGGTCTGAAATAATCTGGGGGAAAAAGGAAGGAGACCATGTTCAATTACCCATTACACAAAAGGAAACAGTTTATTTCCAATGTTGCACTGATGACTGAGGTAAGGAACTCAAGTTGCTCACCACTGATTGACATCACTGATCAAATCAGACATGGTTCAGACACAGGCTATCCTAGCATGGATTTTAGATTTTGGCCAACAACCCAAAATAACCTCTGAAGAACTGCTACAGTTCTTCAACCAGTGCTTGCAACACTACGGGTATGTGCCCCTGCCTTATTGAACATACTCCATCAACACTTCAGAAGTTAACATGTTTTTATCTCCCCTTTTAAAGGAAAATGTGGATCTGGAACACCTCTTTAATTCTTCAGAGTGCATCAAGTAATAATTCACACATCAACAGCCAGCTGATCTTACAATTATGCCAATCTTGAGCCCTTTTCCAAGAAAGCCAGCTCTACTCTTCTGTGGGCAGGAAGCATCAGGCCACATGCACCTTTGAGTTCTGCCAGACAACTGAGACTTACTACAAAAGGCCAGGTACTTAGTGAATCCAGCAAAACCAAAAAGCATAATTTATTACAATATTATTGCAATGTCAGAATTAAATTTGCTTGCTGATATTTTTCAGCTACACTTTAGTTTTCACATTTTAATTCTGCATTTTATTCTTCGCTGCAGGATGTCCTAAGAAGTGTAGCCAAAGAAGTTTTGGGGATTTTTAACACATATATCACAACAGTAAGTTCTCCTTGTCTGTCCATACAAGTGTATTTTCCAAATCATACTGCGAAGCCTATCTGAAATATAAAATATTCCTTTTAATTATGGTACAAAACTGGTTTTAAGGCTAACATGTAGTGCTTGCAATCCTCATTATCAAAGTGGGCTGAGTTCATACAGATTTCATGCATCAGTTACTTCAGAAAAGTCTGTCTAACACACTTATCCCTCAAGCCAATAATCAAAATTTTTCCAGAATTTTCAGCAGTTTTAGCACCAACTACTGCAGTTCATTGGGAAAGCAAAATTATAGGTACCAAGAAACAAGTATGGGTTAGTTCCAGTGTTCTACGATTTCAGGAGTAGGGCAAACTCATGTAAATGGTGCTAAATGAGAAGAAAGTACCTATTTATGCAGAAAGACACAACAGAAAGAGGACCTGACTTAATGGGCATTAGCAGTCAAGTATCTAAGTGCATAAATATTTAACCAAAGTCATTTGTTGTCAGCAAAAGAAAGATGTCACTACCCCTTTTCAAGTGGCTGTAATAGCTCCAAAGTTAGTGAGACAGTTAAATGACAAGAGAAATTCCAGGAAAACGGGCCTTCTAGGAAAAAAAAAGCAGAACTGGGAAGATTAGAAAAGTTAAATCATTGTTATAAAGTTTCTGTAGTTTGCTACAATCTCTCATGAAGGCTTTTTCCATTCCGCTCACATGATGCCATAAAAAAATGGACACATCAAGCAATTAATATTGAAATTGTGGCACCAGTGAGTTACTTCCTGTTTTAAAGGTGTTCTGCAAAAAAATTCCACTTGAATCACTAAGTATTTGAGTTTTACATCACGTCATGATGGGAGATACCGAACAATTAAGGTAGCTATTTGCAATCCCTAAACCTGCTCAGCTACCTCTGCTGAAGTGAAAACATGCAGAAACTCAAGTGCCGGGGGTAACACTGAAAACAGAAAAGCTAATGACCAAAGTATTCAGGAAAATAGACAGGACAAGGCTTTTAGCCATTGCTTGAAGATCCTTTCATCTTCCATGTGCTCTAAACATCACACAGTCTCTATTTAGGCATTGTGAGTGGTTTTCTTTCTAAACACACACACAGGCTTCCCGTCACACAAAATCCTTAACAAGTTCCCTTAATTTCCTTTTTACTTAGTCCATGCCCAATATGTCTCATCACCTTCCTCTGCTCTTCACTTTCTTTTAAGTGATCTGAAATTTTAAAGAAACTTTAGGTTTTCCTGACAGTCCAGCCAGAGAAATTGCTTACTTTCAGCTACCTCTCTTTTCTGCTCTTGTGCATCTCAGCTCTGCTCTTCCCAGCTTCTCTCTGAAACTGTGTTCGTTTATTATTAAAGCAGGGAGGTCATCTAATGTTTGTTTCTTCATCCACTGCACTAGGGAAGTTCTAAGAAAACAGATTTATCATCTTATTTTCATCCAGGTCAGTTAACAACATTCAAAAGTTACCCTGAAGAAATATCTGTAGTTGGACTTCGTCAAACAGAAATCTGAGCATTAAAAAAAGGCTGCGAAACTCCACTATTAAAACACCATCTTTCTAAACACCATCACACAAAGGATTAAGATTCAACATGGCACATTTATAAACCTGTTTTGAAAGGAAAGCCAGTTCATCTCCCTTCAGAACAGATGATAAGCCTCATCTCTTTTACTGGGAATTTAAGTGGGAATAAAGTAAAAAACACAGCAAGTTCACAATATGGCACAGCTGTGGCTGTGTCAGTATTGTTATAATAATGAAATAGATTGTAGTCACTATCTCTTAAGATTCCCTCTACTTGATAGGAAAAACAACTGGTTTCAAGGGGTCATAACTGTGTCTTGCCTCAGCCAAGAGGTGTCATTGATAGTGCCTCCAAAGAACAGCCACACACAGCCAGTAAGAATTACAGCTTTTCCCATGCTATTTCATACAACTAACCCCGTGCTTAGGATCATGGCACACATACTTGTTTAAAGCAGTTTGAAACACTCTGAACAAGACCAATATATTTCCTTTCCCCTTCAAAAGATCAGGATCCCCATGATTCAAATAAATAACACCAGCATGTTTCCACACTGATTCAAAAGCTAAGTAGTCAATGACCATGCCAGAGAAGTTTCCTAACAAGGGCAGTAATTCTCATATTTTATCATCAGTAATTAGGTGTTGCAGGCTGGTCTATTTCAGCCATTGCATCCACTGTGCAAATCTGAAGACAGAGTTAATACAGAAATAGCATTCACTAAGCCCTCTCTGCCCACACTCTTCAGTGCTTCCTCTGAAGTTCTGCTTTACAGACAACACTTTCAAAGCAGGCAGGCTCCCATTTTGCTTGTAAAGTTTTGTCAAGACAATCAGCATTAAACAAACACACCAAATGACTAATAGAATTCTAAAGTAACTGAATCACAAATTCATACTGCTCTAAGGAAATGGACAACCCAGCATAAACACAGGCTAACAATTTACCATAGCACGTGTTCAAGAAGTTCCTGGTGCAGATTCTGAGCTGCCTGACATCACTACATTCTATTAAATGTAAAGGAAACACTGACAGGAAACAAAACAGGGTATAATATGGAAGGGATGCTTTCACACTGAGTGGGAAAGAAATAAAGAACCACAGGTCTCTTCTCAGAAGTGTCTACCATTCATGGTACCAATTGAGTGCTCATCAAGACCTGGTAAATATTGTGTGCTTAGGCGAAAAAAAAAAAGGGGGGGATAATGGGAAAGGGAGAGGAATTAGGTCTCTGTGATACCCCAGCATTTTACATCCATGTCTTTTCAGCAGTGTGATTTAACAGGCATCTCGTAAGTACGGTCCAAAAATAGAGTTGAGATAAAGCTGTGAGCTGAAAAGTGCGTGGTATGCTCTGTGTAGAGCCCCGGCACAGGCCTCAAGGCACGTAAGTTACAGACAGGCAAAAGTGCTCCGACACAGATGAGACAAACACATTTCGGACTGTTACCATCCCACTGGGTTCACACACACCTTCCTCATGCTTCTAATCACATTAGCAAGGGAATCTTCACCTACATTATTTTGTTCATTCTTGCCTTTAGTTAGTACAGGCATTTAAATGGAGTCCTTCAAACAGCTCACCAACAATGGCACTAAAAATCATGCTGAAGATAGAAAAGGTAAAGTTTATATGTCAAGAGCAAGGGGCAAAATAGAGGCAGTACTGCAGTTATACCCATTTCAGAAAAGCATGAGTATCTAAAAAGTTGTAGGACAAAAGAAATGAAGTATTTTATCAGCAAAGAAACAAAGTATTTTATCAGCAAATTACAAGGGAAGAGTAAGGAGAAGAAGGGAACTAACCCTGCCTGCAAATCTCACCAGTGTCCCCAGAAGAACAGCTGCATGGCTATAACCCTGCAGTGCTAGGGGAGCTCTTTGTCCCATTTTAGCCTGTGTAATTTTGCAAACAGTAAGAGAAGCTAGAAACACTACTTGCCTTCAAGAAAAGCTGTCCTCACAGGATGCTCCCCTGAATTAACTGCCCCTACAGCCAAGTCTTAATTGACTGGACCAGTCACACAAAATCCTGGAGGAAGGAGAAGGTCAAAACAAGGTCTGCAAATTCCTATCTGGCATCTGGCTCCTCCTCATTATCAAGTTACTTCAGCTGAGCTTCTGCTTTCAAACAACTGACCTGGAACTAGTCCCCACATTTTCTTCCTGGAAGTTTCCAAACAGATGTCTGCCTTCAGGGAGAGGGAAAAGAGAAGTGTGTTTTGCTGAGGAAGCAGAGAAGACATGGTACAGAGACAGCAAAACAATCAACATTTTGCTGAAGTCAGTCTGCAGCCAAGGCCTTTTTCTTCCTTGAAGGACTCTCCATCAATCAAAAACAGGCATGATTTCTGTTTCCAAGCCACACAGACAAACTATACCAACTCTTTCAACAAGCTAACTGGTGCTTTGCTTTATGATGTATGTGGCAAAATGTGATGTGCACCAAGTGTCAGGTTTAGAAAAAGCAAGACCTGTCAAGTGTGTGCAGTTTTGGGCACTACAATATAAAAAAGACTAATCTATCAGAGAGAATCCTGAGGAGGGCTATGAAGATGGTGAAGGGTTTGGAGGGGAAGCTGTATGAGGAGCAGGTGAGGTCACTTGGTCTGTTCAGCCTGGAGAAGAGGAGACTGAGGGGAGAGCTCATTGCAGTCTTCAACATCCTCATGATGGGAAGTGGAAGGGCAGGTACCAATGTCTTCACTCTTGTGACCAGTGACCAGACTCAAGGAAACAACATGAAGCAGAGCTAGAGAAGGTTTACGTTGAATATCTGGAAAAGGTTCTTCTCCCAGAGGGTGGCTGGGCACTGGAACAGGCTCTCCAGGGAAGTGGTCACAGCACTAAGCCTGACAGAGTTCATGAAGCGTTTGGGCAACACTTCCAGGCACATGGTTTGACTCTTGGGATGTCCTGTGCAGGGTCAGGAGTTGGACTTGATGACCCTTGTGGGTCCTTTCCAACTCAGTATATTCTGTTCTATGATTCTATGAAGTTAGGGTTTGAAGCCTTCTGATGCAAAATCCTATGGGCATCACCAAGTAGCAGTACCAGAAGTATTCCTACCTATATAGATGCTATCCTGAACTGAAGGACTAGAACAATCTGCAAAGCAGGCTCCTGCAACCAGACTTTTGCTACTGTAGAATCCTGGCTTATGTAACCTATAACAGAGAGCAATCAATTTAAAAGTGAACTTCACTCAAACCTTTATTCTAATTCTTCCATTAATTTTCCTGGTATGCACTGTCCCACACAGCTGCCATTCCTTCAAAAAAAGTGTTCTGAGAACATCTTACAGACATCAAGCACTGTTGATCACTCCTGCAAAGACTGTAAGCATATGTGAGATAGCTACTCTCACATGATCAAAGCAGAAAATCTACTTGCACATAGTCAAAGTAGAAAACTCTCTGCAGACCAGTGTGAACTGCAAAATTGAAAAAAAAAAAACACAACCCTTCTTTGTCTTCCTTTACAGCAGAGTTGTTATTACTGTGGAGCACACACTCTCACTTCCTCTGTGGGTAAGGATCAAGGAACTGTGTCTGCCTATTTCTGCACTGCCCTTAACAGTGTACTTAGCTAAACCAGACTTCAGCCATGACATCAAATCCTAATTTTCAGAACGGGAAGAAACACCCAAACCAAAACATTAAAAACCTGGGATGCTACCACTAAGAACCTGAGAAGCTTTCTGCTGACTGTCTCTTTTACCTTTACATTCATAACCAACAGTTGCAGCTTTTACTACACACAAGCAATGGGGCAAACTTATAATTTTAACTCCTGGTTTTCAGAATTTTGAGGTAAGCCATTATTCACTCAAACAAGACCATTTACCAATGAATAACCCTGAACCTCATAAGGCACCAACTTGTTTCAGTCACTGTGTACAGCACTAGTATTTTTATGAAATCATATGAACTTAAAGTTTTTAAGTGCAACTCTGCTAACCTAAGTTCCTTGTGGAGTTTCATCTCTGCTTGTGTACATGTTCCTGCACACAAACAGAAACTTTTCAACTGATAAGCTGATAAGTAACCCCCCTTCGAAGTTTGGACAGGCTCAAAACTTCAAGTTTTGCAGGGGTGAAGCACTACAACTGCTACTGAATTATTTGTGGAGGTGGAAAAGAATTTTATTTTTAAAAAATGACAGCCCATAGAACATTCTCAGTGATTAAGATAGAATTTCAAATACCACTTGCAGCTGCCAACTGAAAACTGCTTGATTTGGTAAAGGAAGAGAAGAGGGTTGTTACTACAAAGCATCAGTTTAGAGGGTTTGTATGAAACCATCTTGCAAGTCCTGTTCATATCAACTACAGGCATGCTAGTTATATCAAGGTAGTTTGATATTCAAGCTAAACTTAGCGGATGAAGTAACTGATGCATTATGATTTTACCTAACATTTGCTTAAAGATGCACCAAAAACAAATCAAAAAGCTCAGCTCTACTGAGCACTGAGCTCTTCGGACACTTTCACACACAGGACAAAAGCCTTAGTTCAGGTAAGAATGAAGTCTATCAGCCATTTGAGCCACAAGCCAATGCAACTACACAATCTCAGCGTAAACATTCCTACACTAGAGGAGAAATGCGTGCAGTGCAAGTCTGAGAGCAAACACTCACATCTATTGCATCTCTTTCAAATATGCGGAGCTGCAGAAACAGCTCAAGTTTGATCTTGCGTTCTTGGAAAAGCTCCTCCATCTGAGACTGGGCCTCATCCAGCTGCTGCAGGACTGTCTCTATGTGGTTGATCGAGCTGTTGTGGGGGGTCTTGTTACTAGAAATGGCAGAATCTCTATTCAAAGCAGAGAGAGGGGAGGGGGAAGAAAAAAGAGCATTATTGAAAAAAAAAAACATAGAAATTGGATGCTATATATATGACTACAAGATATAGGCCTGCTTCAGATGCAGTTGTTGCAAACCATATTGCACAAAAGTTAAGTCTGTACATCTTAGTAAATAAAAAGCCCAACTATGTTCTAGTACTCGAAAAAAAAAAACATTAGGAAATTAATTACCTTCATTTTTTTCCCAAATCAACATACAAAGACATTCTGTTTACAGGAAGGTTAAAATTTAAAACCAGAGACAAATGAAAAGGAAGTAGCATATGATAACTATTTACTTTCCTGAATCTTCCTGGCAAGGAAAAAAATCAAAATTAGTTCATTAAAAAAATTACTTGATCTTTTACCTGAGTATAAAACCTGCAAATTCAGATTTGTTAATCTCCTGAATGAAAGGAGACCAGCTGGGAACCAAATTTATTTATTCAGATAATTTTTGAATGAAATGGACCACAAACTTGGCTTTTACTACAATGAAGTTACTTGTCAGTATGAAAAACAAATTCAAGTGTTCCTTTATAAAAAGGCGGCTGCTCAGAATTCAAAATGCAGTGGAGCCCTGCACGTCAGACTACAAAAACACATAACTGCTTCTATCAAAAAGGTAGCTTATGTCAACAAAATCTCCTTCTTGCGGCAGCAGTGTTTATAACCTGAGCTTCCTGTAAACAGAGGTTTAGAGACCATCAGTACAGCACAAGAGATCCCTGTAGTCCTAATATTTACAAGTTTTATTTATAGGTCATATCTTGTACTCATCATCTCTATCCTCAAAATAGAAAAAACCTCACAAAACATCAGATAAACACCAGGAGAGATTTAAATAAAAATATGTTTTACCTTAGTTGCTGTATGAGATCTTCACCTTCTTTTATGACATTGACTGTAACCTGCAGAGTGGTCTGTTGTTGTTGACCAAAACGTTTAATCAGGTCTTGGACAGCCTCCACAGACTCAGCATAGACATCATCAAGCAGTTCTTTCTGTAGCTCTTCAAGCCACGTCCACAGCTAAAGGAAAGGGGAAAAAGCAAGAAACGTCAGCCCGAGGATCAGGCAGTCAACTATTCTGAATCCATCTCCCTGGACAAGAGAAAACAGACTGAGGTGGCAGGAAGAAAGAGGATTTGTTTTTCTTCATAGAAAAATCCCATCCTCATATTAATGAAGACAAGCCTTCGTTTCAAAAAAGGTTTTCGCTTCTTGGAAATACCAGGAAAGCTTTATCCGTGTTGCTAAGTCACCCTTTCTTCCCCATTTTGCTTCTACAGAACTGAGCGTATCCGATTGAGCAGCACAGAGTTCATAGTGAGAATCCCATCTGCAGCTCTGCGCGAGAGTCCCTGGGAGAGAAATGCTATGGTAACACTCTCTGAGAGAAGGGAGGAAGGAAGGAAGGAAGGAAGGGAGATGTATTGTAGCCACCATCAAATTTGCACTGCCAGGCTGACACTGCACACAGACAACATAACACTTTTCAGCAGCCTTCAAAAAAAGGAAAAAGAAAGAGCATTTCAGAAAACAAAATACAGAGACAAATCAGATGTAAGATATTGTTGTTCTATCATGATGGTGTTTGCCCTTCTGATTTCAGTTTCACACTATTACAGCAAAAATCATCATAAGCAATTCTACCAGTTAATTTGAAATTCACCCTCCCTGCTTCCCATGTGCACATATCCCTGCTCAAAAACGGCCATGCACCAAGGCTTACATGAAAATCCCTAGGTATATGCTGGACAGGTATCACTGCTGGTCACGTGAAGAACCCTACAGTGTTCTTTTCCACAATTTCATGATGGAAACTCTTGCATCCTAAGCTCTTTGTGAAAGCCACTCATCAGCAAACCATTAGCCATCCATTGTGAAACTGAAAAAAAGCAGCAGGAGCATGGCTGTGTCCTGCAACACTCCCATGAGCAGCACCAACATCACACTGGAACAGCTGCTCTTACAGGAAGCATTCAAACACCCGGTCTCTCCTGTCTATTCTACCATCTCATCCCAAATGCTGCTATTCCAAGAACAGGAGTTTGCTTTTTATCCCAAAAGAGTAACTCTGAACCGATCAAAAGTATTAAGGTCTTTTGAGAACTTTTTAATCTCTGCCTTTGAAAATTTTAGAGACATTTGAACCTAATTAAAATGTTAACATTGTCAAAATACATAACTAAGCAATCAAAACTGGCTTAAATTCCAACGACAGAAACTTCACTGTTTTATTTCTTTGCTAAACATTTTCTACAGAAATAGCCACTTCATGCTGCTGTTTGTATATGTATGTTTTGATCATAAAGGTTTCCTAACTAATACATTAAAATAGAAAACTCAGTGAATGACTCCAGGTCTCGATTAATTAGTTCCGTTGAAACTTTGTTTTAAAATCAAATGCCAGTTTTGGTATCTCATAACTTTATATGCCTCCTGTAGATTTTGAGTAAACCAAGCTGTAGGCTAAGTTTTCACAACTGGGATGAACTAATGAGATTTAACCAGACTCTTGTCTACAAATCTACTACCCCCTCCTCCCCAAACCAGCACTGTCTGTTCATACACACTGTTATTCTGACTACTCATAAGCTTCAAAGACAATGCTTGTCACAAATCTGAATGCAACTCCACAGTTGTAAACACCACAGCACAGCAGTCTTTCTTATTAAAAGGACCACAAATCAATAGAACTTTACAAGTGGGTCAGAAGCACTCGTCAACATTCATTCCAGCATAACTCAATGCAGCATACCTTTTTTTTTTTTTTCCAAATGCATACTTCGGAATGAAACTTTAACTGGGAAACAAATGAAACTTAAGAGCAAGAAGTTGGAAAACACAGCCTGAAAATTTTACTCAGTGCCCAGAGGACATGCATTCATTCCTCTCTTAGCTTATGACTTTTATGCCTGACCCATAAAAACAGGGCATCGAGTCAGAGATTTTCGAAATGAGCTGTACAGTACAGTACAATACAGACATTTGAGAGCAACACTTTGTTGTTTTCTGCAATGTGCTTGGTGCTGGCTAAGAAGACATTGCTGGCTCTACATGCTTACATACACTCCATGCTTCCTGTGCCGCCTACAAAAGGACAATTTTACACAGATATTTACTACAGAGAAACGGTGATTAAATATTTTTTTGTTTCTCAGACTGCATCAAGTTTGCCCCCTGGGTCCCTTAGAAGTACCTGTACTGCAGCTCGAGACAGGTCTGAGAGCCACTTCAATTTTTAACAACATAGCTTCTGCAGCTGAGCAGTGTCAGACCTCTACAAGGAACACAGCTCACCTCTTCATCTGTTATTCACATACACTTCAGCCACTTCTATAACTGGATGGAGATCTGGCAGAAGCAACAAAACCTACAAGCGCTGAACTGGTGAGGTATTGTGCATGTGAATAATTCCCTCAGAGCTCACCCTGGATGCTGGAGACCAAGCCAACAGAGGACATGCAGACCTTTCCCTCTGCACAGCCAGCTCAAGGCAACACCACCTGACTGGAGCAGAAGGACATGGGCACCAGCACAACCAAGAGTGACGCTGACTGGCTTAGTGCCTGGTCAGCATGGCATCACTACAAACATGGTATCTGGCCCCCAAGGGTACCAAAGGGCTCAAAAATACATTGTGTTTGCCTAGCCCATGAGTTGAATTGTGCACTGCTTGGGAAGCAAAAACATCTTATGAAAAGTGCAGAAAGAGAAGGAGAGTAATTAGTATGCATTACTTGTCTAGCTGTGATTCATACGCTGTTGAAAGTGGAACAAGTTAAGCCATTTAAGTGACTAAACAGCTCTGTGACACTGCCATAGCAGAAGTTGCTCTAATACGTTGCCAAATAAACGTTTTACATTTATGCACCAAGTAAGTTGCTGACAAAAATCTTCCCCTCAAAATAATCTAGGTGTTTATAAACAAAAGTTATGATAAAGCCACCACAGATGAATAAAACTGTCAGATTACTGAAGCTGGATAGAAATTCATGCAGTGTACTGAGAGAAGCTTAATTCTTAATGGGTGGCAGTAGCCAGCTGGCTTCTCTGCAGCTTTCAAACCACAATGAACCCTGGATATACTGGAAATTACATAAATTACCTTGTTTTCAGATACAAAATTAAGGTTGAAGACTGTACAAGGTTGCACAGCAAAGCCAAAAGAAAGCCAACAGTTTACAGCAGGGGGTGAACAGAGACTAGAGCTTACCCATACATGTTCAGCAGTGCAGAATTACAGATTTTACAGTGCAATGACTTTCTGAAGTAACACATTATTCCATAAAAGAGAGCTTGGCAACAAAAATCCAGTGGGGGGAAAAAAACCACAAACTCATCATTAAAAAACTATTAACTTTCTCTCGGTGTGAACTTTTGAGCAACTTCCAGTCATGTTTTTCTCTATTCTTTATAAAGAAGTAGCATGAAGATCCCTAAACAAACATCAAATCCTCTGATCTCAGTAAGAACTTTATCCAGCAGCAAGACAGCTCTAACATATGGTGAGAAAAACTGCACACAAAACTCAATCCAGTCACAGAAGGAGGTTCTTCTCTTTTCATCTGCTCTTTGCATCTTATCAGAATTAAAATTAGAGAGGGAAATAAAATTCTGAATCCCTGACAGGCAAATGTTTCACTCAGCAGATTTTTTTTCTTGATCTAAATATAGCACAGACTAAGAAACATCTGCTTGAATGAGCCTGCATCCTGTAGTACCTCTTTCCTAAGTTCTTGGGAGCATGCCATTAGTCACTGAGATGGTATTATTTCAATTGTCTGCAACATCCTGGAAGTTTCAGTGTTTCCATCATGGGCCTCTATCCATTTAAGTCCCATCCCTGCAATCTCCTGAAACACTGCAGTTAAATAAGACCCTACTGTATTTTGCTGAATTTAAACAGAGAACAATTGTTTCTGAGTAAATACTTCACCCAAGAGCACAGAGTTATTTATTAGGGTAAAATATCCAACATACTCTTTCACAAGTTATTTTTTCATTTTTATAATACTGGCTTTTGGATATGCAGTCTGCCTTTTCAGTAGGCTCAGGCAAAGAAAGGCACACGGTTTCTGCATGTAAAAACTGCAAATTCCTCTTTCTGACCCCATCCCCCAGCACGGTGTTGCAGTATGTGCATTACCACAGGCACAGTTGTTGAAGGACCTATTATTTCTACAGGGCCAAAAGTTGTAATGGTGTTCCCTAACAAGTATGTCTAGGCATAGAAAGGGGCTAGTGTGTGTGTGTCTGCCTGTAAGCTTTGGCTTTGAGGATATGCAGTGCACAAAAATGGGTCTTTTTAAAAACAAAAACCTTAAGATGTTAAACACCTCGGGGTTTGTCTTCCAGAGCCTTTCAGAGGCATTTAAGATGTCAAATGCCTGCATTTTTTTTCATTAGATATAATTATCTTTAAAAGCTTCAAATACCCCTATCTATCCTATGGTTATAAAGGAATTAATTTCTGATTCAGAATAAATTCATCCTTGCAGCAAAACCAAGTTTCCCACATGTTCATAAAATTACATCAACTACTACTACCCTGTTAACATTTGCCCTATTTCTTAACTTAACAAGAGAAAAATGTCTATACATAGCTTAATAGAGCATAAAGGCCTACTTCTGCCTCACTTTTGTCAAGCACTCTGTGCTATTTCAGTTACACTGAGATTTTAATTTCATCCTTTTTCCAAGCAAAGAAGCTACCAGTATTAAAAAACTCAAGAGAGAAGAAAAGCTGTGCTGGCAAACTGAATTCCAGTCCTACCAGCAGTAAGCTACTACACATTTGAGTGTGCAGCCACAGAGAGTGATTCTTGTTTCTGATTTAAAAGTGTCCTCCACAACTCTCACAAGATGAGCAGTGTATCAAAATACTGACCAGAATGCACTTCATATCTTTTACCAGACCTGTAACATTGACCACTGCTATAATGACACAATAAAAGTATTAGAGATGCATGAGCCAAATAGATAAAGCCTTTACATGTAGATGGGGGCATCCAAGAGATGCTCTGCTGTTGGAAACAGCATGCAGAGGAGAAAGCAGCCTTTTTTGTGACATCCAAATTTAACCTGTAGACAGTACAGAAAGATCAAATACCAAGGAGGGGCATGCAAGCAAAGGAGCAGAACTGTCATCTCAGGGTCTACCTTGAGACAACATTAATGCAAAGCTGTGCTATGCACACCCTCCCATACTGGGCAGCACAGAGCAAAGTGTATTTCCAGGAGTGAGTTGCGAGACAAAGCGAGACTATTATCAACAAGCTTTTTTGAATCAAAGGCACATGCCTCATAGGTAGATGTGAATGAATGGGAAGCACTGTGGCCAGTGCAAGGCCTCCTCAGCCCTCCTTTGCACTGGCACCCTCAAAATGATGCCACCTTCATTCCAAAGCTTGCACAGACCACTGTTTCATTACTTTGGTCATGATGGCTTTGTATCTGAAAACCCAACCAATTCCACTTCTCTTCTCTTTGTTTCAACCCCAGTCTATTCTGGAGCAAAGTTTAGTTTAAGATGAAAAAAGTAGAGTCATGCCTTCTAGTAACACCATTAAGCATACTGTGTTTACATGAAAAGAGCTGTTTTATAATAAACTTGTCAGAATACACACAAAAGGTTATATGCAAAAAACCAACAGGCTCTTAAGAGATCATTCTCTTCCACATACAGGCACAGCCTGATCTGCATTCCCACACTTGACTCCAGTTAGGAAAATATCTGTTGCTTTTCTCTGGCACTACAACAAACACCTGGCTTGGACAGGATTTCAGTCTTCCCACTCACAGATGCTGAGGGAGCCATTTTGGAGAGAGTGTGTGTGCACATGTGTATGTCTGTGTATGGAAGAATTTGAACTCACACCAAAATGCTGTTCATCTCTAGTCTGTGACACACTGCACAGCAGAGACTATTGAGACTCCTGCTCCTGTGTTCTGCACGCAACCTTTTATGATAACACTTAAAGATAACAGTAACAGATAAGCAGTTATCTTTTACATGGGCAATTTTTTTCTCGCCTCGTCCCTTACCATCTTATTAAATGCCCAAAGGCACAAAAGCCATAAGGATTCCACTGTCTTGCAATGGTCTGTGTCAGATGTTCAGCTGTTGTATGTTACCCATCCTCAGGCCAGGACTCTGTCAAGACACTGTACTTCCAATGCAAAGATCCTGACAGAGATATTTATGATCCCAAACACTTTTAAAGCTTGTCGGTGCACAGCCTAACTTCAGTACATCACTTCACTGAAGAGTCTGGCTTATAGATTGAAATTTCTCACTGTAGGCATGGGAGCTAAAAATCAATATTCACAACCTTACAATTTTAAAACTGGTAATAAGATAGCAGTATGTAATCACAATTTACAAATAGCAGGCAACTGATTTTCTCAGATCACCACTAAGCAAAATAAGTGATACCATTACATAACACTGTATTTCTGTCATTTCTGAATAGCTCCTTTTTCTTCCCAGTGAAAAATGTTGCCTGTTGAAGTTAGTCTGTGAGGAGTCTGAGAACTTATATGTTGGTTTTTTGATATTTGTAAGCCACAGGGAGCTCTACCATCTTGTAACTACCTCCCTACAAAACTTCTGGAAAGGCTAAGGACAGACAGATTTTCCATGTGCATCATAACAGGCTGCTGCACACATAGCACACAGCTGCTCTGTGCATACAAATAGCAAAAGTCTGATAGTTTCAGGAAGAGCTTTTCGTGGCAAGCACACTGTTGAAAGCAGAAACTGCTGATTTACTCAGCATGAACAGAGTGAGAGTACTGGGCAGTCACTGAAGGGCTGCTGCTTCCTAGAGAAGCTGAGAAAAAATGCAGGCAAATTCAGCATCAGGTATAAAGATTATGTAAATCTACTGAGGAGAATTGGTAATGGAATACTCTCATCCAAATGAGAAGCATTCATTCAACATGAAGTATTTCTGGGGGAAAAGAATAAAACATACTTCAAAGAAATCAAGGGATTGGAAGGATTTGGAGCCAGATTTCAAAACCTCAAATAGCCAACAACTCAGACAAACAGCTTTTCTAAGCTCTGCAGCTCCCTCCAAACTGTCACACACAAACAGGAATTTAAGTCTTCATGTCTATTTTTTTTTAACCAGGAAAATACAAAAAAAAAGATACTATAGACAGTATTTGCCCTGAATACTTCAAGGGCAAAATGCATTGGTGGTGTTTTGCTTTGTTTGGTTTTTTGTGTTTTGGGGGTTGACTGGTTGGTGGGTTGGGCTTTTTGGTGCTCATTTTAAGGTATTTTTTTATTTAACAACTATGACACCTCCTTCTGCTTCAACAACTAACCTATTATCCTACTGCCAGAACTTCTCTCTTTACTAGCTACGTGTGCATGTTAATTTCTTCACAATACAGCAGAAAGGTTATGTTGCTTACAGGTATGCACTAATTTATTCAGCGACTTCCCACATCCTGCAGGAGGAACACAGTTCTCCTGCCAATAAGCACGGATGGCTTTCAGGTTAGGGCATTTTTATCTTCCATCTGCTTTGTGATGCCTTCTCAGCACTCCATACGTATGTTTGATAACAAACAACATGCTCTTGAAAATAGATCAGAATACAGAAAGCACAGGAGAGCTCTGAGCTTGCTGTTTCTTTGCACCTGAACCAAGGACTAGTCTACTAAGTATGAACCACCCACCTCACTCCTTCATCTGTATTTTTAAGTAGATTGCAAACATATAAAAATATATCCTTCACAAACAGATAGTATTAAAATTTTTCTGCTCATTGCTAGGTATAAAGGTCATTCATATTACAAAACAATACAAAAAAATCAACATCAACCACTATAGTACTTTCCCCCCAAAGTCTGGACTGCAAAGAGGCTTTCATAGGAACAGCTGTGTGTGCTTACAGACTCAAAATAATAGCCATTTTCCCAAAGAAATAAATCAAAATACAGAATATCTATTTTTTTTCTCTTCAATAAAACATTATTATCTAGGGGAGCAGTGGCAATGTGCCAGCACATCTGGATCAGCCTCCCAGAATTATTCAACAGTGACTCACATATCAGTCTGCCCTTCAGGGCTTTTTTCATTTTTGAAAGCAAATCCTTTTACACTCTTGGTCTTTCACCACTACAACCAACTGTATTTTATTTAAATACCATTTCAGCTGTTGTTTTTAATGCTAAGAGAAACAGGCAATGAAAAAAAAAAAATATATATATAAAATGAACACATTTTAGCAGCTGACTCCTCCTGTGCTTCATAACAGATAAGGACCAGTACTATTTGCTTGACAAAGTGAAACAAAAAAGCTGCCCCCTAAGAACAGTTTATGAAACAGCATTTATATTTTGTTTGAACAAGCAGTGTCCTGTGAGAGTATTGGCAAGGAACCATCTAGCAGAAAACTGATGGGGGAGCTATGTACTCATGTCTAAAGCTAAAAAGTAATTCAGTCCTGACCTCCTTCAAAGACCAACTGTCTTGTGCTTTTGTTTCAAGTGCAAAGCAGATGTTTCACTTACAAAAAACTCCCACTCTTATCCTCTAGGAGGTTTTGCTGAAGAAGCTACTTTGAATACTATACTTTGTCACTGAACAGACCATTTCGCAATGTACCGTGTGAGGAAGGAAGGCACACTGGGACATGCTGTGATCCAGAAGCTTTTCATATTTTCACTGAGTTTGAACAGCGAGGAGATTTAACACGAGCTCAAAACAAACCAAGTAACCTAAGATTGTCAAAAACCAAAACACCTTGCTGAAGTCCTTATTCTTGCTGTAGCCTGTTCCACCTTCTCCCATGAGCTTATAAATTCACGTTCTGTGTTTTGAATTGGAGCAAAATGCTAATCTTACTGAAAATTAGTGTGGCTGAATGTTCTTTTTCCTGGTGACCTTGGAAGAAGACTAAAAATTGCAAACATGAGGCAAACCATTGTCATTATCACATAAGATCTTTAGGTTGCAAAGAACTGTCAATATACCAGATAAAAATGTGAAGTACAAAACAGAGAAATAAACAAAGTCTCTCTGGGCAACAAGGTTGCCTTAAGTAGCCTTGCACTTCTGCCATACATTTTGGCATCCTGAACCATGTCTGTCCAACCATGGGTCTGGTAAGTCAGACAACAGGAGAGCTGGTTGGATAAAGAAACCAAAATTGCACAGTATCTCCCTCTCCAACGCTGACTTTTAGCTATACCAGATCCCTGATACGACCCTTCTCCCTCCCCTGTGACTGAACAAGCATGTGTACTTGTGCAATGAAGGAGGTAAAAGCTTCTTCTGAAAGTAAAAAAATCAAAATAAAATAAAATTTTAAAAATCCTTAAATAGAAGCACACACTACCCCAGCCCAAATCCACAGTGAATTATAAACCAACACTCATCACACAACAGAGGTTTTCATGGCGGTCTATGGGAAGGTTCTAACAATGAAAGCAACACTGGATAACACCGGGTTTAGGACTTGAAGTTATCATCACAATTAGTGGAAGTTTTACCTCTTTAACATGAGTGTGAAAGGACACAGACATGTCCAGCAGGATCTTGCGCTGCTCCACGCGCCTGACAAAGTCCTGTATCCGGTCTTCGAGCTGATGGGCAGCTTGATAAATCTCCTCCGGGTCACACTCCCCAGTCTGAGCAAGCTGCTCTGCTGCTTCTAGGAGCTTATCTGCATTCGTATACGTGTTCTGGAGAAATAAGTTAGTTTCACAGCATTAAATTAAAGAAAAGTCAATCAGTACATTTTAAAGCCACTCCACTAATAAAACCAAATTACGAAAAGGCCCTTGGAATGTACTTGTCTTTCTTCTTTTCTTAAAGGCAGCACAATATAATCTTACTAAAGATTCTGTTACATTTCTATATAATTTTTCACTTAACTGTGAATAAATTCCTTAGCTCCTTATTTATGCCTATTCAAATGTCTCCTTGACAAAAAACATGGACTTAGTATTTTACATACACACCTAGAATAAAGATCAGCCAAAATGCCTAATCCACTACACGAAAACTGGCCTATTTCAATACTGGAAAAATCACTACAGTCAGGGACAGAGGACTTTTCAAATGTGTACTACTAGAGCTGAGGAAATTCTAACTGCTGGTAGAGACACTTAACACCAAGTCCACACATCCAGCAGGAAGGTGGAAAGTGACCAAGCACAGAAAGAAAACATTTCTCTCCGTCCTTAAAGAAGTCAGAGATCCAAAATTCATGCATCATGTGTATCATCATTTGTGAAACAGCAGCATCATAGGAAGATTTAGAAGTGAGCTATAACCGAGTGTCCTAGTGGAACAGTGTCCCAATACATCCTAGGATTAAGAAATGCAGATCGGAAGGCCTATAAGAGACTTGAGACTAAGCAGAAAACAATGGAAAAAGTCTGGTCTCTGATGCACTAGGAGTGCTACGGTGCAGAGAAGAGACAGGTGTTTAACAACTCTTAAAGCTCTGCATTTGCAGCCTGCCTCAGTATCTTTCTGTTAATTCGAAACAGGACTGAGACCAAACCTTTGTTATACTTTGGGTGCTCTTTTTGAGCCTAACCTTGGGTTTTCATGTTTTAGGATGGTTCTCAAAACTCTCCTCGAGGAAGGTTAAAAGGACGTTAACCACTGAAGCAAAAACCTGAAGCCAAGTCTAGACTAAAGAAACTTTGCTTATGTCACACCATTAGGTCTTCTGATAGGTTGGCACCACAGACTAAAAGAAGAAGAAAGCATTCTTGACAATATAAACTACACTTTCTTCTTCTCTTTTCTGCCCTTCTATGTTCTCCTGACGTAAATTACACCAGGTAAAAACAATCCTTGCTAAGATAAATTAAGCCTATGCAAATGTACTTTTCTTTGCCATAAATATAGTATCACACCTCTAATTTACATTATAATATCCACAAAAATGAAATCCAAGTCCAGCCCTAAAACTGAACTAAAGGGCAGGAAATAAGAGCTCTCCCTCAGGGTATAAAGGTGAATTATCAGACAAGCCCAGGACAGATTACATGACTCAGTGAAGCTTTCACATATTTTTGGGGAGCTCCCCCTCAATTTATTATCTATTTATGCAAGGAATTAAATCTATGCTGTTCCTTGACTTCGACTATGTAACTCTCAGCCCTACCTTAACTTTCAGCTTTTTAGTTGCACAGAGGGATAGAGAACTCTTTCCTGGTTTCCCTGGGAAAGCATGCAGAGACAAACACAAACACGAGCTTATCCTATTCAGTGGGGAGCAGGCTACTCCACGCCCCAGACCCCTGTCTCAGGCCATGCTGGCCCTGAGCACACTCTGAGCTGCGCTTGGGTGTTCTGCCTTCCATGGCTGCAGCTCACATGTGTTCAGGGGGCAAGGCCAGAGCGCCTCAAGGCACTCCTCAAACAACAACTACTTCATCAGTCCAGAGCACCACACCCAGCTGCAGATGGCTGAAACAGAAGTTTCCCATTTTAATGAAAACTTTATCTCACATGTGAAGCATTGTTTACGAATTCCAGGAGTATCTTCCGCATTACACAGGCCCAGGCACATCTGACTTCTCTTTTCTGTAAAGGGGATGGTGAGCTGCCTGTATTTAGAAAAGAGCACAGCCTGGATGCTGCTTCAAAAGGGGTTGCAATTCTCAAACCTGGCAGCAGGCACATGCCTCGTTGCTCAAATTTCACTTCCAAGTAGAGCTGGAGAATAATATAAACTGCTCCTTGGACTGGAAATCACATCAACTAGGTGTTCAGTACCACCTACTGCCTCTCCCAGCTCTCTGTTTGCTTCTAAACAACGCTCAAAGGAAAAAAGCAGTAATGTGAAGATTTTTGAAAATGCTTGTCCGAGGGGCAGCCTCTAGTTGAAAGTCAGGCAAAAAGAGCAAGAGTTCTTCCTTAATGGTGCTTATGCCAATTTCCTAAATTGAAGAAAAGGAAAGGAGCCTTCAGGGTGACAAACTTCCTCAGGATCTCTTCACTAGCACACTCTCCCCAGATCCCAGAGGAAAAGGAGTCCTGTAAGAACTTCAAGACGACCTGTAGTCCATCCTTCTGTGCCCCAAGGCGCAAGTCTTTAATAGGCATTCTTCTCCACAATTATGAAAAATTCTCCATAATGGAATTTACCACCTTTCCCAACTAGAACTTCCATCATTTTTCCCATCTTTCTGATAAATATTGTTTTCTCAATATTCTTCACAAAGAACAAACACCATATTTTTAGAAAGCATATGAAGTGACACATCACAGAAAACCCAAAGATTAAATTTCAGACATTAGTGCAGAATGACTACTACTGACAACAAATACAGAAACAGAAGTAAGTGGAGATATGGACTGCACTTCAAACAATGTGGAGTTTACTGTGGTCTGGAAAGGGAAGAGCGACACATGGATGGCCGGCCGGAGACCAGCAGAGGTATACAAATCATTAAATGTATAGAAAATAAGATAGATGACTCATTAAGTACAGTGGACACTATCACATTTAAGCATCAGACAATACACTTAAAATGAAAAAGCAAAGTGCTTTTCATTTAAGGAGCAATTAAATTGCATAACTCATTGCCACAGGGTCTGGCACACATTCCAAGACCATAAAGGGGTTCAAAAAGCAGCCTAATTAAAGAAAGACAAGTCCATCAGTGACTGGCTCAGATGCATCCTTCAGGTCCAACACCAAACAGGCTCAGATAACTGGGAGAGTAAAGGTAACTTTTTAAGCATACAGTCCCTTTTCTTTATGCATCTGGTGATAGCCACATGCTAGTGTAAGACGTGGACCTTTAATTTGATGTATTGCAACCATTTCAAGGGTAAAGTTCAGAAGGAGTCCAAATTCATAACCCATTTTTATAACGTTAAAGGAGGTGGGAACAGGTGTTGGTAGGGAAATGAAAGGTGTATTCAGACAAGGTCTGCAATAATCTTTCTTGCGCATTTCTTGCACCAAGAAGAATTACCTGTGGGAAAAAATCCCACTAATTAATTGTTGCCATATACCTTTTGTGTTTTTTGAGCACAGACTACTGTCAAAAAGCAGACACAGATCACATTTGAAATACGCAAAGCTGATTTAGAATTTCAGACAAAAATTCACAGAGAAGTACAACTACAATATTGACCTGTATCCAGTGCTTGTAAGCTGAAAATTCATGCCCTAAGTGAATCAATTATGTCAAAATTTGGACACTTGACACTTTAACCAAACAGTCTCATGGACACAAACATGAATGTGGAGAGAGGGTCAAAAGAGAAAGAAAAAGATGGGTAAGTAGAAATTGAACTGGCCAGGCTTCACAAGAAAAGAGAAACACTATTTTACAATAGCGGGTGCAAGTCAAAGTATGTAATGTGTAGAATTAATCTGTAATCAGAATTTAGGGAGGATTATTAGCTGAGTTTCGACTATCTAGCTTTTGTAGTGGTAATAAAAAAGTGTTAAATGAAGAGAAACAAACCTTCATTTCACATGAATTTAGAAGTGACTAATTTGTGAGACTACAGCCCATTGACTGGAACGCCTATTCTATTTGACACACAGCTTATTTTAACATCTCTTTGAATGCTGTTGAGGAAATGGCACCTCATTCACATTAAAAAAAATAATGTGGGAAGAAGCAGAAAGGAAGAAAAAAGGAAAAACAATTTTCACTCCACTCAAAATCAGGAGTTAGCCTTTGACCAGAAACATGTCAACATAACTGTTGGCTCCCTGGATTTGCCACAACATTGCCATGCCAGTGACACTTCATTTAACATTACTTTCAACTTCTGGCCGGAACAGACTGAAAACCCCTAATAATGCCCAGAGTCCTATTAAAAACAAACAAAACCAAAATCACAACAGAAAGAGCAACAACAACAACAAAAAAAGTCCCAAATGAAAAACACACCAAAGACCTGGACCAACCAGAAATGTAGGCAGAAAATAAGTCAGCCAAAAGTTACTGGTGCTTTAAAAAGGACTGCAGAGTGCTGTTTTATACTTGAACATCATCTTCCTTGTAACAGCAACAACAGGAATGCCTTTTGGGCTGCTTATATTCATTTTTACAGCAAGTAACAGGAACAACTCAGAGGGTGTGCTTCTCTTGGCAGTAACTCACTACACATTCAAGAGTTAGAGATGAAGAAAATACTTATTAGATCATTTTGTCCATCCTTCTGTCAGTGGAAGATGGTCCCCTGTAGTATATTTAAGTTCTTTGACCAATAGAAGTTTTCAGTATCTCCAAAAATAGAACTTTACACCCATTCCCTGAAGAGATAATTTCAAACTCCAGTAACATTCAGTCAAAGGAAGTTTTTAGTAAACATTTGCTTTAAAATTTTCTGCTTTAAAGTCTAATGCAAATTAACAAGATGCTTTTTTTAACATCCAAGTAACATTTCTATGCACTTCATCCACTTTTGGCTACTCAAACATTTCCTTCTTCTTTGCCCAAATAATACAGCATTAAGTATGAGATCATTCAGGCTTTGTTAAGTGTCTTACAGAAATAGACTCCTGTTTGTCTGACCCAGAAAAATAAGTATTTCCACATGGAAAATAGTACTTTTTACTAAAACTTAAGTAATAGACATGCATATAGAAAATCCAGCATGTATATACAACAAAGTAACAAAACCTATTCTTTTTGAAAATTTTACAGGAAAGCAATATTGAGGAAGTTTTCTGATGCAATTTCAAGTCCTCAGCCACTGGAGTGCTCTAAGACTGTATTTACAATGAAATTTTATCAAGACTTTAATCTTCCACTAGACAGGCAAACTGTAAACAACACTTCTGATGCATTCCCCATAGCAGGTGTCACTGCCAAGCTCCTGCATACAATGCCACAATTATCTAATAACTTTGCCTTCTGTTTGAATGAAGCACCCCTGTGTCAACCTCACCTTCAGAGATTTTTCTTCATTAATCTTGGAAATGATGTTGTCTCTTACCAGTCATTAAGACTGGACAGACAGTGCATGTTACTTATGGGAGGATTCTAGCCTTTAGCTTCCATCACAGGGTTTTTCTTCACCTCACATCCCCTTTTAGAGGCTACAGCAGCTCCTTGTTAACTTCCCTGCATTCCTTTGTATCTCTGTTTTGATTTTTTTCACAGAAAAATGTGTTCTGAAGTTGTATCACCACTTAAGGCTAAACTAAAGGTTATTCAGAAGAGGAGAACATATACAAACTCAAGTGTATTCAAAGAAAAAAAACCTCAACCCAGGTTGGCCAGTTTGCTGGCTCACTTAGTTTCTTAGGAGTCCCCGTTTCCTCTCCATGAGACTGCAGTGAGAATCTGGGAGCTCCCCAAGCTTAAGAAAGCAGGACTTTCAATTCATCTCCATCCTCTCTTACAGGCTGCACAAAAGTTTAAATCCTAGAATCCCATGGAACTAAGCTACTTGGAAATGAGAGCTTTCATTCTTCTGTAAATCAATATTTGAAAATATGATTTTGAAGAAATATAATAATAATAATAATAATAATAATAATAATAATAATAATAATAATAAATAATAAATAATAATAATTATGCCAGAGCAGTTCTATTGTGCTTTAAGGCTCACACCCTCTAGGACTGTGGAAGTCTGTCTTTTTCATCTCAAAGCTGGAGCATAAAGGAGAAATGAAATAAAAACTTGCAACAGAAACAAAACAGTCCCTTCCTGGAATGGAATGTTTTGTAGTGGAGCTCCTTCTGCACAGGCCTTAAGTGCAAAAGCAGGAACTTTTCACTTATTTCCATGACAAGTGTACAGTCCTTCACGTGATTGCTTTTACCTGAGCAACCTCTTCGAAGTCTTCATGGCGTTTCTGCAAAGCTCTGGCCCGATGCAGGGATTTTCCCACTCCAGTGTGTTTGCTGAGAAAAGCTTCTCCATGGTTTTCAATCCAATCCAACACCTGTGGTACAGAAGAGAGACACACAGAAATCCTGAGTGGCTGTATTGAATGTTACAACAAAAAGACAATTATTCAAGCAATTGAGAAGATGTAAAGGCACTGCTTAAAAAGAACTGAACTGCTGGATTAAAACACAATGTTGCCATTGAAGGACATTAATTACATCTCATTTAACTTTTCTCAAGGCGGTAATTAGCTCAAGCTAGCAAAATAGTATGATTCAAGATTATATCTTTATTTTGATGCCTACCAAGGACAACCCCATTTCTCCGCATTCATCAGTTTGACAGTAATCTGATCCAAGTGGCAAGACCCCTTGTGAGGGTCTCTCTAATCTGTTTATGCCTTCAGCTGACATTTTTTCTGCAAGGTAACACTAATGAAGCTTGCACACTGCTGGTGAATAACACAGTGAAGTTCTATTTTAGATGATAACTCACTTCACCTTCTACATATGATTAAGTCAAGATGTAAGATTCAGTAGTAACTAACTTCAATTAACACAAGAAGAATTAGTTGAAATCATTATGAGATAAATGTCTATATTCAGAGCATATGAAAGAACATGCTCCAGTTCTTAAGAGGCATCTATCACCTCAAAACATCAGACATAATTGTTTATTGTAAATTTTATAGCTGAAAAAGTGGTGAACAAAGCACATTTTAAGGACCTTAATGCTTCTACCACAAAGACTGAGCTGACAGCTTTATAAATAGTAAAAACTATACATGTAATTAGTTCCTGTCAGTTAACATAAAGTATTTCTGCACATGTACCAAAATTCTGATGAGTGAATGAAGAAAAACATCTAACCTCTCTTCAAACTAATACTTCCTAGACATAATCTATTAGTTCAGTATGCATATGGTATTCAATTTTTTGGAAGATACTCAAAAGGTTCAAGAATGACATTCAGAATTAAAAACAACAGCACATAAGGAATTTTTTTAAGTCAGCTAACCGTACCTACACAGCACTTATGTAGTGGTACAGAATACCTTACCTAACATTCACCTCCAGTGTTCTTTTATTCCTTAAAACATGAATATTTTAGTTGGTTTTGAAAATAACTTCCAAAAGCCTGTCCTGTGCCTCTTCTTATCTATTATTGTCCTTTACTCTGATTCCTAAAGTTGGGTGAGGTTTTCTCGACAGTTTTCTTTTACTGAAAGTGTAACTGAGTATAACTAAAGAGAGACTTTGTTTTTCTTCCATATAGCTTTGAGAGCCAGTCCTGCAACACCACTCCTGATCACATTCAGTACACATGTAATCCCACACACCATTCCCATGAAAAACATCCATGCTTTCTTTAGCAAAAGAATGAAAACATGGTTTTCTCATTTATCTTGACTGTGCAAATATTTTTCCATTTGCAAGCTCTCTACTACTGGACATCTTCAAAACAACAAACAAATCCCTAATAACACAAAATACAGCTACTTCAAATCACCAACACTTCATTAAATCTCCAATTTTAACTTCTGCAATACTTGTTTTCCCAGTAAGTATTGCCAAAAGAGTATTATTGTGTTTTAGGTCAATGCAAGTTTTCATTGCTCTCTTTCAAGGTAAAGTATCGATCAGAGAAAGGAGAGTGAGGAGCTAAACATAGCCTCAGTTATTATTACCAGTATTTTTGACTAGTTCCAGGAGACTACTTTCCCCGTTATAAAAAGAGCTGAAAAGAGATATGTTTGGATGAAATAATTAGACTGGACTCTGGAGACTACTAACAGTTACAAGCTAACAAATGAAATCAACAGCAAAATCAGCCCCAAAAAGCATGGGATGAAATGCAGAAAGCAGCCCAGGGAGAATGATTTTTGCTCTGAATAATGCTGAGTAACTTCTCAGGGGAAGAAATTGTCATAGGAATCCAGTACACAGATCATGACATAAACCACTCAACTAGAGAAACATTACTGCCTCTAAGTGAAATCAGTATGAATACACGTATCATTACTGTTCACTCTTCATACCTTGATTCTTAACAAAACTGAGGAAGCACTCTTGGGAATTTTACAGCATGTAGAGGCAGAGTCAAGTTAGGCTCTTCCCATCACTAAGTGCTTTGCATACCACTTCAATCAAAGGACAAAACCATTAGTTGGCACTGATATTAGCCTTTTAGCAACTTACACATTTTCTTCCTCTTCCTGGGAGAAGTAAGAGTTACAAAAATCATCATACTGAGCCACTAAGGGCTCTTCTACCAATACTGAACGCAAATGGAATTCAGTCTGGTACTTAAGGAATATATAGGTGTCTAAGAGGCTCAACACCTTTCAGTGAAAGGGTGAATAGTATCACCCTCCACTGCAGCAAGTTGCTTTAATGATGCAATTAAGTTCTACTGCAGTCTCAGCAAAACCATCCTCATACCCAACACAGGATGTAGAAAAATGCTTACTTTTCTAACTCCCAAAAGAATATAAGGCAGAAGAAACTACTACGGAAAACCAGCTTCATTTTAAAAAGCATTGCTCATGGCTGTAAAATATGTGGTATATGCTGCTTGTAGAAGCAAACCTGATCTTTTGCAGATTCGTTGTGCTCATTTGCACCAGTCTTTCCCACATTATTATCCACTCCTCACCCCCCACCCCTTTACCTACTTTGCAAAAATTCAAGTTTCTGATCTCCACTTACTTGCTGCTGACATAGCATTCAGAAGGGGAAGATGGAAATATCTGCATTTCTGATCTTCGGACAGTTAAAATGTGGAAATACTCACTCAAAAAAAAGTCCCATTTTACACTGGAACCGCCTTCAAAAGCCACATGGGAATCACACAGTGAAATCATGTTGATGCTAGCAAGTAGCAAGCATTCATGGCCCGCCCTTCATTAGTCAAGGCTGAAACTAGTGTCTGTAACCTGTCTTGAGGCAGACAGATCAAGCAAGAAGCAGCAGATTTATCCAAAATGGACTCAGAAGACACCCACTATGATCAAATAAATGTATTTCTGGGAAAAAACAAACAAACAACAAACAAACAAAAAAAAAAAAAACACCAAAAAAACCCCCACAAAAACAAACAAGCCAAACCAAATCAAAATACCCCCCCTCCAAACAAGTACAACAAAAATAACTAATCCCCCTCCCACCCCCCAAAAAAACCCTCAAAACACCTCCTACCAGCATGTTTTGCTAATTTCTGGCTTGCAAGCTATCAGGAGAGTTTTTCAGGCACCAAAACTGATCATACAAGTGTCAGCAGTATCACTCTACCAGAAGCATTATCTTCATGCTCAATTTGGACCTGTCATGGCCTAGAAGAGCAGAACATGTTGCTGCTCCAAATCTGCTTTATTGCTTCATATCAGAATCAGTCAGCTCCGTTCCTTAGGTCAAAGGCTGACTCTTATTTACTTGTAAGCTTATTAAGTCTTAAACATAAAATCATACTTTTACTAGCATGTAGAATGGCTACACAGACAATTGAGTGCCAGTGGTCAGACTTTTTTTTTTTTTTAATTAAAATAAAACCCCTTTTTTTAGATGTTAATATACAAACTAACTGGGAACTAGATCTCCCAGCATGTTTCTGCTACCTAAAGTCAGACTCAGAATTCCATTCAGTTTAAGACTGTCATATGTTTTCACATTTCAAATTTTCTGTAATTCACTTATTATCTACTATTTCCATTATTTCATACACTACTTTCCTTACTACTTGCTTTAAAAGATCAGCAGATGATTCTTGATGTACTCAAGATATCACCACAATGATTCTGTTGATTTGGAAAGCCCCACTACAAACACCTTCCCAGTATACAAGAACATGCAAGACAGAAGAGAAAACCCAAAGAGCTTTCTAAGGTGAAAGTAACACAAAGTGAAGTACCAGCTCAACACGGCCAATTCCTTCCCCCAACTCAGCTCTGTCACTCACTTAACACTTCCATGAACTGAGTTATTTCATTAACCCAGCAGAGGGAGAAGGAGGAAATCACAGACTCGTGCTAAAGGACAGTTACAGATTCACTTACAGTGCTCTTGGTTGCTTGCCACTATGTGCAAACTAACACACAACAGTGGAAGAGAGCCACACTTAGCTTATTCTGAAATGAAAAAAAAACATCCCACCACATTTAACTTTACTGACAATAATTAAAAGATGCTTTCTTTCATGTTAGCTTCTCAATCACTCCTAATTGAATTTTTTAACATTTGAACAAAGAAAGAATGTGCAAACAAAAACCAAAGTATTTTAGAAAGAAAGTTGCTTTGGAGCTCTACATAAACCATTCCAGAACCATCGTGGATTTAAATTTAACTAATACCTCAAACTATGGTAATTTCATTAATTGAATGGTGTTAATGATTATTCATATGAAAAACTACCATTTCTCAGATTAATTAGGATGATCTGAAGAAGTTGTTTTGATTTTGTTTTGCAAGAAAAAATAATATTTTTATTCAAGATCACTTTTTTTCCCCCCAGATAAATTTTCAAAGCCAAGGGAGCTACAAACTAAGACATCTGCTGTGACTATTAGATTATCTCTCTGGTATGGATGTTGAATGGTCATTGTCTTACAGATTGACCTGCACTGAAATCCTAGTATGAAAAGTTGTATTATGAAAGGGAACAGTGACCAAAATTCCCACTGTGATTCATAATGCAGTGCCAAAAATACCCAATACCTGTAAAGTTAAGTTAAAGCAACATAGTTAAAGCTATACTTCCACATGCAACATTCCAGTAATTAACAGTCATTACAGAGATAAACCAAAGGACAACTCAATCTCTGACAGTGGTAACTACTAGATACTAAGGGAAGGGCTTAGGAATACAGCAAGCAAGGGCTGCTCCTCTGTACAGATCTAGCTTGAAATTTCATGTGGTTGATAAAGATGTGCATTAGCGCACAAGGCTGCAGCTTCAAACTGTTAAGAGGATCTCTTGCTACCTTAATTCAATGTCTGTCTTGCAAAGCATATAAAGAAACCACAAGCACAAACAGGATGAAAGAAATTTCTCCAACCAGTAGGTAAGGCATGTGCTGAATAATAAGTCAATGTGGACCAACATTCTCGAGGCAACTGGTTCATACTGAAAACTTTTGGTGAACTCACAATCTACATCCATGATTTGGATAGAACATTCCTGATACTGGAAGTTATAAAAATATGTAAAGCTGTCCACTTTGTTTTTTTTAAACCTGTGACTACTTCATCTTAAATGCAGCAGTTCCAAAGGCTGATGAGTCTAATACAGAGAAGGAAAAATCCAGCATCTTGCTGAAGAACCTGGTGGTGGCTGCACAATGACTTGAGTCTAATGATGGGTTATTTGGCAACTTCAGAGAACAAAGCAGTCTGAGAGCTAACTCTTCCACACCAAGAGCCATGATTCAGGATGGAGCAGAAAATGAAAATTTCCTACAAGCATTTTAGGACTCCCAAGATATTAAAGGCAAAGAGTAGGAGCAGTACAGTAAGACTCTCTGCAGAATTTAATGAATGCCTTCCCTCAGAAAATAAATTGCCTAAAGCCTGGCCTACAGGCCTGAAACTTGAATTATGCACCTGGCAAATTACCTCAGGAGATCCCTAAGTAGATTGCCTAAGTAGGTCCTACTTGAAACTGAATTCAAACTAGAGGAGGAAGTTCCACCATCCAACCCGTACTTGTTGGCACCAGACTGTTGAGAGGACCTACATTTTTCCCTGAGAATCAAACTACTGTGTTAATTCCAGTTTCTGAAGATTCCTTACAAAGCCTTTTCAATTTAAGATGGGATTCATTTGTGGGCTGTGCCTCATCACAGAATCACAGCATATTCTGAGTTGGCCCTTCACTGACTACTCATGCAAGTACCAGCACTGGACCCTCCTCACTAGCAACTACTTGTATTGTAATCTTCTTGGAGAGCCGCAAGGATTTATACAGTGGTATCACGAATGGACTCTTCTGTTCTCTGTGCCCTTGCTGACCATTCATAACATTCCCTATGCTTGCTTTTCCTTTTTTTTGTCAGCTAATATTTTTCATACTTTTCTACATCCTTTGTCACATCTCAGCGTTGACAATCTGGATAACAGCCTGTCTTTCAATGTATGCTTCTTTTTAGATAAAAAAACCCAAGTAATAAAGTTTTGGAGATTTTACATAATTTACTGCCTAAGTATTTAAGTTATTTTCTTTAATTACATGAAGAGATAGTCACCAGATGTCAAAGAAAGTTCAGTTATCAAGATTGCTCAGTCTCCCGACCATCTGACTAAATTATCTTTTTCAAGTACTGTACATGATGAAAATCGGTTATTTCACTCCCAACTGCTCACATCCAGTATCATCTTCAAATAGAAAAGTACAAGAAATTTAGCTTGAAGTGCAACTAATTCTGATGAAAAAAGATTAGGTTAACCAGAACTATGGCTATCTATCTAAAAACCCCATTCAGAAGTTGTGATTTCTGGACACTGTTACACTGAAATGAAAGACCATGATCAGCAAATACTGGCCATCTTTACTTTTTTTATGAAGATCAGCTCTTAAAGGATAAATTACTAATGTCTCTGTTAACTGAAGTCCAAAGCCAACATTTTATGCTTATTAAAAATCCACCAACCAAGGAATTTTATGTTGTTTTACTTTCAAAACATAAAGCTGTGTCAGAGATACTAATGCTTGTATGTAACTACTAACTTCTACAGATATTGTCATAATAATAAAAAATAGCAGCTAATAACAATTAATTCAAGAACAGTGTTATTATAAGAAATAAATCTAATCTGTAATTTTTATAATTATAATTATTAAAAATTTTAAAGATTATAATTTTGGTCATTTTTATGATAATAACTACTCTCAGGTTTTAAAGAAACACTATTAAGTCAATTAAGTATCACTGAGGATTTAAAATTTTACAGAAAAACACTATTAATTTTTTGCATGTTACAACAAGAAGCCTTTTTGACACTTCAAGTCCAGAATTTTACCTAGAAAGTGAATGACAGCTTCCAGCACAAACTCAGAACAGCTGTCCATATTAAAAATCTTTTTCATCATATATGACTTAAAGTAAATAATTTAAAATCATAAAAATATGAAGTAGAACTAACTTTCAACTATAATTGTTATCCATAATAGCCAATACCCAAGTTCTGGTAATACACAGAACTTGATATCATTCTAACAATCTCATGCAACTATTCACTTGTTGTACAAAAAAACATGGGAATTAGCAGTGAAAACTCACCTGTCAGTGCAATCAGGCTGACAGAATAGAAAGGCATTTAGACAAAATGAAACAAAACCCACCTGTTGAACATCCTGCTGAAAAACACAGAGCTGAAGCCGCTGGTGCAAGCGGACCTTTCGATGCTGCCAGATATTTTCCAGTTGGCGCTGATGATGCAATACTTCATGGATGACATCCAGGACATGATGAACTGCTTTTGAGTAGTTGGCAGATGCAGTGAGGGAATCAGAACTCCCGGGAGTCAAAGGTCTCTGAAGTTTATCAAGGAGTGACTTCCCATCTTGGCTCACCTGACCACCAGAAAGGACGAAGAATTACTTGTCTTGCCAAAAGCTTGTTGGGCTACTACTTGGTACCCCACCCCTTCTCCCAGTTATAAATGTCCTCAAGAACTAAGGGAGCAATGATGAAGACTCGTTTTATTGCAGGAATGTTTACCTACATGCACCTATTATAGGAAAGAAAAAAAATTGTATTCTCTTCAAAATAATTTTAACAAGTAGCACTCTCCTAAATAACAGCCTGTCTTTCCATTTCATCATTACTTTAAGAATGACTTTCCTTCAAAGTGTGTGGATTTTTTGTTTGGTTTGAGTTTTTTGTTGTTGTAGTGAGCTTTTTTAAAAAAAACTAGTAGAATCTAGCTTTGAATAAATATTCTTCATCTCTATCCCTAGTCAACAAAACACCTAAAATTTGTCCAGAATTATCCTTCCAAAACAATCTCTCTCTCTTCATTTGCTGTAAAGGTGAACAGGGAGGTTACTTTCTGTAGGTTAATATTTGACAAATACATTTAAACCAGCAGATATTATACTTAGTACATGACTCAATCTGATACGATTTACAGCTTCTAAATTATTACTGCTACTGGTAAGCCAAGGGAAAACTGCTGTTATGGCAAACTTAATTCTGATTAAATCACATAAACCCTTTCCATGTAGCACAGAAAGGTACTGTGTTCCAAAATGTGTTTAACTACTGATACTGACCGGAAACATTTGTCATTTCTGACTGTTGTCTTCTCTCATTTATATCACAGCAGAAATATTCAGATTTACCTTGCATGATAATTAAAAAGCAATAATCCTCTCTTATCTGGTCACTATCAACATTTAGTGTTAAAAACACTTTTCATTGCTGTTTACTCTGTCACTTTTAGCATGAAACTCAGAGAGCTGTTACAATTCAGTATCAATATGCTACCTGCAAAGAACTTTTCTAACAGCTCATTTAGCAGGCAGGAACAAAAATCATCTGAAACCGCAAGACACAAGTATAAACAGTAAAACACATAGCCTGAATCCATCAAATCCACACCATGTCAGAAACAGCAAATTTGCCAAGGCCTTCCCCCAGTGGCTCTTTTCAACAATTTTTACTAAGTCTAGGCACATTTTAAATTTGTTATTCAGTAGTCAAACAGATCCAAATGAAAATTGTTTTCTGATAATTAGGTAACAAGGGAGTTTATTTCTCAGTTTCAGTTCAAGCTCTTTCATTTCAGCAATGAGTATCAACACAGAGAATGATGCTCACTTCTGAAATTAGCTCCAGTAAAGTCAGGTCAGCAGAAAAATGCACAGGCAATAGCACAGTTACAATGACATGTTTTTTCTTTTCTGTATCCAGAAGAATTATCTAGTAAGTCCTTCAAGTATTTCAAGATAATGGACTTCAATTAGCCATTCAGAGTCCATAAAATCTAGGTGATAAAAGTAATTGTGACAGCCCCTTGATCCAATTAGTTCATTAGCTTTATAAACAAATGACTACACAGATTTTACTTTGGAGTTAATACACTAAAATTTTCTTCCTTCTTAGTGCATGACTGCTTTAAGATTTCAGTGAGACGCATAACTTTATTTATATATATAACTTCCTTTAAGGCACATCTGTCGGATTTTCAGGCATACCAATTGTCTCATCTTGTAAGCTAGTAAGTTGCTTTACTAGTAATATACAGTAATTACCCTCAGTAAAATCTGACTGTCTAGTCTTAAAGCATTTACTTTCTTAAAATTACTGTCTTCTACTTTGCAACCAAGTCGTGTTGTCAAGATATTGCAATCTAAAATGAATGACAGTGTTGTGATTCCCATAGTGTTGCTCTCTCTCTTCCCCCACTGTTCATTCATCACAAAATGAAAGGAGCTCCATACTGTAATAGAAATGAAGTCATACATCTAATAATGATAAGCAATAGTGCTGTAATATCCTGACACAGAAAGATGCCTCCATCAATCTTCAAAAAGGAATGCATGTTTGAAAAATGCAAAATAAAACCTTCTGCCCAGAGAAGGAACACAAGTTGTACATACACACACAGTTATTACTTCTGCACCAGTTCTGGTTACTAAAGACAAAACTGGTTTTTTACCAGATGGGGAAAAGTAATGACCAGAAATCAGAAGAAAGGCACTTAGTGCTCTTTTTTCCTTTGAGCAGTACCAGTGAAGATTTTGTTAAAATATCTAGCCATCCCAAAGTCAAAAGCTACAGCTTTGAAATCCTAAATAAATTTTCAAGATATCTCCCAAAGCAATCCTATAATCTACCAGTCTAATTTATTTTCTTTATGCCTCACCAGCAAGCAAACATTATTTAACATGCTAATCCACAGTACTTATTTACACTTACAGCAGGCTCATCCAGTCACATTCCTGACAAAAAACAAAGAACCCACACAAAACCAACTCAAACCAAACAGAACCAAGTAGAAAAAAAATTCAACCTCACCCTTTTATAATCATTATTCTAGAGAAATCTAGCCTTTCTCCTCCTTGCTGCACTCTCATGAAGCATGCATCCCAGAATGCCTCTCCACATAAATCTGTTACAATCATGCTAGGTCTCTGTCCCTCCCAATGATGAAAGTTTATAATGAAGACAAGAAACGTTACTACAAAACATGCTTTCAAGAATGAGTTAAAAGAGTTATGTGTAAGTAAAATTGCAAGTATTATCAGGTGTGATAGTATGTCATTAGATCAGTTGACACAGCAGCATGGCACAGAGTGAGAATAGGGACATCAATGTGTATTTTACACAGAAGAACAAGAATTCATGAACCCTGGACATCTGACTCAAGGTCACAAAGTTTATGCAGGCCCTCAGGTGGCAGGCATTCAAAAAAGCCAGTTTTGATACACTAACAATGGGATGGATGATCAGCACTAATCTTACACTCCCTTACTGCTAAATGAAATGTGACCTGACTTAGGATTCAGCTTCCTATAATTAAGCTGGTTCATCAGAAAGTAGTTTTAACTATAATATAATGTATAAATCACAACCACTAATTCAAACCCACATGACCTCCTTTTAAAGACAGGTGCAAGCTGTGGCCTAAGCTATCCTGTGTCCACTGATCATTTTTACCATGATTTAACCAAACATGGAATTTCAGTACAAAACTACTGTATTTCATCCACAACAAGATCACCAATTGAATAGCAAAAACAGTTTTACCCAACAATGAGAACAACCCTGAGAGAAGAAGGAAAGGCAAGTAAAGCAGGAAAAGCAGAAAATACCTGTTAGCTAATAACAGTGAATACCAATTTAACTTCTGCTACGTAAAGCACAACAGAAAACTCAACTTTTGAAAGAAAACAAAAATATAGTTGAGTCATCACTTTCTAGACATGTTCAGAATAAGCATTTTATCTTAAGTTGCAATACAACTACTAGAAATAGTAACAAATATTATGATTCCAGTGTGTGCTGAGTCCAAGATTAGCACCAGCACAGGATATGCCAATCTTACAAATGCTGACTACATAGGCATCCTAGCTCATTTAAGTGTCTTTGAGGTTGATGAGACTAAGTGCATTACCTTCTGGCTTCTCAAGTAACGTCCTTTGATAGTTAAGGTTTTTTTGTGAGGCAATTTCAGAGATGGATTTTCAAAATACACTAAGAGAAATCCATGACAACAGAATACCTTCCCAAAGAATGCTGAGCTAACTTCAAGTAAATGCCTAAACAATAGTATCCCACTGCTATTAAAAGGCAGTAACATGCAAAGGCAAATTAAAACATATTTAGTACTTTAGCACTCCAAGGGTTGTTTGTACCATACATGGTTAAATCTATCCTTTTTATTTCTTTCCAAAGGTTACAGGGAGGACTTTAACACTTCACTTTTGAACAACAATAGCAAAATCCAGTATGTAAAATTTAAAAAGAAGTTCAGCACTTGAGTTTCCAACTAACTCCTAATGCAACAAGTGCTACTGACTCATGATCCAAACTTAACATGATACAATTTTATCTAAGGAAACAAACAAAACACTGACCTCTGAGTAAGCCAAAGTAATGTGCTCATATATCCCTTGATGATGATGGATAGCATCTTCTAAATCTTGCAGTTCTGAGGGAAGCTCCACCTCACCACAGGCTTTACACCATGAGTCCACATTGCTCATGTACTGCAACAAAGAAACATTTGGCTTTGATTTCAGGTTCTACCATGACAGTAATATACAAAAGGACATTCATCTGTGTCACAGACACTGAAAAGACTTCTTTTAAGCAAGAAGTCTTTACAGTATTTCTCTCAGAAAGAACCAGAAATTTATATCAGAATAGAAAGAAATTTTCAACTCTGACTTTACTTGTGCTTTTAGGTATCTGAAACTCATTGAGTTGTTAGGTGACAGGGAGGCTTAGCTGGATGTTAGCAGTCTTCAGAACCAATGTAACTATTAGCAATATTGATGCTTCAAGTGCACTCTTGCTCCTTCTCTTGACTTTACAGCTAAGAAGAAGTTTCCTTCATCCTGTACCTACCATTCCAGAAACACAAAAGCCAACTAAGGTCTTGTTTACACAAGGAAGAAAAACATGCTACAGCTTTCAAGTCCAAACCCTTGGTTTTTGCCCATCAGCTCTCTGTGCAGATACTCATGGTATCATGTGGTTTATCACCTCACCTCCTTTTAATCTTCAGAGAAAACCATGTTACTTTGCACATGCATACAAAGAATTACTGCTGAACCATTCACTGAAACACTCCACAGTTGTCTTTTGCTGGAAAGAGGTTATCAAGGAAGCAAAGCAGTGTCAGGGCACAGTGAATTCACACCTCAGTCCCCAAAGAACTAACTTCTACGTGCAGAGAAGCACTAAATCCATTTGGCAAGCTACTACAGCAGCAAGCATGTAAGGGATTTACAACTTAAGTGGAGGTCTCTTAGGACTAGCATTGAACTTTGAGCACACAGCTGTATCAGCATAGCTGCTCGAGTCAAGCCTTTCAGGGGAAATTGAGGATACTGCAACAGAAATCTCTTCTGCAGACAATTTAAGTTATCTCTGAAGTTAAGCTGTCTTGACAGACAAGAAACTGCCATCACAGCTATATGCACAGCAGAAGTTCTGACAACTTACTTTTTCACAGCTAGGGGGCCTGAATTTTATACCCCTGTTATGCTAGGAATAGAAAGAGGAAAAAACAATCTGTTTTTCTAGGAGTTTTCATAGTTGTTAAACCTAGTACAGCCAAGCATATGTGAGCTCTGTAAAGTAAATTTTCTCTTCTATTCATGTCAAGTTCAAGACTCAAAAGTTATGAGACCAAGCCTTTTATTTCATCATACGTATCTTAATTCTTGGAGCAAAGTAGTCTTTTGAGGAAAAACAAATTCATAGATCACTTCTGGTACTCTTCTATTGTTTGATAGTGGGGCAGAAAGGTGGTGGAGTATGTAGCTCTAAAATACTTCTTTGATTCTCATTAAGGGCCCGTTTAAAAAATCTCGAAGGTTAAGCATGAACGTTAACAGAAGCTCCATGTGCAGTGAGCAGGCACTGATAGCTGGTACAGTCTTCACTGTGCCTGACAGTAGGCAGCAACACTTACCTGTCACTTGCAAGAGAACACATGCATTCAAGAAGGGTGTGTTTTTGCTTGGGCTGCTTACATTTTAATCTTTTTATGTAGGTCAAGCTACACCACTCTCTAAAAGGGTCATTCCTCACATTCCAAACTCTCTTTCCTTGAACTTTCTCTCCACTGTTAATGAAACAGCTAATATATCACAGGCAAGTATCTTACAAATCAACTGGGGCAATCCATTGCAGCTAATCATAAAATGAAAACTGCAGAATGAGCAATTAAAAGTAAATTAATCCCAGCAGATGCGGCACTATTTTCTCTCATTTTTATCTTTCCTCCTGTTCACGCTTTTATTTAGTGGTAAAGAAGGTAACACTGACCCTTGCTATGGTTGCCCAGCACACAATCACACAAAAAATTTAGTCCCTTGACTTCTGATGAGCATAATTTATTATTTTTGTTATGAAAAGTGACAGCATTTGAGTTAAGGTATACCTACCTGTTTACATTTCATTCATCTCTCTCCTACGTGTATGGCTCAAAGTGCTTAAATGCAAACCCAAATGACCCAAGTAATTAGAAAAGCATCAACATTGACAAGGTACTGAACTGTGTCTATCAAAAGCTGCAAGCTGACTGCTGACTTTTCTATCAGAAGACAATTCTTCAATCTCATTTTTATGTAGCTTTTCTGTAAAACCAGCTGAAAGGACTTGTTACAGTGGCATTATTGTATTATATTAGTCTGTCTAAGGACATTAAGCCAATGTCACCACTAACATAATGAAAAGCAACGTGTATTTGCATCTTAATACACTCTCATTTCTAATGTCAAGATATTTATCAAGTTAAATATCTATGTAGTAGAAATCAGGGAAAAAGTATCTTAAAATCAAGTGTACTGCCTCTCTGTTTCTGAAGTTTCCAGCACCCAAATGCTTCCTTCATTCATTCCAAATTAAAGTTATATCAGACATGAAACCTTTCCTTGGATATAATTTAGCAAGGCAAAATGAAAGAAAAGTATCTACATACAGCACATCAGCCATACCCATCCAAGAACCTCTGCTCTCCCAACACACCAGGGATGCACAGAGCAGACAGTCTACAAGATCAGCAGGTGACTCAACTGCGCACACACAGCAACTCCTTCAGAACTGAACTCCCTTGAGGGCAAAACATGCTTTTGCCATTAAGATTAATAACTTGGGGATATTTATTCCTATTTCCCCTACATATACTTCTTCTCTGGCAGTTACACATGGTTAATGACTTAATTAAAATAATTGGTATAGGCCTAAAGCTAAAATGTTTTTATAGCATAGGAGGAATCTCCTACGGAATACTAAGTAAACATCTCCCACCACAATTTCAGATTCAGAAGGCAGTTAATTAACTTCTCAACTTTCAGGCCAGTTGAACTTATGCTTTCTAGAAGCAATTATCATGAGTTAAATCTTGACACAAGGATTGATGGGAGTTGAGTGGTGAAGACAACAAAAGAAGTGACAGCTTCTAGATGTAGAAAGGCATTATATAGATACTTAAAAGTATCTATATTATATATATATTATATATATACTTAAACATTTCAGTCCACTTCATTTTGATTCATATAGCTAATTTGGTTGTTTTACCTTGCACTGAAGTAGGCAAAGCATTCTGTGGAAAATTTAAAGCCAATGGGTTAAACGGAGGAGAACAAAGTTTTGATTGCATATTGAAATTGGCAGAAATAAATATTCTGGTTTTCTTGTCAGCCTTTTCAATCACTTTTTGAACTTGTGTCCAAAGCAAAAACAAGCTGCACAACTCCCCATTCCAGGACATAAACTTTTGTTGATGTCGTCCATCATTTACTAACCATTTACTAACCTGTTCAGCTTTTTGATGAAAGATGGAGGACATGTCCAGTAACGTGCTACGTTCTTCCAAGGCTGCAGCAAATGCCTTCCATTCCTGTTCCAACTGACTGGCAATCTGTTTGATTTGCTGTGAAGCGTAATGACCAGACTCGATCAGGCGGCTTGCTACTGACATGATGCGGCTTATGTTAACATACACATTCTGTGGAGAAGGAGGGGAAGATTAGTGCAAGTCAGCAGAACAATTAAATACAGAAGTATATTCCTAAAAAGTTCTACTTTATTACAGTACTGATCAGTAGTCTGGTTTTATTCAGCCAGTTTATGCATGCCAAACTTTGGATTCTAGGTGTATAATGTAGCAGTCTATCCATAATTGACAAGTGAGAATGATGACTTGAAATAATCAGTTTAAAACTCATGTTAACAATCAGCTTAAGCCAATTTATATTACATGAAGACACAATATTATAAGAAAGAGGAAAAAATAACCATATTTTACAACAACCTCGATAAAAATGTTATAGACATTCAAGTCAACAAGACATTCAGACACACACAATATAGGAAAATTGAAGTATCATTACTAAGCTCTTGATCTATCCACAATATGCAAGTGTGCAACATCTGTGAACCTCTACATCAACTTCGAAAGTAACTTTTAAAGGAACAAAATAAAAAACTCTGGGTTACAAGAAGTTTAACAGTTTTACATTTTATTTTCTTGCCGCTATACTGCCTCAGAGCTAGCACTCAAAATCAGACAAATGACATGCAAGATCAGAAGTATTCTCTAGCATACTGGCGTTAGTCCTTGATGGCTCTTAGTCAATCTAATTTTCAGTCAAGAGTTTCTGATTCCCACGAAGTAAAACAAGAATGAATTTGCCACCAAAAACTTTCTGAGTAAGTCTTTCAGAGCTACATGCGTGTAATACGGAGTTGACACTTTCTTCAAATTGGGCAGACTCTTATACATCTAGAATGAAGTTCCTAGAATCACAGGATTGCTGAGGTTGGTGATTACCTAGTCCAACCACCAGACACTGAGCAAACCAGGTGGAACCATGACCTGCTGGCATCCAGCCATTGCCCAGAGCTTGACACTGCCTGGCTGGGGCAAGTGTTACAGCTCGTCCAGGCTTCACTGTTCAGACGCATCTGAGTGGCAACTGGGACAGGTCCCTACTGATGGTAAACTGTATGCATGTATGCAAGCAGGAGCATACCTGACACGGCCTACAGCTCAAGCTGGTCTGCTCAATAAACTGAGCAGTGTCATGTTGGCTGTCTTTCCTTTCTGCACAGTACTACCTCCTACTTTTTTACGTTACCCACACATTTATGCTCTGCTTCTTAAGCACAGCCAAACAACCGGCAGAGTACAAATCTGCTATTTCCAATAAATTTTAAAAGACTGGAGAGCATTTAGGCCTATTAAAAGTGTATGTAGCATAAATGCAAGACTGCTAAACGAATACAGAAAGCCCTTAGATGGTCTTTACAGTTGTGAGAAGAAACAAGTGCCAAAAGGGAAAAGAATAAAGGCTATAGTAGACTGCTATTTGAACTCTTTCTGTAACATAATAAAGCAATTTTAGAAATTCTGAAACAGCAGTTAAAAATGAAGGACATGGCACCATAAACATGAAGAAAAACAAATTGAAATTGAGCTGTGGTTAACATGTATTCATTTTCCCATGGCAATCAGGCTTCACACGTCTGGAGGAATACAGCCTATAGCAGTATGAATATGAATTAAAACGCTGACAGTTGAACACTTTCCAAGCTATGTACAACACATTCCTTTCCTCAAAAAAACAACAAACAAAAAAACCCAAAAAAATAACTTACCATAATCTAAACCTTTCACCTCACTACGTGATATATCTACCAAAGTTTAAGTGTCAGTATTTTAGAATGCAATGACCCAAATGAAATAGATTTAGTTAAGGAGGAAAAGAATCTCTAATAGCAACTCACTACAGACTGTCTTTTATTGACCCTTGAAGGTCAAAAAATTTTGTTCAATTTCCTGCAAGGACTGGCAATTCCAGCATCACTATTATAAGACAACTGCATATTTTGCACACTGCTTGAGAGATAAACACTGTTACAAGTGAGCTGTAACCCCTTTACCAGAGACTGGCATCTTATTCATTTTATGTGTTTACAACCTGGTTTTAGTTAAGGAAGCAACAGCTAGGAGGTAATAACTGATACAGTCTTATTTAGTGACCTCATTTACACCACCTGCAGCTTCTACACTTGTATCAACTGTCTCAAAGGTGAAAAGGTAATGTGATATTGCATTTCTTTAATTGTGTTACACATGTAACTATTGCAACAAGACTTAAAAGGTAACAATTTAAGTCACTGCATTACAAAGGGTTTAGTAGGGATACAAATGTACTTAGCATGATTGTTTTCTCTAAAATGCTCTTTATTGAGAAGCTGAAGGAGACCTTAAGATATCTGGAAAGCTCCTCATTGCAGATTTCTCCTCTTAAGAGAATATACAAATAAAAAAAGGTATTGCTCAGCAAAGCAATACAGATTAGTAGCCTAACTGTGCTGTGTCATTCTTTGGTGTGTGCCTGAAAGGCAAATACACAGAAAAACAAAGGTGACAGCCTATCAGCTAACTGAACTTATATCACGCTCACACAAAATAAAGCTGGCAAATGACCTGAAGGTTCCATTTTATTTCCTGATTTTCCCAGACCCATTTAGAAAATGTTTGTTTAGCTCCAAGATTTCCAACAGCAGTTTTCTGACACAGAGACTATTATGAATTCCATTTTAAGTGCCATCAAACTCACTGACATGGTCCATAAGCATCATAAGTGGCACCTCTCTATAGACTGTAGTGAGCTGGAACTATTTTACTGTGCTAGAATCAATTTAGCAATGGCATTTTCAAATAATATGCCACTTCACACAGAAATGACTACCAAAACATGGTGTAGTATTAACATATGAATTAACACCTGCTTTAATGATTTACACATTCTTTAACTTTTCTTCTAGTATCATTTTTGAAGCAAGAGTAAAACTATCAGTTTGGGAATACAAACTTCAGTGATGAGGGCTGCAGGACAACTAAAGGTAAAACCTGATCTATTCCCTTGAAAAAATATAAACTTGGCAACAGCCAAGCTGCAATTGTTTAACATGTTCTTCAACTACAAGAATCCTCTAAATATTCACAGGTAACCATTTAACCACTGCTATCAGCACTGGAACACGTGCAATATAAATTCACTCCAACTTTCTTCAAATATCTGATTTCTTTCCTACATTTTTCACAGTGGACATGAGGAATCTTACTGCAAGACTATATAGTCCAATACCATCATTACTTTCCTTCCTTCTTTACTTTTCACTCACCTTTACTTAATCATAGTAAATGTCTATGCCTTCAAACTCTCCCTACAGCCACATCACTTTCATGTATGTTTCCCATTACAGCACTAAGTATGGGGCTCTAAACTGGTCCTAGTTCTCTAGTAGGACCAACTGAATCAGAGCATTTTCTTTACAAATCTGAAGTTCAGCCAAGAATAAGTACCAAGAGTGAAATAAGATATGCTTCCTTTCAATAACACCACTGTCTGTTCCCTTAGTTTGTGATTCATTAACATGAACGTACTTGTTGCTGTATTAACACCTCAGTAACTGACTGCTTTTTAAAATCTGTTTACTTGCTTCTTCCCCTCTTAAGGACTGCACAGTTAGCCTGTTCTATTTAGTCTTGCTGACTTTGGAGTGCTCCTCAGAAAGCTGAAAATAGCCTGAACTCATTTTACCTTTTCAGTCTATTCTCAGGCTGGTAGCATACAGACACTGTGTCTAAGCATTAACTGTCCAGGCACCATAAAGATTCTCTTAGGGATGTACACCTGTGGTCTTACTCTCATTTGCCCAAATCCTGAGAGCCAAGGGCAGTCTAGAATTCACATGGTGCTCTTGTCTATCTCAAGTGACAAATCTGTATGGTTACAAAAACACATACTTAAAGTAAAAAGAATCTCAGGGGTAAATTTTTCAGTGGTACAAAGGAGTAGGAAAAAATTACACTACACCTAAGCTAAGGTGACTTTACCTCACCTGACTTTCTTCATGTTTTCATTTGTACCAGTCCCTGAGGCTGGATTTGAGCAAGACATCTTTTTAACTTTTATCTCTGCACACCTAGGGATATTCAATCGTTGTGCTTACGCTTTTCTTTTACCATTCCAGAGGTCTCACCAGTGCTCATCTCTGACACTCTTATTGGATAGCATTCAGGATTTGATTACTACCTTGATGAAATCGTTTAGTGTATGCAAACAGCCTGTTCTGAGAACATTGATCAACTTAGCAATACACTGACAACTGAGATAGGAGTTCTTGGATTATAGTTAATAAATGTAACTTCTACTCATGGTCCTATGAACACTGAGACAAGAAGCAGTCATAGCACATCCTTTAATAGTAGCATGTGTCAGCTTTCTACAAACAAAGTTTCATTTTGCCTGCATCACTCTTCAAGCATTTTAACCCTCCCCAGTGCAGGGAGAGGCACAGTTAAGCTGTAATGAAAGCAAGGCCATCTGAACTAGCAAAAAGAGCAGAAAATATTCAAACAGACAACATCCTCCTGCTTACCCATATTTCACATGACTTCTTGTCTTCCTTGTGTCTCAGCAGATGTATAGAAAATGGCAGGAAAAGGAGTGGACAGACATATAATCAGTCTTTCCCACTCTTCTATGCAAGTCAGACTAATCATATAATCATGGGTACTTTATTCTTGCTGTTTAAAGACTCAATACATAATTTTTGTACTTGTAACTCCTAAGATGACTTATTTGAACGTTTCTCCCTTAAAAGGTACTAAAAAGTTGTTTTGAGAAGTGAAGCATTGGTTTAATCACCCAAATAGGAATGTCAAGCTGAAACTGAGTATTGCTTAACTCAAATAAATCTCAGGACTTGACAACAGCAATTTACTGTTGTTGAAAGCAGGCCTTTAACATTGTACTGAAAATCCATCCTCATTTTCAGAGAGCAGAATCACTGAACTTTTGTTTTTCCCTACAGTTATAGAACATGGGATCTTGCCCTGTAAAGAGACAGCCTTGACTTTTATCAGTGCACAGCTTCTCAAATTCAGTAACAGGAAGTCACATGCCTATCCTTCCTACAGTAGCTCCTTTAGCCACATCAACCTGTGAGTTAATTCATGGTAACCATATACATGTCTCTCTTTAATACACAGCACTACACCTATCCAGCTTTTCTCTGGGACAGATTTATTGCTGTGAGAACCAATCTTGTGTATTAAGCTTAAGATTTGCATGAACTTATTCCTGTTACCTTGAAAAGTGCAACCACATGAATACATAAGATTCCTAGATATTCCATTTGCTAATGAAACTGTTGAAAGTAAAGTTAAATCTCGTCCCCAGATGTATTCTTTACCTTTTTGTTTTATAGCATTTGGTTTACACTTCCCACTGTTTTGTGTTCTTACTGAAAACCAACATTCTAAAAATGGCACAAAGCCATTACAAGAAAATGCAAAAAAAAAAAAAAAATTCAGCAAATTCTCTTTGTCCTTGATGTAACTAACTCTTGTTCATGACAGGAAATAAGTAACTTTCACAATGGTTTACATCCAGGTGGCTTGATTCAGACTGAAGACCAGATCAAAATTTTGGCGTCTCACCCAAAGGCTGTCACTCTTTCTCAGCCAAGTTTGGCATGAGCAGCTGCAGAAGTTGCCCTCCAGCTCTTGGAAACACACTGCTGCTTGGGAAGGAAGGGGACATGAGAGACCCAGCTACTGACAGAGGGTAGCACCTGCTGTGGAGGGGAGCATGTGCCCTGCAAAAACCACAAGGTTTTGGGAAAAGCAGCTGCAACATCAATTATCAGAGTTAAGTTATGAGCAAGTGCAAGAGGTTGCATTTAGCTGCTTGAGGAGCATTTATTCTTCTAACAGTTTTTTCCCTACCTCAAGTGAGCGTAAAAAAATTGACTAGAAAGCAAGATCTATTAAGGTCCAACTAGGGCCACAATGAAAAGTCTTAAAAATCTCCTGCAATAAATAAAGCTTATACATAGTTGTCTTTCTCTCTCCCTCTACTCCATCCAAACAAATCATTTCATGTGGCCGTAGATAGGTTAAAAGTTAAATTTCACTTCTGGTGTCAGAGTACCCACACAAGACACCTTAAATCCACTTTGATTACTGAGCAGTTACACTGATGGGAAGAATGAACAAACAGCAACTTGTTAAGCACAGAGCATATGGGCAGAGTGGTCAGGGAGAAGCTGAACATGGTTGCACGAGTTAAAGACTGCCCCACGTTTTTCCAGTTGAAAGCTAGTGAAAAATAAGGCTTGCCAAAATTCAATCAATCAGTTCACGTCATTTTTTATGTCACGTTCAGTTTAATCTTTGCCCTTAATCTATATGAAAGGCTTTTGCCATTTAACCAAATAAAACCCAGATAATCTGAGTGCTGCTTAAATCAAAACCAGGGACCAATCATACTGAATTTATATTTTCCTTTCATAACAGAGAGCCCCTGCTGGGGGGGCTATGCTACAGAAAAAAATGCAGTTTGTTTTTACCCTTTTGAATGTTCAGATAGCTTAATTTACCCCAAATTTAAGCTGCTCCTTGTAAGTTTTAAGAAAACATTTTGCAGGCTGAGAAAAAATCCCCTGTAATTAATGCATTTGACAACTAAAGGCAAAGGAGAGATTAACAGGAAAAGACTAATAGCAAACATAGAGCAGGAAGGATTATGTTGTATCGCTCAAGTGCTTCCTGCTGTTGATAGCATCTGAACAGTCTAAAAGAAAGAAAAAGAATAAAAAGCCACCCAGTTTGAAGAAAAGACTACAGCAGCAACTAATATGAGGACAGGCTTACAGAAGAATTTAACCTTTAGAATGCAACTCCAAGAATTGTGTGGAAGGCCAGCCAAAATTACTAAATTCCTAAAGTCATCTTATGCCAATGACTCCTCCTGTTATCCTGTGTTTCTTTCTGCTCTCCTTCATATGCAGAGCAGTAAAGAACAACAACAAGGTGCTCCATAAGGCAGCAATTCCCCATGCTGTGAATCAAACCTAATGGTCAAAACCATATATGATGTTACATAACTTAATTGCCAAGTTCACCAGCACTTGCTTTACTCTTTTCAGAAAGTTCATATTGATTTTCATTCTTTTAAACTTTTGGAAACAGAGCTGAGTTGCAAAAGAAGAAAATGTGCCTGTTCTAATCGTGTTTTCTATTGTCTTCCCTCCAGCTACACCATACACAAGAGCTGCATTATTAGTCCTTCCATTACTTCTGCAACCTAGGTGCATTAATTTTGCCACTTTCCTGTTCTACAGAAAAACCCTCTTGCAAGAGTTCATTATTTCAACCATACTTTAATTCAATTCCCATCCTTGGACTGCCAAGAATGTTAATTTGTAACAAGACTGGTAGTGTTCTTCCTTCATTGATCTAACAAACAGGAACTGGACTTAGGCCCAGACTCCCAAGGTTATTTAAACACCTACAATGTGTTAAGGATCCAGAATGTAACTCAGAATTTTGTTCCCATGTTCAAACAGCAATTCATAAAACTGAAAGTAAATAGCTTTCACTCATTGCCAGTTAAAATCCAAAAATGTTTTATAGCCTACTGATCATATTTGACCAAAAAAGTTGTCTTAGCTCCATTCTGCTGTGCCGAAAATGAGAAATATCTTCTTGAAACCATGGAGAATTATTACACCAGGCTCAGTTACTTCTCAGAACTTTTTGCCTGAGTTGTAATCTCTTCAGAAGAACCTGAGAGCTATTTCTTTCAGAACGGAGAGCTAAAACCTGTATTACACATGATTCTCTGAAATTTTCTACAAGACCCAAGGTAGTACTCAAAGATACATCCCAGGTTCTAGAAGCTTGGACACCTATATTTGAGAGGTGCTGAGGTCATGTTGAACACTGCCATTTGTCAAAACAATTTCGTTGCTTTATCACAGTTCCTCTGCACCTGACCACCCTTTATTTTCCTCCATTGTGTTTTATAACCTCACTGTTCAAAACCAAATTTCCACTACTTGAAAAGAAGGAATAATCTGTGTTTATGCACTTACAAATTCTACCTTAACACAGAACAAATAGCCAGCACGTCTGTGCAGGGAGGCCTGTTCTTACCATGCAGTTCATGGCGAAGTGATTGTGCTGTGTCTGAAGTTCCATTGCGTGGGGGTGACTGGTTCCAATCTCTGTGTAGCTGTTCAGAAACAGACCTTTGTTGTGTGTGATCCAGTCAAACATCTACACGAAAATATTAAGGAAAGAAGAAAGTTCAATAATTTGTTATGCCAGAAATCATAGACAAGTAATGGAAGATCCCTATGAACACAGAATACAGAGTATAAGGCCATGAAAATTAACATTGATGCTCCTTCCATTTTAAGTTACTGCATATTTTAACTCAATCATTGCTGAAACCTGTCTTTTTGGATCAGACAGCTGAGGCTGTTACTGTTATCTTTACTGTAGGTGTTTATCTCAACAAGCTACAGTAATGTCATAATCATAAACTTCATTATTACAAAGAAGTCATAGTAAACAAACAGACTTGGAGCACAGCCCTGAGTTGCCAAGCTTATATATCCTCTAGTGTCAGCACTTATTGACATCAGCAGCTTAGCAGTTTAGAATGAAAATGGCAACTCATGGAAATTAAATATAAATTCTTTCATGCTGATCAAGTACTTCAGCAGCTAGTTTAATATTTTTAGTTCTTAAGTTTACAGCAGATTGGAAAACAAATATTCTATTTCTAGATTAATTATTAAAAGTATATGTGAGCACAAAGTTATCTTCCTCCAGAGAAATTTAAGAAAAATCTTTAAATATGCTTGTTTTTAAAAAGAAAAAAAGGAATATTTTAGTATTTTTTAAAAATTTAGGACAGACTGTATATGACAATGGCCATCAGTGAAGGCACACAGGTACATTAACAGTGGCACTGGAAGACAAAGTTTTCAAAGACCAAGCAACACAGCAAAGAGCTGTTTCACACCCCAGCTGCTCACAATGGTCTTGAAACCTTTGCTATATCTCAGCAAAAGAGACACCCCACCTGCTCTCTGGATAAGCTGAAATAGATTGTCCAGGAAAAAACAGCAGCAGTAAGGAGGAAGTATTCATTTAAAGATCTTTCCAAATATGCTGGCTAACAGAACAACATGATCAAATCCAGTATTTGTCCCAAGTCCATGACAAACTAAATTATAAGCAAACTACAATAAGGTAAGAACTGTAAACCAAACTTTTGAAGTTTAAATAACAGACAGTTGATCACATACTCCTAAAATTTGAAGCTTCTTACCTAGAACTCAGTGAAAATGTGTTAGAACATTATTCAAAACAGACACTGGTACTGCTTGTGACCATCCTCCTCTAGGTCACTTGAATTTGTTGCCTTCAGACACTTAAAGGAGCAATTTCAATCAGATTCCTTCCCACCTTGCCCCTTTTTTGCCTTCTCTTCTTCTGAACCAGTCCAAATTTCTTGCACTGAATTGAACAAGTCCTCCAAAAGGAACATGTTTATTTCTCCCCGTGCAATACCCTTTTTCTTTCCAACAAAGATCCCATCCTTTCCACATTTCAGTAAAATACAGACATACACTGATAAAAAAGTCATGAGCTGTGAAATCTCATCTAACACAAGCAGTAAAAATACAGGCTGCAAGTAGATTAAGGGAAGGGTCTTAACCCAAAAGTGAGTTGGGATACTACACAAACCTTCTTTTTAATCTTTTTTACTGGCTAATGCGAGAAAAACTGTCCCAGGTATAACAGCTGCTGTCAACTTCATTTTGAGGTGCCTAATACTTCCCTTTTGAAAGAAAGATGCGTTAATTTAATAGAGACTTATTCCTGGAATCAGAAACGTAGAAAACACTGATAGGAGCTTATGCAACCACATGGGAGGACAGAGGTCAAGTCCACAGGCTCAAGTATTTTGCAAGAAGTTTGTTAAAGCACAAGTTATACAATCAATTTGATAAAATATGATAAAATTAACAAAATGTATTTTGATGGTGCTCACATGGTACGGAAAGATATGCTATAATGCAGAAAAATTAATGCTGTAATAAAGTGGCTGCAAGGTTGATAAAATGCATTTGGGTCTTAAAGAGCAACACCAGAACAACAGCTTGCATTATTTTCTAAATCATTTTAGAAATAAATAATAATTTCATCTTTTTTTCCAACTCTCTACAAGTTATACACATGTAGAGACATGTACCACATACTCCTACTCTTTTCAGCTATACCATCCAGTAAACATTTGCTTTAAATGGTACTTTAAAAAATTATTTATTTTTTAAACACAGCAGAAAACATTACAGTAGTGTAAAGAAAGTCCCTGAGTTGAAATGATGGGGGGTAAGGGAAAGTATGGGCAAAGAATACATATAAAGAAACAAGAAGAAGTTAAGTTTTTATATGTTTACTCTGCTTTTACTCTTCCCCATGAATCTGCTAGTGACAGCTGGTGGAGAGCAGAATACTAGTTTAACATGGACTGTTGGTTTCATGCAGTTCAGGCAATCTTATGTAAAATACTTCAAGAAATCTGAGTGCTTTAAGCTCCGACAAAAAACATACTTACCGCTTGACTGCATAGTCTAGATACTATTACTCCCAGAGAAAAAATCCCCACCCTTCCTTAAAGCTATTTGTTCCATGGTAACAAGTCAATAATAAGAGATTGCAAAACCATTCTACATGAAAATAGACCTAATTTGAGCTCATCTAAAAGTGATCTGCCTGCCATACTTCCTCTTCAAATTCCATGACAATCAAGGGCTTTCTCATCTGAAGGGACTGGTTAGCCCGAAACATTCTGAAATCACTCAGCTCCCTGTTAATGACATATGCACTGTCAGAAGAGATACATCAGTTTTTAGCCTGGGACTTCAAACCCTGCATCAATGAAGCAGTTCCCCATGTCAGCCTCTTCAGGCTTTGTTGACTGCCTGTCACTCACTTCCCAAAGATCACTCAAAAGAAGACCAATGTAGTACATAATCATCTGTATTTATAAAGTATACAGCATTCTTCTTTACTTGATGCATACAAAAGCATCTGTCTGGAACAAATGCTTAACAAAATAACCACTTTGAAGCCATTAGCAGTTACAATTTTCTTTGCTAAGAGCTTCCTGTGCTCCTTACAGTTTAGAAGCACTATCCCATGCCCCTTATTCCAGAAGACCCTGAGTGCCTCTCAATCAAGAAGTCCCTTATTTCTCATTAAAAGGCTAGTGATTAACTTCAAAGACAAAAATTACTATTTTCAGTTACCCTTGGTACTTTCTTTCAAGTCCGTCAAGTATCAACCATTTATAGTCTCCTCGTTCCATCCTTACCTTTTCAGCATCCTGCTCAAACAGCCTGAGCTGAAAGCATTGGTCCAATTTCAATTTCCGCACATGCCACATCTGATGCAGATGCTGCCGTGTTGAGTGCAGCCTGTCCAGCATGGTGGACACTTTGGGTAAAAGGTTCTGTAAGTCTGCATTCCCTGACCCAGAGTTCTTTTTGGGAAAGCTATCACTGCTTTGTATCCGCTGGAGCAGCTTTTGTCCTTCCACATCAAGGTCCTCGATAGGGGCCTTAATGACTTTCTTTTTTAATTGTGAATGCTCCTCTATCATATTGCGAGCACCTTCCAGGTCCTGAGGCATTTCCTTTTTTGACAATATATCTTGCAGTTCCTCCAGTCTGGACAGCATGTGGGTTGCATTGCTAATGTAGTCCTCAAAGGCAACTCTGATTTCTATCCACTCCTCATGGTTGTACTCCAAACAGCCATCAAATTCTGGGGTTAGCTGAGAAGGATCAACTACTTTGGTAAGGCCTTCCAGAGACACCATATTTGTCTAAAAAAATAAAAATGGAAAGAAAAAAATGCTGTTACTGAAATGAATTTGAAACTTCCTTTCAAGTTTTTGCTTTTCTTTTTGTAAGAGAAAGTTTTTGCTTTTTCTTTTTGCTCATGAAGTCCACATGACAACTTTTCTCACACATTTCAAGTATCAGTTCTGATCAGCAGAAGACAGGAGGTCTTGCAGATATTTTCCCACATTTCTTTCTTACCTCACTACATTTAAGAACAAAGCAGCAACCACTCTTTCGATTACTCTTTTAACTTTGTGTATTGCAAAGCTTCAGGAGGATAACAGCAACGTTCATTCAGCTGATTTCCTCTGGATTCTGGAGATATCAATATTACCATAATGCAAACTAAGATACCAAAGAGACCAAACCTAAGTTTTTATCATTAGGGGAAAAAACCTAATTCAATCTTTCTTGAGCTTATAAAAAGAATATAAACAACAACATACACAATTACCTAGCCTAAGTACATGAAGAAAACCACATTTCTTCTAGCACCACTGCTCTAAAGTACCTCTCCTTCCAGCCAGAATATAATTTATCTGAGAGTTTTCAAGATGCTGATCATTAGTGAGAACATTCAAAACCTCAAAATAAATATACGTTTGTATACTATAGGAGAAATTACCTCAAACTCGAACTTAGAGCTGCCAAAGTTAGTTCTTTGTTTCTGCCAGAAATTGTCTGGCTTGATTATCAGTGCAACATGAATACAACATGGAAAAGATTCCTGTAAAATCTTCAGCAGAGGCTTTATGGAATCCCATTTTGACCCACGCATATCTACAATGACGGTGAATCCTCGTTTACATACTTCCTCACTGCAGAAAACAGAAGGAAAGGTTATCAAGCATGCGTTTCAAAAATTTCCAACAAAACACTCTACTGCAGCACGCCTCCTAATCAATGTGGTCTCCTCAGTGTTTCACTCCTGACTAGCTGACCATACACAGCAGATCTCACAACTCTCTCAAGATGCTTCTTTCACCCACATGACAAACTCCCTGTGGGGGATAGCTTTATATCTGTTGCTGATTTGATATTCTGCCATTATCTCCACTTTCACTGTTTATATTCATGATGATTCATCGTCCAGTCTTGTTTCTCCCTCACCTTACTTAGGTTTACACAGTAAACCTACCATTTCCTAAAGCAGCAATATCTAATACATTTACAATTTACTCTTCAGAACACACACACATACTTACTTTACTAATGATAATATTCATGTCTTTCTAATGATTATGGGGATCCTCTAAAAAGACAGAAGATGGTAAATTGCTCTTACTTACCACTTCTTACCTACCACTTCACAACTTTTTCAAATTCTCTCAGATTTAGAACCATTTTATCTGAGAGTTAGTCTGTAGAGGAAAGACACCCATTTATTGACAATTTCTTTTGTAACAGGATTGATTTGTGAATAGTTAAAGGACAACACAGTATTTTATGGTTGTGAAGAAAACCACATGAATCTGTTTCCACAAAATTTGAGCTCAATTTTGCTGTCCAAAAGTTGACAGACCTTATACTCAAATTCTCCAGAACTCCCTCTGAGAATGGAAAATTTAATTTATTTTCATCAATATCTTCCGTACATTTAGTTCTTGCCACTGATCAAAAGTGACAATCACCACCACCACCAGAAACTCAAGATTTTCTTCCAACAGAATTTGCTACATGACCTTGTAGTATGACGATAGGAAGGAAAACATTTCAAAAGCAATGCATCATAGCCAACAGACTATCAAAAAGGACCAAATGTCCGTTGTTTGAGTATGAGTCACTTTCAGGGATGTGACTAATTCAAATGCCATTCTAGAGTTCATGTGGTGAGGTTTCTGGAGTGTCCAAGAGGCAGGGAAGCTTCACTGGTATATTTCACTCAGTCTTATTGGCCACATTGCAGAAAGATGGATTATAACTGCTATAGGAGATCTGGAAAAAGTGATAACATGGGTTCCTCAGAAAGGGAAGGGTTTTTTTAACTTTGACAAGTTTAAAGCTAGGGAAAAGAAGAGAGAATGAACATCCCACAACATTTCAAAAAATGAATTTATCATGATAAACACTGGCTCTCCCACCTGCCCATAGGAATGCCACAAATGGCAGTGGCAGAAGTAAAATATATTAAAAAAGTAACTAGCTTGGCATACAGGTAGGCTACAACGTACAATTTTCTGACCATGGGGAAAATGCTTTCTAAAATCATCACAGAATTCAAGGAAAAAGCAACTACTGTCTTAAAGATAGATCCATCACTGTAAGGTCAAATGGCCATAGGAGTGCTGCTCAGTCCATCTCTATCCTACCAAACTGAGGATTGCACAGGGAGTGCTTGCCACTAATTCACAAGGCATGTATCTACTGGGGTGTCCAAAGTGGTCCCTCATCGTGTGATACAGTGCGGCTGTGTGCTCCATCATGGAGCCACATCATTTCACACAAGCTGAATGTCTTTTGGCCAAGGATCACAAGATTTGTTCAAGAGAGTCAAAGTCATGTGATGGTAAGCCTGAACTACACTAAAATATCTGGCCCACTCTGTGGTGATGACGTAAGTTCAGCCATATTTTTAAATCAGATAAATTGTAAAATCAGTAAAATTGTGAGATTGAGTCAACTTAAGCTTTTAGATCTCTTGCCAAATAACTGATACGTGTGATTCTTTAGCTACACCATGTAATAGTACTGCAACAAATAACAAACAACCCAAAAGTTCGGGGCTATTTGTACCAACTGGGACTTCTAATTAGCTGGAGTTGCATAATCAGTCCCCTAAACATGACTTGTATGAAAATAAGTCTTGCTTTTGATAAAGCTGCCTTTATTCTCAAAAGTTTGCCATGCTTAAAGAGTATAAAACATGCACTAACTTTCTTTTAATTTTAGATCTATTGATCTAAGCTGACTAAAATACACCTTTTGCCAGAGGAAGGCTGCTTCTTGCCCTGATTATCTCTAAAAAATTCTTGGACATATTTTGATGCATATTTATCTATTAACTTATCTAGCAACTTGAAGCTCTAGATGGCTAGAATACATCTCACCATGCAAATCTGAGACCAAAAATTTCAAGCCTTCTTCCTGTTCTCTTTTCTCTAAGTCCTCTGAGACCCCCAGTTAACTTTACAAAAAGGAGGCCATGTATTCTCTCAGACAGATGCTTTGAAGTTGCTCTTATGAAACCACCTTTCCCAGTCAGAAACTGGTATTTGATTATATCAAGTGCAAAGACTCTCAGTAAATTAGCACGTTACACAAACATGGAAGATATTGCACTAGGGATGTTGTCCAAGGAATTTTTTTCAACTGTAATGACAACTGCTGCTTGTGGTCATAGACAAACAGAGTCAAGCACAGTCAGCATTGCTCCAGCCTGACACAAACGCTGGAAGGTTCCAAGATGGACCTAAAGTCAAAGTCTTAGGATCATTTTTGTTCCCAACTTGATTACTACAGAAAGCAAAGTTCTGTATGAAGTATCTCATACATAAATACAAATATATATATATATATATAAGAGTGTATATATGCACACACACACTACTGCTGGATTTGACTTCTGTCAATTTATTTAAACAGCTCAATTCATAGGTTGAATTGCTGATAATGCAACGGTATCAGTACTTTCACAGATGACTCCACAGGTTTATCTGAGACCTTTACAAACAATTTCGCATACCTTTCTCCTGATTATTTCCATGCTGTATCAGGACACTATGACTTATCTAACACAAATAACAGTTAGGAGTCCTGTGCTGACTGCACTCCACACAAGGCATATGGTGAAGGATGACCAGCATGCTTCTAATTATTGATGCACTGAAAGCCTTTGAGTTGTATTTGCAGTCTTCAACACAGCGACACCAATGTGGCATGGCAGCGCCATTTCCGAGACACAAACTACTTTTAGCTAAAGCACACCAGCCCTTCTGCCAGCTGCCTTCCTTTTACAAGGCAGAGTAATTATTTCTCTTCCAGAAAGCCATTTGAAAATAGCAAATGACAAAACTTGGTACTGATTCGCTCATGTTACTAACTCACTCAGTCTGCTAGCTTGTGGGAGTACTGCAACATAATCCATTTATTTTGTTATACAGCCTTAGAGGTTAACAGACAATCGCTTACCTAGGAATACATGCTAGATATGAAATTAGTCTTCTAAGGTCTTCTTGCCGTATTCTGTCATGATTACTACGAGCTGGAAATGTTAGAATGGGACCTCCACGCTTATCTCTGCCACCTGAAAAATTAAAAATGTTAGAAAACCCCACAGTATAACATAAAATTCTTTTTTGCAGAACTCGTCTTCAGTATCTACTTTTAAAAAAGTGATTTTAACTTAAAGGCCAACATTGCCATTTTGAGACCAACTTAAGATTGATTGATCTGCATATTGCCACAATTCCTACAGTGAGAAAGCATATGCCAAAAAAACTGAAACAAAGAATAATCAGAGCATTAGACTTAGACATTACAGTCACCTTCAGGTTTGACTGGTAGTGTGACATCTCCAGCAATGGCACTCTGTTACATATTTAATTTTTGACTCAGCAATTGTACAGATGTAATTTAAATACAGAATTATACTACTTTGTAGGCAAGTATTTAGATGATATGGCAGCAGAGAGCACAGCTGTGGGAGGTGTGCCCAGGTAGAGGAGCTCCTCTGCTCAGTGACAGAGCTCAGGGAGGAGGTGAGTAGGTTGAAGACAGATGGATCATTGTATAGGAGACTCCCTTCTGAAGGGACCAAAGGCCCAGTGTGTCAACTTCTTCAGGAAGCCTGCTGCCGCCCTGGGCCCAAGGTTAAAGATGTGATGAGGAAGCTTCCTACCCTGGAATGGCCCGTGGGAAAACACATTATTATTAACCTCATACTTCAGGGAAAAAGCAAGAAATTGCAATAAGAAGCCCAAGGGCAATCAAGAGAGATGTGATTGAAGTCTCTCCCTGAAAGCCTTGGGATGACTGGTTGGAGTACAGGTAGTGCTTTCTCGGTGCTTCTTGTTGCAGGGAATAAAAAGGGAAGAAATGGGAAGAGCCATCAGATCAATACCTGGCTCCGAGCCTGGTGCCACTGGGAGATTTTTGGGTTTTCTGATCCTGGGTTGGTTTATATGACATTGAGCCTGCTGGTGACAGACAAGTTACACCTGCCTCAAAGAAGGAAAAGGATCTTTGCACAGGAATTATCACAGTCACTGAAAGAGCTTTAGACTAGACTTGGTAAAGCCATGTTCGCTAGAGATTAGCACGGAGGCAGAAGACCAGTGTCTGAGGAATGTTAAACTAGCAAGGTCTTTCAGTCTGCCATCTCACAGCAGGTAGGAACAGAGATCCATGCAGCAGCCAAAGTGTAAGAGACACTGATGTGTCAGAAAGCATGGAAGCACCTGAGAATGGTCATGTAGGAATTAGGGCTTCTGCCCCAGAAAAGGTGACAGAATTAGTAGCCCAAGTGAAGTGCATCTACACCATGAACATGGCTTGGGAAACAAACAGGAGGAGCTGGAAGCCATTGGGCAGCAGGAAAACTATGATATAGCTGCCATCATGGAAACATGGTGGGATGATTTGCACAGCTGGGGTGCTGCAATGGATGTCAATGTAAATCCTTCAGAAGGGATGGGCATGGAAGGAGAGTTGGCAAGGTAGCCCTGAACGTTAGGAGTGTTATGATTGTCTAGAGCTTAATGATGGTGACAAGAAAGTTGACTGTTTATAAGAATAAAGGGGAAGTTTGCAGGTGATGCCAGGTTGGGCAGGAGTGGATTGATGGGCCGAGGTCAGTAGTATGAGGTTGAACAAGGCCAAGTGCTGGGACCTGCACTTGGGTCACAAAAACCCAAGGCATTGCTACGGACTGGGGGAAGAGAGGCTGGAAATCTGCCAAGTGGAAAAGGACCTGGAGGTGCTGATTGACAGCACCTGAACAGGATCCAGAAGTATGTCCAGGTGGCCAAGAAGGCCAATGGCTCCCTGGCCTGTATCAGCAATAGTGTGGCCAGCAGGAGCAGGGCACACTATTGCACTGGGGAGGGCACTGGGGAGGGCACACCTCCAATCCTGTGTCCAGCTCTTGGCCCAGTTACTACAAGGAGGACATTGAGGCGCTGGAGTTTGTCCAGGGAAGGGAAGCAGAGCTGGTCAAGAGTTTTGGAGGACAAGGCTTATGAAGAACCTCTGAGGGATTGTTTAGCCCGGAGAAAAGGAGGCTCAGGGGACACCTTATTGCTCTCTACAACTCCCTGAAAGGACGCAGCAGTGGGGTGAGCGCTGGTCACAAGGTAACAAGTGACAAGATGAGAGAAAATGACCTCAAGTTGCACCAGGGAATGTTTAAATATCAGGAAAAATTTCTTCACCAAAAGAGCTGTCAAGCATTAGACAACTGGCTGCCTAGGGAAGTGGTTGAGTCACAACCCCTGGCAGCATTTAAAAGACACGTAGATGCAGCACTTGGGGACGTGGTTAGTGGTGGACATGGCAGTGCCAGGTAAAGGGCCAGAATGAAAGACATTTAAGACCTCTTAAAGGTCTTTTCCAACTTAAATGATCTTGTAATTCAATGATTAAATTAATTACTACAAGAATTTATGTGTATATTATTTCACACTCAATACATAGATTGAGCGGATGGAAACTATTTAAGCATTTAATTTGTATTTTTATCCTGTTCTGATTTGCAGATTCCCAATTGTCAGTTTATAGTTTTTAATTCTGTTAGCAACACAGGAAATTCTGAATCCACTTAATATATAAGGCAAAAAATCTAACGTAAGTGGTTCCACTTAAATGCATTCATCTCAGCCATTAAATTGCACAGACTTGCTGTAGTCGAATAGTAAAATACAATTTTATATCCAACCCCTTGCTAGTGACAACAAAATGTTACTATTGCTAAACACCAAATTCAAGCCCAGTAGGATGTCTTTATCAACACATCTATAATAGCACAGACAGATTCTTGCAAGCTAAACTTCACATATATGTTTTCAACCACAGATGTGTGGACTGTTTTCTCCCGTCCCATGGAAACGCAGAAAAAACACTATCTTCAGCCCAGAATTTCTCATTTCAAATCAGCTTCTCATTGTAATTCCATGTTGCTGAACAAAGTTGCTCAAAAATCACTTAGAAAGGAAGGCCAAGAGAAGATAAAAATAAATATAAAAACAATAAATAATACCAGTCACTCAAAAATTCATCACTCCCCCCTCCAACACAGTTAGTGTGTGTTTGCCAAAGACACCAAACCTGACTGTCAACGTCTCTAGAGATTGTCTACGCTGGACATGCTCCCTGTCAAACACTAAATGAAACTCAAAAGAGGCAAAAGCATCTTTGAATCTCCACCAAGCTACAATTCCAGAAAGCAAAATTTAAAAGGAAATTCATATCTTTATCTTCTGTGACCTCTTAAGTAAGACATAAGATGAAAAATGGAGTTGTTTCATTCTAATGGAGAAAGGCAAGTCTTGACCATCCTGACCCACTTGCCAAGCAGAGAGCTTTGAGGATTTTTACATAGCAAATGAAGGGGAAGAAAAAAAAAAAACAAACAAGACAGCAGCTGTAAGAGAAAGGAATGATAAACTACAAGATAGAGTCCAACAGCGGAGGCCCCTGCTGAGCTCCAGAGCAGTCACTGGGCTCCAAGGCTAGCAAGAGTAGTTGACAGTCTGCTAGAACCTTTAATGCTCTCTCTCCTCATTGCACCACAGGCCACTACCTTTACATCTACCACTTTCAACTGGTAAGTGCTACTGACTCCAGCCCCCCCAGAAAAAGTAACTCAATTGCTTAGGGTGGATATTCTTTAAAAAGCAGCAGCTAGCAGGCAAAAGCATAAGCTAAACTATCTTTAACACTCTCTAAGCTTTTTAAGCAAATGCTTTGTTACATGTAGTCACCTCAGACCAGTCCTCCAGGCCTTTCCCACACTGCAAACTCCTGTACAATGCAATTTTTCAATATAGCACTTTTATGTCATTCTGGACACCACTTCGGTTGGCTCCAGCTCCACATATGTCACAGAAGAAGCCCATTTTCTAAAACAGTGGTTAAATTTCTGATAAATCATATCCTGAAACTTTTGTACATCAGAGACAAACTTTGTTGTACAAACTCCAGGTCTAGATGAGTAATAAATTAATACAGCCTTGATTTCAGATGAAAAGAACTTGACTATCCAGTCTTAAAACAGGTGGCAAAATTGCAAATAATAATATTAAAAAAAAAGTCTCTAAGACTTGGGGTTTTTTCATCAGCTCTAATGACAGCATTCTTAGGCCTTTTACAATAACTAACTCTCATTTCCTTTGTTCTCGATGCTCCTGTGTCATAGACAAACCGGAATGTTAAAAGCAACAATGCATGAGGCATCAGTGGGAATTTCCTGTCTTGCAATAGTCTTCATCCAACTCAACCTCCTATTAATGTTGAACAAAAACATACTACACTACTACTGCTTTCATCACTAAGACTTCCATTTTAATCCATTTCCTTTGATACACCGCCCCACCCCACTATCGAGATGTTCTGTTTATGCCAAAGCGTGTCACACAAACATCTATCCGATAACTCATGCGAGTCACCTAACACGCATCATTTCTGCTTAGTGCACATCACTAACAGCGGTATTCTCAATGGCCTCCAAATGGCACTAAAATCCAACAGGCTGAGTAGTGCAGCTTTTTTAAGAAATGCCTTTTAACCTAGTTACAAAGTACTCTGGTAAAGAAAGCTAAACAGTTGGCTTTTATGGCAAGACAAGTTACCAAGGGCTATGTCCCTACAGGAAATCAAGATAACTGCACCTTGTAAGAAAATGCTCTCCTTGCTTAGCTATGTGTAGATATGAGAGTATTTGTACTTTGACATGTTTCAGTTTAAACTTAACACAAAAAAATGCATCCGAGACTCTATTTGGACTTCACAGCAGAAAGTCACACCAAAATGCACTTTACAAAAATAAGCACCTCAACCCATCATTCCACGAAGTAAAGATACTTATGAAGTTACAGACTATGTTATGATACTAACTCATATAAATCCCATCTGTAAATCCTCCTGCTATTCCTTTTCAGTAACCAACCAAATTCAATGTTCATGTTGGAATTACCTAAAATTACATGCTAAGTCATTTCACCATGAAAACCACTTGCAAACATGAGACTGTCCTCTAAATCATTTGACACTAATATTATGACTGAGAGAATGATGGTGTTTAATCCCAACAGAAAGTCACACCAAAATGCACTTTACAAAAATAAGCACCTCAACCCATCATTCCACCAAGTAAAGATACTTATGAAGTTACAGACTATGTTATGATACTAACTCATATAAATCCCATCTGTAAATCCTCCTGCTATTCCTTTTCAGTAACCAACCAAATTCAATGTTCATGTTGGAATTACCTAAAATTACATGCTAAGTCATTTCACCATGAAAATACTAAGTATGCTTCAAAAGACAGACAACTGAAGTTCACTTCTGCAACAGACATATTTCTCCAGAATATGCTGCAGATGGGTCAATAACAAAGGCATATCTGTAAAATTCCCCATCAGAAGAACGAGAAATAAGAAAAGGAATATGATGTCAGAACAGTAGGTTCTAAGTTGCTGTAAATAGTGATGTGTCCAGGGGGAATGCAGGACTTAACATGACCAAGACAAAAACTAGCAATGTTCCACATTCAAGAAAACAAATACCTCCTTCATTATGCCTTTCAAAATGTTTATGTTATGTTTAGGATATCCAATAGGAATCAGTGCTGCCCTAGTGTTCCATGAATTTTGTAATGATATTTGAAGTATTTTAAATACCATTTTATATGCTACTAACAACACAGCTGGGCATTCTGCAAGAGAAAATAACTGTACCTGAAAGGTATGCAACCTTTTCCTTTAAAATTGGCAATACTTCCATAGCCTTCATTTCATCATTTTTGCGAAACCCTGAAAAAAAGAAGAGAAGATGATTAGTGAAAAATTCAGACAAGCCTAGCTTCTACATTTAATGAATGCACTGAAAAATATTTACCTTTGGAATACATTCAGAATGTTATGATTACAGGAATTAAGATAACCTTACAATAAAAGTCTGTCAAAAAATAAACTAAACTTTAAAGACATATTAATGCACAAGTCATAACTTTGACCAGCTTAACACAAATAGCATGGCCTGTTAGCAAGCCTCAGTAGAAAACAAAATTCCAGAATTAGCCTTTTTCATCGGTTAATGAAAAGTGTCATATGAATCCATTGCTTTTATGCATTCCAAATCCCACTTTCTTTTTTCTTTCTTTTTTTTTCCCCAGTAGGGATGAAGAGTAACAAGCTATAAGAAGTAGGTATGCTTAGAACAATTACCACTAAAAAAACCCCAAATCCCAAACAAAAAACCCCACCCAAAATCCCACAACAACAAAGACAAACAAACAAAAACACACAAACAAAAAACCCCACCAAAAACACCCCAACCCACCCAAAAACAAAAAAATACCCGCTAAAAATCACCAACACTATTTACATGTAACATTTCTTAAATCATTTCTGTAAGCAGAATTTTTTTCTGCTGCCTAATAGGAACAGCATTTTGCAGCTGAGAGGACATTTTATCATACTAACTCTGTACATACATGGAGTATGATACAGTGCCCAAGGTGAGTGATTACAGTCAATGTTGCGAAGCAGCACATCATCAGCTTGTCCCTCCCTCTCTGCTTCCTATTTCTACTACTCTAATTCTGTGGCCAAATTCTGAAGTTTGTCCTTCTTTGACAAGGAAGATTTAGGAAGCATTTTTTTACATTATATTTCACCTGTATAATACAGAATTGGGCATATTTAGGCTGATTTTGTTCACCTGACAAGAAGAACTGGGTGACACATCTTCAACTGACTTATCCGTACAACCCTTCCTGGTCTGTTTGGATTCATGTGTTGTTTAAAATAATCCCATATCTGAAGAAAGTACCCCTGCTGAGAAGTGGGAAGCTCATTGCTTCTCTATAACTACTGAAGCAAAAGTGCTGTTAAGACTCTTCCTCCGCAAAAATATCCAAATGCTTCATATCCTTTGGTCTCAGGTTCTGAGCTTAAATGAAAAAGCCATGCATTTCTAAAGTGAAACTTGAAGGTATCAAACTAGTGTCATCAAGTAATGTAAGACCTATACTTCAGGGCATCACATATGTAAATTACATCAGAGGTTTTCTACTCCAGAGAACAGTACTGAGACTTCTGTGCCACTACAGTATCTTGTTGTGGGGACTGCCCTTAAAAACAGACCCAGGATGCACCAAGCACAATACCCAAGGGACAAAGATGGTCAGGTGTGTGCATGCCATCCTCACCTGTGCATCTGTTTTGAGTGAAGAACTGCAGGAAGATGGGGTGGCAGTCCTCAGAACAAAGCCTACTGGTGACAAAAGCCTACAGAATTTAAACTCTTCGAATTACAGCAAGAGGTTTACTAGACAGCAGGAAATTTTGTAAAGGAAAGAACCATGAACGGCACATGGGATTGCCTGTAGAAGACTACAGCCTATCCATGACTGGGGATTTTTAAAACATGTGTTCAGACAAATGTCTGTCAGCAGCGGGTTCCTCAAGTTCACCATAACTCAAGTGTTCAACCAGGGCATTGTCTCAGCACTCACAGAATGTGCAAACAAATGAAAAGAAAATAAATCAACTTCCAGTCCGATGGAAGTTCCCTGGCTAGTTCTTTGTTTTTTCCATGGATACCACAGACCAAAAACAATCCCAAAATTCAGTACACATTCTTAGAAAGGCTAGACCAGGAAAACTGGTTCCTTGGGTACCCACATAGCATGGAGGGTTTCTGCATGATGGACAGTATTTTGCAATTACACAGCAACTCCAGACTGCCAAAGCAATGCAGGGTTTACTTTCATGTTTGTACCTAGGCTCTCAAGAGTCTAAGACACAGCAAAAGGAACCTCATGCATTATTACTCCTCTAGAGAAAGGGCTATGGTTATCAGCCTTTTACTGAAACTGCCTACAGTTTTGTTCCTACTACATTTCTGTTTGTTATGGACTAAAACTCTAAATAGCTTTAAGAAAAAGCCTGGGCTTAAATAAATCACCTAAAAAGACAGCATATACCCTTTTCCACCTTGAAATATTTGGGTTTCAGTTGACTGCTAAGGCATACAGGCACACTTCCAGAGTTATTTTTTTTCATGTGCTTTGAGCTACCCACCATAAGCTTAATGCCAATTTAGCATGCTCAGCTTTCATATCAACCATGGCAATTCTTTTTCTTTACAGTAAATTCGGAGGTAGAAAACACTTTCTCCTCACCTAAAAAGCATGCAGAAACTAGTGCCGTACTTTGCTGTCTCTCTTAGCTCAAAATTACCCAAGACACTGATGTTACCGCAATTGCTTGCTCAGATTTCTAAGCCCTTAAACTACTTCACCTCGGATGATGATGCGCAGTAGCTGCACGTTTTACTTTGCCTGTGGCATGTAAGAAGCGAGAAACATTTAGCTAACATTTCTCTGACTATTAAGGGGCCGCTCAAGGTAAACACCCTAGCAAATACGTTAGTGCTTGGCTCATGTTCTGCATCTGCATATCCTTAAGGCTGACTGCCTTGGATTATCATATTCCTGCTGCTCTAAACAGTCTATTTTTATTCCAGTTCTGCAGTGTTAAAGCTTAACTGAAAAGACTGTGGGGATTACAACAGATGAAAGAATGCTGGGGAGCAAAGAGGGTGAATACGGCAGGAAAGTATCGTTTTTATCTCCAAAGAAGCAAAAATAAAACAAAAACCAGCAATATAAGCAGTTCTTAAGGGCTTGGGGTGGGTCCTCCCTCCCCCTTTTCAAAGCCTCTTCTCCACAAAACATTCGTGGATCTGAGATTTGAGGATTTAATTAAAAAAAAAAATTAAAAGGCATTTACCACACTCAAATGAAATGCCATAAATATCTGCACCAATCTCTCCCTCCACGGCTCAGCATCCTCCGCGCCAGCCGGCTGCATCACATGTTCCTGGGGGTGATGTCATCCCTGCCGGCCCGGCCGGCTGCAGCTCCCGCCGCCGCGGTGCCGCCGCAGTGCCCGCAGCTCCGCCCCGCGCAGCCACCGGCGGACACCGGGCCGCGGCCATCCCCGAGCCCCCCACGGCCATCCCCGAGCCCCCCACGGCAGGCACGGGCTCCCCCCGGCCCGCACGGGATTCCCACGGCACACGCTTCTCCTTTGGAAGCACAGTATGCACCTATGGCACGTATTTATGCTGTTCCGCCTAAAAAAAAAAGGCAATCTGACTTTAAAAGTGTTGCTTTCAATATTAAATCCTACATCTTTTAAAATCCGTTTCAGTCTTAAACTGGAAAGCCATCCTTCATATTTTCAATACCTATTAAAGGAATACTCATTTTACAGTTTTGCATTTTTAATAGGTAGCAGATGCCCTTCTGTTGTAACATACACCGTACACGTGCTTTTGCCTAACTACCAGCAAAGAGGGAAGAAGCTCAAATTATGCTAATTAATTATTAACTGCAATATATTCAGTAGAATAAGTAACACACCATTATGTAGTCCATTTCAATACAGGAGGTTTTCCCAGCCCTCATGAAGAATTACACAATCATAGAATCCCTTGAGTTGCCACATACAGTTTCCTACTAAACAGATCCTTATCAAAAAACAGCTCTTTAAATGCTGTATCACGCAACTAAAGATCTTTACAACATGGAATCAAGAAAACATCACCTAAACATTCCTAAATTCCTAAACATTGGAAAATTAAGAAGTCCACCCTACAAACACACAATTTTCTCTTTGCCCCCACAACTTCAGAGTCTGAAGACACGGTCAATTAGCCAAATTCAGTAGACTTCTCTATATTAACCCTTTTTCTCACGCTGCATGAAGAAATTTTGCTGCAACATATAATTTTGTCCAAGTTTAAAGACCCATGAAAAGACAACATTTTGGGATAGAGAGATCACCCTATGAGGTTTCAGAGAGACCCTTATTTGAGCAGCCAGGACAGCCCCTTCTCATTTGGAATGCAAGTGTTCCCAAATCCCATGGTGACAACCTGGCTGCAGAGCTGCCCGTCCATCTGCCCTGGAGGACAGAGAGTAACCCTGTGTAACACGGCCCCCTTCTGCCTAGAAATCACAGCATTCCGGGAACTCAGTTGCTCCCCAGAAACCCAGCTTGCTGAAACTTCCCAGAGGCACTGAAATACATGGAGAAAGTCACCTTTAGAGGGGTAACAGGAAATAGGTACTCAGTGTGGCAGTTCACACAACCCAGACAAATGCTGGATTAGCCTAATGCCGAGGCTGAGGGAAAGGAGGTAACTGTGCTAATCATCTTGCACTGCAAAGATCAGTAACTACTCAGCCACACAATTCGGGGGAGCAGATAAAATTACCTTACACGCATCTTTTAAGGTAACAACTTCATTACAGAACTGTGATACAAACCAATGTTGAAAACAGTTTCCCCAAGAAGCACTGCTCCCCCAAGAACAGTGAAGTGTTTACTTTACAGGCAGCTTCAGTGACGTGCATCATTCAAGTTACCGCAACAAACATAAAAGATGGGAACAGAAATTAGGACAACAAAAAGACTCAGAAATTGAGGCTGAGAGCAGCACCTTTTAGCCAAAATGTTGACCAAGCACTCATCCATTGCTGTCACACACAACTGGCTTGAAACTTTTCTGAAACATGGCTGAAGAAAAACACAAACGCCAAAAGGGAATGCTCTCATCCTAAAAACTCACACTCCTAATAACAGAACTGCTTTTCGCCTTGCAAATAAAAACAATACCTTTGAACAGGCATAAACAAAAAAAAGCCAGACTCAGCCCAGATTACTTTGATGCTTTAGGCTCTCTTTGGACTTCAGAATGACTCCCTGTTGTGTCATCAGCAGAAAGCAAGTGCCTCATC